TTAGTGGTCATTCACTTTTGATAAAGCAATGTATCAAATGTTAGAAGTTGTATTCTTGGCTCTAATTCATGGCAGTGCCATTGGTTTATTTTTAGACTTACCATCGGCGGTTGGGCCTTCAGTTCCTCTGCCCCCATCTTCATCCCATGGCCCCTTTGTCTTGCTCCCTCCCTTACCTCCTTCAAAACAAGTCTCAAGACCCTCCTCTTCGACCGCACATTCAGCCACCCTCTTACCCCTACCCTGCCTGCCCTCCACAACCCCTGATCCCTGCTCGGGTCAAAATCCCAGACTGTCCAGAGCCTCAGGATGTCCTCTCGATGTGAAAGGCGCTATACAAATGTAATTTGTTGCTGTTGTTGTTATTGACACTCCAGTGCTGCGCTGGGAGAGGGGGGGAATTACTGTGTTGTAGGAGGTGGTGTTCTTCAGATTAAATATTGATCTGAAAAATTGTGGGAGTGCTCTTTGACTTTGCTGAGGAGGATAACCAGGTGGCCTGCAGATTTAGTGGAAGAGAATAGTTGTAAGTTTATTTTTGCTGTTTAGAGATGGAAGGAAAAGAGGCAGATAACGCAGCTGAGCTTGGTGCTTTGCTGTGATGTCTGTCTCCTCAGGTGGATGCTATAGATCCCTTGACACTAGTCAAAAAGAGAAGAGATTTTCTTCCAGTGTCCCAGCCAAGGGTTCCCTCAGCAAAATCCCAGCGTTCAGAGGACAGAAATTTCGCTCGATCTCAGCCGGTCAGGCCATTTTGACTTAAAATGTAAGATGGTGAAGAATTGTGGAAACTGTTTAAATTCAGTCCTAAATTTGGCTCTTTGCAAGAAACAATATCTAAATTTAGACAGATTAAACATTTTACACAGTTTCTCCTATGTTTAACTCTTAAGATAACATGTTTTACCGTCTAAGATTGGGTGGAACTTCAGGCTAGAATTTATTCTCTTCCCCCCCACGCACTCCTTTATCGTGGATAACAGTGGCCTGGTAGGATGCAGATTATGTGGTGTAATAACACAAGGAAGCCTTAGAAATTCCCTATGAAACAAATATTTTTGTTTTCAAATTGTAACTGTATTGTAGGATCTGTGCTGCCTCCTTTTAATTTGATTTGTGCTGCATTATATTACTAATAATTTGATATAGCGCCTTATCACGTGGTTAAGATGTCTCAAAGTGCTTCACAGAATATTTTGTGAATTGGATTCACTTGTATATTTTGCGGGCAAAATGCGGCAGCCAGTTGTGCGTAGCAGTGTCCCACAAACATCATGAACTGAGTGATCTAATTTTATTTTTGAAGTGATTATTACCCCAGGAACGTGATCCACCAATCGACTACAACCAGGTTCCTACTTACTGCTAGTTAAACAGGGGCGTGTGGAGTAAGGAAATTTGCATAAGCTTTCACCCCGTCCAGGAATCAAAACTTGCTAAACTGTTGCAGGACTCCATATGTTCAGTGTTGACCTCAGTCATTGTCCTCTTTGAGACAATGACTGAGATCAACAAAGCAATGTGGAAAAAAACTCCAATGCTGTTGTGACAGGAAAGAGCAATGTGACCCCAATTTCTTTCTGTTTTTTAATCTTGATTTATACTTATATTCATCTTGGCGAAATATTTCTCTCAAGCCCTAGTCCTGCTGGACACGTCTAAATATGAAGTCAACCCCCTTTACTTTGTTTTTCACAGTTCATGTCAAATAATCTTCTTACATAAAATTGATCATTCACTTCATGGCTGTTTGTGGGACATTGCTGTGAAAATTGGCTGCTGTGTTCACCCACAAAACACACAGCCAGGGTGCATCCTGTGAAGTGCTTTCCCAAAGTGAAGGGAATGTAAGGATTATTATTAATTTTATTATTACTTATACCCGAGTTTCTGCAAAATGCTCTGCAGGGTGGAAATGCCTGAGAATAGGTTGCAGGTTCAGATCTGGACTCTCCGCGGATGAGGTGCATAGTGACAGCTCCTGACGACAACAATTTGCATTTCTATAGCACCCCTCACACAAGGTAGCACCCCAGGGTAGCATTCAGCTTAAACTGAACCACTGAGTTTTAAAAATATTAATCAGGCGGTTTTAGTCCTGCAAAATGCCTTTGACCACTGAACTGGTGATCTGAAACCTCTGGGTTCAAATCAACAACAACAAATGGCATTTATTCAGCCAATCCCAATGAGTTTGCTCAGCTGTCAACTTTACGTAATCAATAAAATGTATTGCATGCGCTAAAGGGAGGTAAGTAGGGTCTCTGTGGTTGGGAGTCTCTTCAGGGGGAGGTTAGATGTCTCTTGGGGGGAGTTGCGTGCGGGGAGGAAGAGAGGTAAGTGCGATCTCTCGGGGAGTGGAGTCAATATTTATGATTAATAAGGATTTTTGACCCTATTGTGGTGTAAAGTGTGCATCAAATTGCAGGCAATGAAAGGTCTGAAAGGGCCAGACTGGAAGTGTTGATGGTTATTGGTCAGTAGGAAAGATTGTCAATAGCATGATGAATGAAGTGGATTTGAAGGGGGGTGAGAGGTGGGGGGATATAATCTCCCATCTGCTGGTGTAGTGTCTGAAATAGATGCCCAGATAAAACTAAACTCCCAGGCGGTGAAGCTAAATTCTGCCGTCTGCATTCCAAGGGCATGAGATTCAGTTACACCAGGAGTGGGGACAAGTCCAATCCTTTGTAACACAAGAGTAGGAGGGGGCCATTCATCCCATCGAGCCTGTACCACTCCTCCCCCACCCCCCCTTTCTCAGATTATGAGGCGATCTCTAATACCATTTCTTTCCCTTTTCCCCAATGTCTATTAGAAAAGATATTCTGGTGCATGGAAACACCTGACGATGCTTGGAGTTGGGGAATCTCACAGTGGCCTAGAAGAGGATTAATAAACCCATTCAGTATTATGCTTTGTGTCTTTGATGATGTGTAATTATAATTGGAAATCCCATCTGACCAACACTGCACATTGATGAAGTTCTGAGACGCTAACCTGTGTGAAGGGCGCTGTATAAATGCAAGTTGTTGTTGTTGAAGGGAATTTTTATCCAAGAGTGCAACTCCTGATCTGAGTCGGAGTGTAACAGATGGCTAAATTTAGAGTGTAATGGGGTGTAATAGCGGATGGGCATGGAGTATAATGGAACGTAATAGGGATGAAAAAAGTCCTTCAGCCCATTTCATTTGATCACATCTTTCTACACCAATCCTACTATCTTATTACCCGGGATGAAGGGTCTTGTCTATGACAAGGTGTTGGTTGGACGTGAGTTATATTGTATTCCTTAGAGCTGAGGCCATGCGGGGATAATCTGATTGAGTAGTTTAAAATAATGATGGGAATTGATAAATTAGATGCTAGATGACTCTTCCCTTGGGTAGAGGGATCCAAAACAAGGAGACATAATCTTAAAATGAGAGCTAGGAGAGTCAGACTGAGATCAGGAAGCATTTTGTTCAAGTTCTGTTATAGAGGGGGAATCACTAGAAATGTTCAGTCAAGTCTTTAGGGCAGTAGAGGTATTAAGAGTTTAGCAAAATGACACAGCATTGAGATTAAACGATCTTCCCAGATCTAATAAACTGATGGAACAGGTTTGATGGGCTGAATGGCATCCCCCCTATTCCTGAGTTCCTTTGTTCCTATATTCCTAATGTTCTGGGTTTCTCCTGGAAGTCTGAGATAAACAGCTGTTTGGAGCATTCCTGTTGGAAGACAGTTGCTCCAAACATAAAATGTCTGGACGTGCGAGGCATTGCATTCCACAATGGGTAGCAAGCTGGGGCTCACAGACTGTCACATTCTAGTAACTGGAGCTTCAGAGAGAGAGAGAAAGAGAGAGAGAAACTGGGGAGGAGAGCGAGGATAAGAGCAAGGTTGACTGAGCTGCACAAAGAGAGCAAAAGAACATAAGAATTTGTCAGGTGAAAGAAGTACCATCCATCCAGTTTGCCTTCCACCATTCTGGCAATCGCATGACATGTTGTGTCCCAAACTATTGTAGTTCCTCGCAGAAATATATCTAATTTGTTCTTGAATGAATTGACACAAGAAACTTGGGACTGTGCGAGAGGGGGACTGAGAAAAACAGAAAGACTCGTGGAGAGAGGGAGAGAATGAGAGAGATGGGGAGAGAGAGGGAGATTTAAGACACAGTGACAGACAGACAGACAGACTGAGTGAGAGAGAGAGCAAGAGGTAGAAAGACTGAGGGAGAGTATGAAACAAAGATCATGAGGGAGGTGAAAGAAGGAGAATTTGGGAAACAGAGAGATGCAGAGAGACTGTGTATGTGTTTGTGTAAGAGAGACAGACAGAGACAGAATGCAGAGAGCACCTGACTTGCTCATTAAAATGAGAATTTTAATCCTTTAAATTTGATATAGCTCTAGGTTATTTGGGGGGTTTATTATTGGTTTTTTCCCAAAGATGATCTGCCTGAGGATAAAATCCCACTGTCCTAGGGCCGAAAAAAATAACTTTTACCGCATGTGAAAGGAATCTATGTATGTGCAACTTGCTATGCTTCTGCCACAATGTTCTTGTTAATAACCTTGTTTAAAATTTTTGTTTATTTTCTGCTGATCAGTATTTCATTCTGGTTCAGAAATGCTCCTCCTTGTATTCCTCCCTCTTTTCCTCTTCCCCCTTCCTTTCCCCTCTTCCCCCCACTGCCCCCCATATCCGTTCTCCTTTATTCTTCATACGGTTAACTGATCACCTTCATCATTCGTTTATGTGCATAAATAAGGAGCCTTGGTGCGCATGGTTTAATCATGACATAAAACATAAACATTTACACATGGCTTACACAAGACATGTAAAACATAGCCACTAACTGTGTGCAAATTCACTGCCGTGTTTGCCTACAAATACAGTCACCATACTTTTTACACATGATGCATGATGAGCAAGGTTAGAACCATGACCATGATAGCAGGGTTCACATACAGGTTTGGTTAGACTAAAAGGTTGCTTTCTTCTCGTTGCAGGAAGCCACGCTTTGGGAGGATGAGTTCATCGGCTTCGCGAGATGTCCAGTGCTGGCAGGTTTTTAACCGCTCCATATCTCAGGAATCCACAGAGAATTCCTCCATGGAAGACTTTTGGAGTGAAGTGAGGAACATTAAGGAGAGCAGCCTGAATGGGCAAGAGGAGCAGAACATAGTGGATGTCAAGACCCCTGATGGTGAGTGGCCTGAACTATGATGGACCAACACTAGCGGGATTTAAAACCTGCCCATCAGCCGGGGAAGGAGCTTCAAAGTCTCAAACAGCAGAGAAGGGAGTACATTCCTGTGTTCCTCACATATATGAGAAGGGTGTGTATATGGTGTTAGTCATAGTGTGGACCGGACCAGGATGCCCAAATTATTTAGGAGGGAAACATTGAGACACGAGATGTGAAAATTATTATCAGGACGAAAACTGTCAAATCCAGTTAATAATTGTTGACTCTCCACTGGGGAAGGCCTTTCAGAGGGAAGCAGTTTCAACCGTTTAAACTATCAATGCCCCAAGCATTGGCTAATGCCAACCTGCATCTAAACTCTCTGGGATTAGGGGAGCAGAGTATGCCCCTGTGGGGGAGAATGTGCACTCCATACTAGGCATACAGAAACCGTATGTATGTGGAACTCACAGCAGTTTGGATAGGAAACTCTTGAGCGTGCAAATAGTTTTTGTGTGTGTGAAGACACCCATCTAACAAAACCATACCCATCATTTCCATGGTTTGACTCTATGCTAATGAACTTGGCTTTGTCTTCTCTTGTAGAGGGGGAGCTGGAGGCTGAGTGGCTTCAGGAAGTGGGACTGTCCACGCTGGTATCGGGTACAGGAGCAGAGGATGGCATGGCCCTGCTGTCCACACTGACCCGTGCTCAGGCCGCAGCCGTGCAGCGCAGGCTGGACACCTACACTCAGACCACCAGAAAGAAGAGCAAGCAGCCAGTCAGAGACGTTCGGGATATATTTGGTGTTACTGATCCTCCGGTGAGTATGAAGTCACTCCCTTCGCCCTGGTGCTGTTAAATGCACACGTGGGACTGGCCTGATGGTGGAGTTTTATACCTTGTGAATAATCAGCAGAGATTTACAACCACAAATAATTTGTCAATTCAATATTGCACAAATTGTCTCATTGGGGTCTATTACAGGAGGTATGTGAACTTGTGTATATTATGTGAGTTGTGTAAACCATGAATAAATGTCTGAGCATTATGCAAGTTTTGTAAACGTGTGTGTTGTGTATAACTATGTGTAAACTATATTTTGCGTGAGCTGTGTAAACGCATGTGCATCATACATGTAAGCTATGTTACAGATTCTGCCAAGCTTTTCATAAATTGTTAATTGTGAGAACATGTAATGCCCTCTTTAGACATTAATTACACATAATTACACATGCAATGTTTTCCACAACTTGTATAATAGATGGCCACCAGGACAATCACCCCTGTCAACCTCAGTGTGCATCTTTCTGCGAGTGAGTCTGACAAGTTTCAAGACAGTAACAACTTGTACTTATATTAGCACATTTCACCTTGGAAAACATCTCAAAGCAGTTTACGAAGACAGAGTGGGAGCCCTAGATGTTTTTTTGCTAGTTTTTCATCTAAGGCAATAACTGACATGTCAATAGAACAAATAATAATCATGCCTATATTTGATAGAGTGCCTTTCATGTATGGATGAAGACTCAAAATGCTTCACATGATTTTTACTGTAAATAACTTTTTTGCAGACTAACGTGGCATCCCATTTGCACACAACACTGTCCCTCAAACAGCCAAGAAGCGAGTCACAAACTATATTTGTGGGAATTGTTGGCCAAGCCACTGGGAGAAACTTCTCTTTTCAAATAGTGTCATGGGGTCTTTAATGTCCATCTGAACAGGAAGATAGGACGTTAGTTTAACTTCTCATCCGAGGAAGGGTAACTGTGCCAGATCAGTGCTCCCCGTGCACTTTATTGGAATGTCAGTCTAGACTGTGAGTTCAAAGTCACAACATAGGAGATACAACCTTCTGACCACACGCAACCTAAGAAGCGAGAGAGCTATCAACTGAACCTGGCTACCACCAAACTTCACGAGATGCATTGTTGTCTGTGCTATTGGGGCCGAGAGTGAGATAGGCATGTCAGCTGTGGAAGGAAGCAGGCCGGTGGTGGGGGTGTGGGGGTTGTCATATGGGAATTGCCAAATATGTGGAGTTTCCGAATGACTGCTTTTCTGGCTCAGTTTGTGTCTATACAAAATGGTATTTCAGCTTGCTATTAAGCGCAGCCAATCGATTGGCTGATGTTGCTCTTATCAGTGAATTTGGGAATTTTGTCACTATCAGTTTTAAATGAAGGAAAAAATAGGTTGTAAAAAAGTGGCCTGAATAGCGAATTGTCCTCATTACTCACACCCAGAGACGAGAGTGTGACTGACTGAGCCAAGCTGACGGCACTCAAGTGGAAGAGAGAATCTGCGTCAGCTCTTTGTTTTGAAAAAAAATCACAGGAATTTTTATCAGAACACTGATGGGAAATGGAAATATTTTTTAAGGGATACAGGCCTTGACCAGGAACGTGGGAAGCAAAAGTATTCCGGGTGTCGGCTCAGATAAGACTTCAGGAAGTGGCCCAGTCTGGCAGTGTGTTCACACAATGACACTGACTGATGGGTTCCCCTTACCTTTCGTGTCTGAGGGGAATGCAGGTACCAAATTTTGCTGATGTTCCCTCCTCTTTTGAGTGAGGGTCAAACTAATCACTCGTTTGACGTTTAAATAACAAACAGGATTGGGTAGTGCCATTTTCTTTAAACAAAGGTTGTTTTTCAAATGCATTCATTTAAATGCTACAGCGAGAGTTTTATGTGCCCGTGTACCAAGAGAGCGATTGTTTGCTTGGCGTTGTGATATTATTGCAAGATTTACATTTGGGTGTTCACAAGGTTTAACCCCTTCCCCTCCTTAAAGGTTTCAATTGTCCTTTCTGCCCCTCCCTGAGCCCCTGCACCGCTCAACCACGGAATGGCTGAGCAGATGTAGCTGAAAGAGACACCTCTTTCTGGTCAGCCATAAGTCTTGGAACCTGTAGTTATGTCCTCCACCCCCTGAAAGCCAAAACATGAATTCACTGGGGTAGCCCAGGCTGGGCAAGTATATCAAATCCTTTCATTATCTTAAACCCTGGAGATCAGGTCCCCTCTCATCTCCAGAGAGAAAAACTGCAACATGTCCAATCTTTCTCGATCGTTGTATCTACTCATCCCTGCTCCAAACACCTAAATAAATTTATGCTGCACTCTGTCCAATTACAATATCTTTCCTGTACTATGGCGACTAAAACTACAAAGAACTTCAAATGTGGTCTCACCAAGGTTTTATATGAATGTAATATTACCTCCTTACTTTTGTACTTCACTCCTCTGGACATGAAGTCAAGGAATTAGTTAGAGACATAGACAATGTGATAAGGCTCTATAATCATTATTATGAACACAGAGACCTGACATCTGCACCTTTACCATATCTACAATGGGTCTCAACTAGCGTGGATGTTGGCTCTCTAATTAACAACATAGAGTATTCAAGAGTGGAACCATTGTGATCTTTTTGATCAGCTCAAAGTGTAAACAGGGAAGTTGAATTTCATCTCGTAATGGTTGAACTGTGTCATCAGCTGTGAGTAAATCCTGTACTGTACTGTGGTTTCTCGGATTTTCCTGGTAAAGGTACTGGTGTGAAACCATGTTGCTTCTACCCCCAGTATTTCCTATAAAATCACTCAGCAGTTTTTGCTTTGAGTCAGGCTGGTGTCTGACTCATGCTTAAAAGCATCCAACCCTAGAGTTCCCCATAGGTCTGGAAATTTTCGTGAATGGAATGCATACTCTTTGTGGGCAGGGCGGGGGAAGGGCAGGGGTTTATGGGACACATACTTTTTCCAGGACCTTATAGATCGGGGCAGACTACATTACAATATATAATAATAATCCTTTCATTTGGTAGAACACCTTATCGCTTTGTCGGGACGTCCCAAAGAGCTTCAGAGGATTTTACTGTAGAGTGTAGTGACTTTGTACTTGTAGGCAAACATGGCAGCCAATTTGCATGCAGTGACATCCCACAGTCATGGAGTGAATTAGCAATTTTATCTGGGGGATCATTAGCCGGAAGAAACTCCTCGTCTTGAGTAGTGCCATGGGATCTTTAACGTCTCATCCAAAAGACGGCACCTCTGACAAAGCAGCACTCCCTCAACATTGCATGGAACCCACAACCTTTTGATTCAGTGGTCCTGCCAACTACATCAAGCCGATGCATTGTTTTTCAAAGAAACCAACTTGCATTTTTATATGGCTTTACCATCAATTACTCCTCACGTCACTTACTGTCGAGTGTACTTTCTGTGGGCAAATCGTCCACAAACAGCAATCAGTTAAACCACCAATTGGTTCATGGTCTAGGCTGGCACTCTGGTGGAACGTTAAGGGGAGCGCTGCATTGTCATCCCCCCATCCCACTGTCCCCCCCCCCCCCCCCCAGCACTGTGCTGGAGTGTCAGCTAGACTGTAAGCTCAAGTCGTGACGTGGGCCTCAGACAGACAACAGTGGAATTTCATTCAGGAATTATTGACTGGTTTCAAGTCTGATCAGCTCCCCGGCTCCAACACAGAGGGTGGGTTCAACGATCCCTTTCGAGGAGAATGGTATATTTTAGTATCTAACAATAGGCCTAACTCAGCGTATCTGTAAAGCAGTGCTCAGGTGCTGCCTCTGTGTTTGTGAAACAATATTTTTCTATCGCTCTTGCCAGCCCCAATCCATTGGATTTTAGCGGCCGAACAGTTTTTGAAACCTCTTATGCAGTAAACCTATGTGTCGAACGAGATGTTCAGGCCTTGAAACCTATGGATGAAACTTGACTGAAATTCTGCTGCCTCTTAACTGCTTTGATGCAATAATTATCACCTCAAGAAACATCACATGTGTCACCTTGAGACAAGGATCCCCCCGTGAATTGCAGCCCTTACATTTCCTGGAGGTGAAGCTCGCTGGAAAAAAGTGCGCTTTTGTGAACCTGCCCAATATGCAAATGTTCAATTGCTATTCTTGGAACAACCAAATAAGAAAAGAATAGAAGCTTTATAACCTGAGCAGGCCACCTGCAAGGGCTAATTCAGTGTTCGATACTGTTGTGCGTTATATAGGCTTTGAAGTGCCAGAATGCCTTGGGATGTATCTGGTAACGATGGATCTTTCATGGATAGTGTGTATGAAAGCGACACTGAACCTCTGGTGCATATACAATTCTACCACGATGAGGAACAAGCTGTGAGTAATCCTCTGAGAGCTGCTCTAAAACTGCCCCGGTTTCTGCAAAAGCTTCCTTTTCAACCACTTGTCATTGTTGAGGTGAAATTTGTGGCATTTCAGAATCCGTTTATCACAAGGAACTTTTTCCATGAAACTTGCAGATTTCACCTCACTGTTTCATTCTTTGCATTTTATTCTAATCACTTTGAGATGTCTTCCCGAGTTGAATAGGGCTGTATAAATTAACTTGTACTGTAAATTGCACTTTATTTCTTCCTTCAAATGCTTGAGTTGGGACTTTGTGGAATTGCTATTCTGCGATCTTATGCTCCTAATTTGATTTGTTTTAAGTCACACCCGGAAATGTGTTGGGCATAGCAATCTCTAAAATGTTTATTTTTTTTACTTTGTCTTTTAAATAAGCTTCTTTCTTACCCCTTTGGATTGGTGTCTTGTTTTCCTTCACTATTTGGAGTCCTGTAGCTCAGTGGTTAGAGCACTTGCCTTGCAAGTGAGACACCTGGGTTCAATTCCAGGCAGGGTGAAACCCTGTGGAAGTTTCCTTACTCCAAACGCCTAATAATAATCCCTCCAAAACAACCAATACTAAATTGGTCATTTTCAATCCACGATTGTTTGTGGGACACTGCTGTGCGCAATTGGCTGCCGCGTTTCGCCCACAAATATACAGTGAATTCACTTTACAGTTTATTCTGTGAAGAGCTTTGAGACGTCGAGAAGATGTGAAAAGCGCTATATCAAATGCAATGATTATTATTATTTTTATTTATTTCCCTCCCTTCCTCCCTAAACATTTGCAGAGAAACAACATAAAAGCAATGGAGGAAAGGAAAATTCCAATTCCTATTAAAAACTATTCCGTCAGTGAGTGGGGGTTTCTTGACTGTTGGCACACTCAGAAAGACTTTCCAATGCTCCAAGTGTTCTTTTGGTTTTTTTTACAATCTGTTGCTGACCCTGATACACTCCTGGTGTTTACTGGGGAAAAGACCAGTGCTTGGAGGGGAATTTCTGGCAGCTTGCATTAGGGGAAGTAGAATTTCCTCTTGATTTTCTTCCTTCTAGTTATTATTGATGCCTTCTAATATTTGCTGTTAAAAAAAATCTGTTTTTATTTTATTTTTGTTCATTTTGTCTTTAAAATTTAAGACTGAGCAGAATTATTAAACATTTTAAATTCGCTGTTAAAAACGATATTCTTAAAGTCATATCTATTTGATTAAGGTTTTTTAAATTAAGTAAGCAGGGTGTGTCCCTACTAGCAGAATGTGTGCACCCCATTCCGGACACCAGGAAATTTCCATGTGTAGGTGGCGTAAATGTGTGGAACTATTTGAATACTCTTTGAATACTCTTCGAACCAATCGATACTTACAGCACAGAAAAAGACCATTTGCGCATTGTATAATAATATATATAATAATCCTTGCATTTGTTATAGCGCTTTTCAGTCTTCTCGACGTCTCAAAGCGCTTCACAGAATAGACTGTAAAGTGAATTGACTGCATATTTGTGGGCGAAATGCGGCAGCCAATTGCGCACAGCAGTGTCCCACAAACAGTCGTGGATTGAAAATGACCAATTTATTATTGTTTTGGAGGGATTATTATTAGGCGTGTGGAGTAAGGAAACTTGCCCAAGGTTTCGCCCTCTGTCTGGAATTGAACCCAGGTGTCTCACTTGCAAGGCGAGTGCTCTAACCACTGAGCTACAGGACTCCACATATACTCCACATATATCTATAACTTGCTCTAATCCATTCAGTTCCATTCCCCTGCCTTTTCCCCATACTTCTGGAAATTACTCTAAATATCTATTAAAAACGATTCCGTCAGTGAGTGGGGGTTTCTTGACTGTTGGCACACTCAGAAAGACTTTCCAATGCTCCAAGTGTTCTTTTGGGGTCTTTTTACAATCTGTTGCTGATATCTATGCAGTTCTGTTGAGAAACAAACATGGATTCTGCCTCGACTTTCATGTGGCAGGGCATCGTCGATTATCAGATCGCTTTATTATCGGTTTTGCATTGTCAGAGGTGAGGATGATACATTAGATCAAGACTTAGATGAAACGTTAAATCAAGATCCTATCTGCCTGTTCAGGTGGATGTTAAAGATCCCATGGCACTATTCAAAAAGAGAAAGGAGTTTCTCCTGGTGTCCTGGCCAACAATCCCCCAGATAAAATTGGTCATTCACTTCACATTGCTGTGCACACATTGATTAGTGCACACATTTACATTTTACAGTTTATGCTGTGAAGGTCTTTGAGATGTGGTAAACTGCTCTGTGAAATGCAGGGATTATTATATTATGATTACTCTCTTTGAAAAAAAAATCAGAATCTTCCCCTCATCTCTGTGAAGCATTTTTGAAGGCGTTTGTACAAAGTTGGGGCAGAGAAGGAAATTAAGCGAAAGCATTGGTGGTGGTGGAGGAGGACAGTGAAGAGTGATCTGTCACATTTCTTTCCTGCGGGAGGCTTCTCTGCTATTTAGACTCTTGTAACTCAGTGGTTAGAACGCTCGCCTCACAAGTGAGAGACCCGGGTTCAGTTCCCGGCAGGGCAAAATGTTGGGCAAGCATCCACACGCCTCAGTTTACCTAGTAGTAAGTAGGAACCCGGTTGCTAAGTCGATTGAATGGATTACTTTTCCTGGTAATAATTCCTTAAAAAAATAGTAAACTGGTCACTTCAATCCTGACTGTTTGTGGGACACTGCTGTATGCAATTGGCTACCGTGTTTCGCCCACAAAATATACAGTCAATTCACTTATAGCATATTCTGTGAAGTGCTTTGAGACGTCTTGAAGACGTGAGAAGGTGCTTTATCAAATGCAAGGATTATTATTTATACAACAGGTCTCTGAGGAAATCCAATTTGCCACATTTAGAACATTCCAGATGGGGGAGGGTGGGATTCAGCTGATCGGTCAAGTTCCAGATCTCTCTCTAATGTGCTCTTGTACCTGGGGAGATCCAAGTGTAAGTGCACACATCACAGTGCGCAATATTAGTGACCGGCAGAGCTCTGTGTCACTGCTGTTTCAGGACGTCCTTCCGACATGAAAGGCATTCTATAAATGTAATTTTGTTGTTGTTGTTGCTTGTGGTTGCTGCAAGAGACTTGTGTTGAATTGGAATTGGGGAGGAAATGCGCATTGAAATTATAGAAATTATAGAAGTTTATAATATTACTGTTTGGTCGGTTGGGTGTCTGACTCATGCAGAAATCCATCACCATGATTAAGAGTCTTCAAACCAAACTTCTGAGAATTCCACTTATTTATGGAATGTGCACTCCCTCCACAGTGGGACGTCCCCTATTACCTAATCCTGGAAAATGTAGGCACAGGTTGGAAAAGGCCAAGGCACTGGGACTCCAGAGTATGCGTTGAAATACTGCATGTATTAAACCAACTGCGCAACTTACAACCTTGTCATCTTTGGTATAGAGGCCTTCTGCATTTTGGATAGTTGAATGATGTTCTGATGCCTGCTTTCTATGATTGCTGCATAAACACTTCCTAATGTTTAGACCTACATTTCATTCCAAAATTATTGGCAGCCAAGTAGTTGAAGGCTTGAAGCTCAGCTCCAAGTCCCTTTGCAGTCTCTGTTCGAGCCCCAGTCCCAACCCCATTTCCAATCACAGCCTTGTTCCCAATCGTAATTTGTTCCCATGCCACTCTGCATCTAATCAAGTCCCTTTTCATCGCAATTCTTCACCAATCGAATTCCAAATCATAATATCGATAATAATCCTTACATTTAATATAGCGTCATATCACATCATCAAGATGTCTCAAAGCGCTTCATATTTAAAAATTAGAATTTTTCTTAATTTCTAGGAACTTCTCTTGTTTTTTTTCTTGAAACCTTTGAAGTTTCTTGTTCCATCACCTTCCTGGTTGTTAGTTCCACATACCTATCAATCTTTTACTGAAGACATTTCTCCTGGATCATCTATTTGCTTTTTTGGTCCTTCTTTGGAATCTATCTCCCTTATGTTTGAATTTTCTTAAAAATAATAATGATAAATTAGTCACTCAATCCACGACAGTTTGCGGGACACTGCCTTGCGCAATGGTTGCTGCATTTCGCCACAAAATATGCACAAAACAGTCAATTCAATTTATGGTATATTCTGAGAGGTCTCAAAGATGTGATAAGGCTTTATATCAAATGCAAGGATTATTATTATATTATATAGGATATGCTATACAGTGGTTTGACTACGTTACTATGGCGGCGGTGAAATCATGACCGGGGGAGGCCTGCTCCTTTAAATGGATCCATCAAGCAGCCTAGATGGGATTGCAACATTATATGCATCAGGAACTGGCACATTTTTGGGTTGTTACTAATGCAGAATATTCTGCAAATTGTTATAGGTATGTTGGATTGTTTTGTTTGTTCCTGTTGTTGTATGTCATAAATGTTTGTGTTCTTTATATACAAGGCGGCCTAGTGTTTTAGGTTATAATAAAGAGTAGCACCTTGGAAGGGGTAAATGCCAGCATTTTATGTGTTACGACTCGGACTTAATTTAAGGCTTTGGGGTGACGTAAAAATATGTACTTGTGTAAAATTGGTCACTTCAAGCCATGACTGTATGTGGGACATCTCTTGTGCACAATTAGCTGCCGCGATTCACCCATAAATATACAGTGAATTCACTTTACAGTATATTCTGTGAAGCGCTTTGAGACGTCTGGAAGATGTGAAAAGCACTCTTATCAAATGCAGGATTATTATTATTTAAATTAGTTAATATAATCGGGATACTGGTTTTGTCCTCCCTACTTGAGAAGCCCCGACCCTTATCAATGAAGCATTGGGTTTCAAATACCAAGCTCCGTGACATTACCCATTTTAATCTGAGGACTATTCTTGTACCCATTTTAATCTGAGGACTATTGTATCCATTTAAATCTGAGGACACTGAGACTCATTGTATTCCAGATTTAGAATACTTTTCTAAATTTTCAAACCAGAAGTTGTTCTGAAGTAAGATCTCGAGGCACTTTAAAACACGAGAACGAGATTGTAGTGTGGGAACTCGGATTACATGGAAACTAAACTTGGTTGCCCTTGGAACTGCAGTTTTGTTAATGTTTCTTCCTCTCTTCCCCCACATCGTAGGCGAGAATTGGCTTCACAGTCCCAGAGACGCCACCCACTTCAAATGGAGTCCAGCAGCCAAAGGAACAGATTCGATGGAAACAGACAAGAGGTCAGTGTCTTGTAGATTCAAAATGGTTGTCGTGGTCATGGTAGTAATGTAAGAAAGTCATAGAAAATACAATATACATTGGCGCAATCATTGCTGTTTATCACATCATTTGACATTTCATTCCTGGCAATGTCTCAGTCAATAACAATTGTTACATTTCACGTGAGGGAGGCATTTTAAAAGGCTTCAGAGGATATGCTGTAAACTGATGTTCCTGTCACCTGAAGCTCTTGTGCATTGTAACTAAATAATCTTTACATTTAATCCTAATATTTGGTAATGATTCTTACATCTGTCATAATGCCTTTCACATCAGGAGGACATCTCAAAGTACTTCACAGAATTTACTGTCAGTGCAGTTACTGTTTTGCTTTGTGGGCGAACTAAAATGTATTGCTCTTTTATTGATCCAAGGCCTTGCCCCTCCATACCTCTGTGACCTGCTGACTCCATATCAAGCTGTCCGCTCTCTCCACTCAGCAGGCTCTGGCCTGCTCCACGTCCCTCACCTGGCTCGCCCCACAATCGGCCTTCAGCCTTTCTGCCCCTATCCTATGGAACTCCATCCCACATTCCCTTCGCCTCTCTAGCACGACTCAAAACCCTCCTCTCGACCGAGCCTTCGGCCACCCTCCTACCCTCCCTCCCTGCTCTCCACCCTCCCGATCCCGACCCCCAACTCAGATTCAAATCCGTGACTGTCCAGGGCCTTGGCATGGCCTCCCGACCTGAAAGGCGCTATACGAATGTACTGTTGTATTGTAAGAATGGGGTGAAAAATCAACACTCGATGTGAAAACTATTACCTCTTTGGGATTTCCGCTTCTGCCTATGGCGTAGTCGAAGCTGGACATGAAAAATGGAGTTTCCAGTCTTGTTTGGTGCAATTTTCACTTTCATCCTTCCTTTTAGATGTCCTAACCAGTGAAACAACTAAAGCAGCTATTTGGTTTAAAAGTGATTGATCCAGATGACCGCACCTCCAACAATACTCCAGTCCCATAGTATTTCCCTGGTGTCAGCCTAGACTGCACTCAGTGTGGCTTGAACACACGACAGTAAGAGCTGGACACCTTAGTCATTAGTGAGGCTGTGTTCAGGATGTTGAGAATCTTACTGTTTTTCCTGTTTTAGTACATCTTGTCATGTGCAGGGAAGATTGATTTGGAAATTCTGTCCTGTGTTAATTACTTTTTGTCCTGCTGAATTATGTTTCTGCCACTTCAGCTGTCTCTGAATGTAAATTAGAGAAGATCACAGCCAGTGCAAAGCAGCAAAGCTAGAAGCTAACAATTAATCACTAGCTTGCTTCAGACATTACAAACTTGACAGGACACACTTTGTGCTAAAGCAAAACTAATTTATTTAACCATCTACGTGGAATGACAAGAGAGAGAGAGAGAGAGTTGAAAGCAGAAGCCCTTCCTTCCTTACACTATATCGATCTGACATTCTTCCAATTACAGCATCACGCCCAATATGCTACAGTACGTGGTGTCCTGTAGCGCATTGCTTAGAGCACTCGCCTCGCAAGTGAGAAGGCCTGAGTTCAATTCCCTGGCAGGGCAAAACCTTAGGCAAGTTTCCTTACTCCATGTGCTTCTGTTTACCTAGTAGTAAGTAAAAACCTGGTTGTTAGTCATTTGGGGGATTGCTTTTGGGAGTAATAATCCCTTAAAAAAATAATAATAATTTAATCACTCAATCCACAACTGTTTTTGGGGCCTGCTGTGCGCAATTGGCTGCCGTGTTTCACCTACAAAATATACTTTACAAGATATTCTGTGAAGTGCTTTGAGCTGTCTCGACGATGTGATAAGGCACTATATCAAATTCAAGGATTATTATTATCATTATCGCTCTTACCTTAAATTCAGTGTTCTGGTCTGAACCATTCTTGCTGGTATCCTTAGGCCAGCTAGTCGTTCATTGCCCTCTGTGTAAAGAAAAACATCCTGTTGTCTGTCCTAAACGTGCCATTCACAACCCTGAACCTCTACTCTGCCATACTGCTTTCACAGCCAGCCTGAAAGCATTGTACCTGGTTTCCTTGCTCTGTGCAACATACGAACTTAGGAATTGCTAGATGAAAAAAGACCAAGATCCATCTAATTTGCCTTCTACCATCCCGGTAGTTGCATACTACAATAATGGAGATATGCACTGAAGTACAGTGAATATATCATATGAAGACTGAATCTATTTTGCCCTTCTCAATGACATGTCACCATTAGTTTCAAATAAAAAAAAATGAGAAAATGGCATGGACAAGGAGTTGCCCCTTTACTGAGATGCCCACAAAGTGAGGTTCCACTGAGTCTGGTATACTACAGTAAGTTTCCTCTCTGCATGATACTGGTGTGATAATTGACATGATTACCGGGAGTGATGATAAAACGCAGGTTTCAGAGTTAATGGGGTGAAAAATGCAATGAATGCAAACAATGCGACATTTGGCGTGATCATATCCTCGGAATTTCCCCTCCTGGTGATGTCCCACTGAATGACTGGTGAACACTCCCTCACCCTCCTCCTCTCCTCACTTTGTGAAAATAGTCGGGAGAAGTATCAGCAATAATAACTATCACATTGAACATCACATATTGTTTAACCTCAGTCTGGTATGGTTCTGGTTGTACAACTACCATTGATGAGCTTGGATACCTCTAGCTCGAGCAGGGCATCGATAGCAGGTACGTCAATCATTGCTGATTCTGACCTGAACGGCGCTGGAACAAAGCCCAAAACTGTATAGATCTGATCGCAGCTTAAGTGGCTTGTAGCAAGATTCAGCAGATTGATTTGGTAACCCCCATTCCCTGCATCCAGGCAATCAGACAGGTGTCATGGTCAGGTACCCAGATGTGTGTAAAGCAAACTCTACGCCCATTTTGGGTATGATCTTCCGTCGGGGAAGTGTGAACGGGGGTCGGAGTGGAGTTCCAGAGGGAGGCAGGCCTCCGACATGTCCGGATACCTGCAGGAAGCACTGGCTTCAACTCTCACTGGATCCTGACTATAAATTGTCCGTTATGTGTCAGTTTAAAAACTATCGGATTTTATCCTTATCGGTGGATTTGACCCATTGTTCTATTCCGTTGATTGATTGTTACTCTTAGTTGCCAATTTATGTGTTTAGCCCAAACAGCTCTCAAATAGCACTGTCAGTCTCCACGAGTATTAATGGTCTTACAGTCGCTCTGGCCAGGATTTCCTGACACCTGCTTTGATGAAGGAAGAGAAAGTCTGGCCTGGTGAAATTGTTATACTTTAACCCTTGTGCTGCTGGTTAAGCCTCCAAGGATTTACGATTTTTGTGCACTCTAGTTAAAAACACTAAGATATTGATTTGAGCATAGCTCCTGTGCATAGTAGGGAAGTAACTGCTGTGAGCCTCACTTGACTGATGGACGTTATGGTAACTTTGAGAACAAGCTCAGAAGCTGAGAAAGAATCAAGGATAAGCTTACACAAATATATTGGTGAGGTACGCAAGGTGAAATGATAAAGTGAAAGGCATTCAGCTCATGGATATCTTGCATTATATACCCTAGACTGGACCGTTTCAATGTCCTGAGGTAGGTGGCTGACCACAAATGAACTTGAAGTTGTGGGAACATTGACCACACAGTGAAATGTGAAGGTTTTCTATTCAAAACCAAGCAAAAAAAACCTTAATCAGAACAAAAGTGTTGAATTGGCCAAGTGTGTTGAACTTTGCGACAATATATCAGGCACTTATAGGAAAAGATCTCTTGTTTTTCCTTTTAGTGAATAATCAAAATGATAAAATGGAAGGACAACAAGGCAACGCTGAAATAACTGAGGAACTGAACTGGGATATCCCCTACTCTGAGTCACTGCCAGCGAGTCACAGAGAGCAGAGGCACAGGCACAGCTGTACCAAGCGGCATGGCAGCACTGCACTACCGGTAACACTCACCAGTGATCTACTCGATGTTTACCGTACTTTAAATGAATGAATGTGTATAGCAGGAAGGTAACTGGTGTATATAGCAGGGAGGTAACTCCTGTGTTTAACAGGGAGGTGACTGGTGTGTATAACAGGGAGGTGATGTACGTGCACCCTACTTGACCGATGGACATTACAGTAACTTGGGAGTACGAGCTCAGAAACAGAGAAAGAACCCAGGATACGCTATCACTGAAAGAATAACTTTGCAACTCTCTGAACTTGTTCCCAATTTCAGAAATTTACCATCTGTGAAGACAAACTGGGGTTAACGCGAATTGGGGATCTCTCCCACCATGACATGAAAAAAATTCACAACCTCACTCTAATTGAGATAACCACATTCTTCGATGCATTGGGGATGGAGCTGAAGAAAAACAGGATTCTGCGGGTGAAAACAAGAGGTAAGCGTTGCAATCGACTGGACTCTTTGTGTATTGAGACTAAAATGCATCCAAGATGATGGGTGAAGGATATAGAGCAGAAACAGATGAGGCTTCGTTCAGTTCGCTGTGCAGTGTGCTGTGCCAATCTTCATAGAAATAAAATAAATAGAGGGAATGTATGATCTGGGTTAGGAGCGTGTCTGATCTGAGAGGGGTGCGTCACCCACATTGAACATTATTGAACGTTCCTCACTTAACATAAAGCAAAAAAAAAGGAGAATTCTTCTGAAATAAAAATTGCACACTTTTCTCCCAATGTATTTGCTGACGAGATAACGTTTCCTATTTGCTGCAGAAAGTGGTCTCTTTGGTGTTCCTCTCACAACGTTACTTGAAAATGATCAGAAGAAGGTTCCTGGTACGAAGGTTCCTCTTATCTTTCAGAAAGTAAGTATGCTGTAGTAAGGTGCACGGGAAAGGGGTCAGTCTTAACATGGAGAGTGAGGGATCTTCACTCTTTCATAGCACTGCCAACAGGACTGGCTCCAACTCACGCCTGTTGAAAAGAGGATAAGTCAAGTTTCTTGATGCTTCAGTGTTAGAAGAATGAGCCATGGGCAACAATTGGACAAGCTAGGGCATAGGTGATTGAGGCCAGCACGCTAGATTCATTTAAAATATGGCTCATTTCTGTGATGGGTGGAAGGTAGAATGGGAGGTCTGGAAAGATTACATCAAATGGGCTGAAGGGCCTTCCTTCTTCATCCAAAACAGTTTTGTGAGCTTGTGGTTTTCATTCTTGAAAACAGACGTCTCAGAGGGGACCTTATAGAAATATATATGATTTGAAATGGGAATGAGAAATGAAACCCAGAGCAACAGTTTCAGATTCACCAAAGTAGCAGAACAAGAAGACACAAGTTAAGAGTTACAAAAGGCAAATTTAGAACAGAACCCTAATACCCCTGAGGGTATTCGAATACTGGTATGGGTTACCAGGAAGGGCGGTAGGGGTAATTTAAGGATCAGCTCGATGCTCCAATGGGAAGATGGTAAGGTGGATACTTGGATCAGGACAGATGAGCTTTGTTCATCTGATTCATTTTTGTGATCTTATGCTAAGAAAGACAATAAACATGTCATCAAATTGTAGATTACAGCCCTTGATTTATATTGGCATCAACTTCCCTTTCAATCAGTTTACGTTGTTTGATAAAGTGATCCTTGTGTAAATTAACATAAGCAATACATTTTGAAAAATCGCAAACTTTACCCCTTTGCATGTTTCCCCTCAATGAGTTAATGCCGTGCGGACTGCAAGTGGCCTTCAGCCAGTTCTCACCTTGGGTTTTGGAAAGTTTCTGCAGGGAACAATGATACATAAACAGCTGGCAGGCAATTGGAGCAGGAAGCAATGAGTAATGAGAGCAGGATGAGAAGAGCAATGCCTTTTTTTTAATGAATAAATATTTGCATTAATTTAACCAGTCAACATGTAGGGAGACCAGATAACGGGATAAACAGTAAGTAAGACTGTGAGTAAAAAGAAGGGTTTCCTATCTTCTCTTTCATCTGAAGTATTTACTGCTGCTCAGATCATTGTTGCTGATGTTGTCTTTGTTTTCCTGTTTTGAGAGAGGTCTGCTGTATACTGTTGTCCTGTATTTTTTTCTCCTTGGCGCTCTTCTGTATTCTCTCAAATCACAAGAGTTGTTCGATGAAGAAGGCCCTTTGGCCATTTGATCATCCGATTAGACAACCCACCCTATACCCTCGCACAAGCGCCTAAAGCTGTTTCTCAGATAAGGCCAGCAATTTAGATTCAACCACCCTTCCTGGCAACCTGTTTCAGTCGTTAATTACTCTCATTGTAAAGAAATACTTCCTGGTGTCTGTCCTGAAATTGCCCTTCACAGCTGTGAACCTGTGTCCTCTTATCCTGGATCCTTGGGGTATGTGATTGTATTGCTCTGGTCCGTATTGTTTAATCTCATTTATAATAATAATCTTTGCATTTGATATAGTGCCATATCACGTCTTTGAGACGTCTCAAAGCGCTTCACAGAATATCCTGTAAAGTGAATTGACTGTATATTTTGTGGGCAATCTTTTACATTCAAATAACTTAAGCTTGTTTGTCGCTTTGAAAATCCATTGCTTTTAAATCAAAATGTGCAACGATTCTCTTCATCCCCAGCTTTTATTGAAACTGGAACACAGTGGTTTGGAAACCGAGGGAATCCTGCGTGTCCCTGGGTCCGCCTCACGGGTGAAGGTAACATTCATTTCACATCGTTCTTCAAACCGACCTTTTCATCTCTTTCACGTGAAAGGCACTACACAAGTGCAAGTTGTTTCCAAACGCTAATGATCTCGTGGCACTATTTTGAAGAGTGTGCTTCCCTCATCTAAATTTACCCCCAAAAAATGATGAATTGGCCCATCATCTCATTGTGGTTTGTGGGATGTTGCTGATGCAGATTCCTGTGTTTGTTCAGTAAATAATAATAAATAATAATGATTCCTACATTTAATATTGTTTCTGTAACACTGAAATGCCCCAAAACACTGTACAGCTGGATAATTGCTGTCCAGTGTAGTGACTGTGTATTGGGTAGGCAAATGTGGCAGTTAGAATGAAAACAGCAGAATCCCACAAACATCCCTGAAATTATTAGTTTTATTTGGAGACTTGTCGGCAAAGACATCGGGAGAAATAGCGGCACGCAATCTTTAACGTCCGTCTGAACAGATTCAGAAGGGACCTCGGTTTAAGTTCTCATCTGAAGTTCACCCAACATAACAAGGGCCAATGCACTTCAAAATGACAAGATCTGTGTAGAGCTTTGAGACACTTTGGGGTGATGGTGCATTGTATCAGCCACAGGTATTATTCCGTACTGAGCTGTCTAAACCTCTTCGGGTGCAAACTCTCGACTGTCCAAAACTTGGATGTGCTCCCGATGTAAAAGGCAGTGTATAAATACAGTTTGTGGTTGTTGTGGTCATCTCCCTGCATAGCAATCGTTGGCTTGCTTTGTTTCAAGCGCATTTGAAAGCTTCTAAATATGTAGAATCTCATCCAGTGGATGTGTTTCATTGTGTTAGGATTCCCAATGGGTGGGGGGGCGGGTGGTGACACGAGGCAATCCTTTGAATCAGCCAGGTTTTTATTATTGTAGGTAGTGAGGCATTCACGATTTTACTCTTCATCTGTGTTGATTCATGAAACATGAGGCCCTTCAGATACTGTTAAATGACTCATACTCCAAGTATTTCCTTGGCTGCTCTCAAGCTGCCTTATAAGTACATAGGAGCGCTCCTCTCTGCGTGGGGACCCTTCCAAAATGAGACAGACCCAGGCGAAAAGGATTAAGAACTAGCTGAATCTTGAAACGAAAATTGATATCTAACACTTGCCAGTTTGTTAGAAAAAAAATCTCCACAGTGGATCTGTGCGTCTGTGATGCCAAGTTCTCAATCTTGCTTCTGACTGAGAATAGAATACAAGGGCTTTTATTCCTGCGGGGAGAAAAGAAAAGCAGGAAGCACGAGTCAATGTATCTTTAAGAGAGTCTGAAGGCTGGGCATGAGTGGCTGTTGTTAATAATAAATAATAATAATCCTTGCATTTGATACAATGCCTTATCACATTGTCAAGATGTTCAACACATCCTGTGTGTTTGTGACACGATGGGATATGGATTACCAATAAGGATGTCAGTCTGGCTCAGTTTGGTTCACTCTCACCTCTTGAGTTAGAAGATTGTGGGTTCAATCCCCACATCATGATTTTGAACTCACAATCCAGGTCGACACTCCAATGCAGTGTGATGGACCCCTTCCATTGTCAAAGATGAAGTCTTGCCTAGCTGTTAAGGTGGATGTTAAAGATCCCATGACACAACTTGAAAAGTGAATGGAGTTTCTCCCACTGTCCTAGCCAACAATTCCCCAGATAAAATTGATCATTCACTTTATAAATGGAATTTTGTTGTTGTTGTTGTTCATGGCTTTGTGTGGTATATTGTTGTGGGCAAATTGGCTGCCACATTAGCCTACAAATAAAATGATATAGATCCAGTACAGTCCTGTGAAGAGCTTTGAGACTTCTCAACAACATGGTGAAGCACCTTATAAAATTCAAAGCTTATCAATAACTTATAAGTTAGTCACTCCAGTGCACATGTGTGAACCAGCTTCCTTATAATAATAATAATAATCCTTGCATTTGATATAACGCTTTTCACGTCAGGAGGACGTCCCAAAGCACTTCACAGAATATACTGTAAAGTGAATTGACTGTATATTTGTGGGCGAACGCGGCAGCCAATTGTGCACAGCAATGTCCCACAAACAGTCAAAGATTGAAAATGACCAATTTATTATTGTTTTTGGTTTTGGAGGGATTATTATTAGGCTCTGTGTGGAGTAAGGAAACTTGCCCAAGGTTTCGCCCTCTGCCTGGAATTGAACTCAGGTCTCTCGCTTGCAAAGCGAGTGCTCTAACCACTGAGCTACAGGACTCCATAGTACAGGATACAGGACATAGTATTTCTCAGTGTTTAATGCAATTGGTTAAAAGAGAACGAGAGAAGCAGGGAGAGAAAAATAGTGAGAAGGACACATGTAAACCCATTGAAGATGTGGGGGGGGGGGAAGGGGTTAACAAATTGCAATATGTGAAACCTCAAAACTCATACATTGCATAGCTGCAAGAAAGTATTAGAGGGTACAGGGAGAGAACAGAGAATGAGGAGGTTGGACAGATTGCTTTATTTGGTAGAGGAAATGACCAACACTATTACAGTGTGTCAAAAGGCTTCCAACCGCATCAGATTATATATGATTCTAAAGTGAGTGAAATAGTTTTAGAATGTTGAAGACTGCCTTTGTAAGATCGCTGAGATGGGAGTTGTGAGTTTGGGCTGAACATGGCTATGATTTATGCTCCACAGAGCCTGCGGCAAGAGCTGGAAGCGAAATTTCATGAGAACTTCGACTGGGACCAAGTGCGGCAGAATGACGCTGCCTGCCTGCTGAAGATGTTCATCCGTGAGCTGCCAAACTCCCTCCTGACCATGGAGTACCTGCCTGCATTCTCAGCCGTGCAAAGTACGACCCTGAGTTCCCAAGCTTTAACCCCCTCCCCCCCCCCCCCCCGCGCCACCACCTCCCTTCCTCCCCTTCCCTCCCTCCCCTTCCCTCCCTCCTTTTTTATTTCTCCTCTTGTTCAGCCATACTCCTCCAGTTTGAAGAGAGGAATCACAGAAATTACGGCATAAGAGGAGGTCATTCAGCCACATTTGAGCCTAACTCGTCCACTCGGATATCCAACTAGTCTAATCTCAGTTCCCTGTCCTTTCCCTGTAACTTTTAACATTCCTGCTATTCAAATTATTGTCAAAATGTCTTTTAAATGTTCTTATGGTCCCGGTCTCAATAGCTGCTTGCAGCAAAACCTCCCTCTTAACTCTTAAGTTACAGTAACAATGCTGAGTTTATGTCACCTTATTACCAATTCACTAACCAATAATGTTATCCTTTCTAAATCTGTCTGAATTTTGAATTTTATTAGATCCACCCCTTTATTAGATATGCCCCTCTGTTCTATTGGACCCAATATTTTGAGCTTGCCCTCATGCCTGTAATCACTCGTCCATAAAATCTTGTGCAAGCTTGCACATTACATTTCTGACAAATGGGAAATTTCCACAGGTAGATGGCCTACATATGTGTAGTTCTGTTTGGTTGGGATACTTCTGAAGCATGGCAGTCGGTTTCCGGATGTGTTAGATGCCTGACCGAGCTAAAAAAATCAATTCCTGAAACCTCAGGATCGGTATGGGTTGGGCATTTCTCTGCTTCCACTGTCTGTTGTATGTTACCTTGAAGAATAAATTAAGTTTCAGCTAAGTGAGATCTCGCTAGTTAATAACCATGCTCCTTGTGTTTCAGATCTCTCTCAGCCTAAGTTGCAGTTACAGGCTCTACACCTCCTGATTATGTTGCTGCCTGATCCCAATAGAGACACTATTAAGGTACGTGGGAAAGTAGATGAATGGGGCCTCTAGAGGCCTGGAATTCCATCAATTCTTAGCCTCGCCCATTTTCTCTGAAAATTATAGTATCAGTTTTAAATTTTGAAGCCAGTTCTTACAAAGAGCCAACAACCAAATTAGGCCTGGATGTAATCATTTTCCATATTTCTGCACAATCTTAAATTTTAAATCAAATGATGAGGCTAGGATCGAGCTGGACTATGAGAGCCTTGGGGCCCTATAGCCTGGGGTCGACAATCCCTGTGGAAAAAAAAGTCACCTGAACTATTAGGGATAAAACAAGAGGTTCTTTGTCTTTCCCCACCCACAGGCTTTCCTGGAGTTTCTTTGTAAAGTCATAGCAAATGAGGCAAAGAACAGAATGAGCCTGTGGAACGTCTCCATGATCGTTGCTCCAAACCTCTTCATGTGCAAAGGGAAAAGCGGGAATCAACAGGAAGCTGAGGCTGCAACCAATGCTGCCAACATTGTGCAACAACTCATCAAATACCAGGACATCTTGTGGACGGTGAGGGAACCCAGCAAGTTTTTTTTGTCAACAGGAGGTCTGACACACGCAGAAACCATTCACCATGTTTATGGGTATCCAAACCAAACTGCGAATTCCACATAAAAATGACCACCTATATGTGGAAATTCGTTCTGTGTCTGGAGCGGAATGTGTGTGCTCTCCCTGGAGGGATGAACCCTGCTTATTTAATTCTGGAGTGTTTCAGGCGCAGGTTGGCAAGAGAATGTGACTTTTTCTCATGACCAAGGCCAGAACCAGGGCTAAAATCAGAGTACAAAAACAGAAGTCGCTGGGAACACTCAGCAGGTCAGGCAGCATCTATAGAGAAAGGAAAGTGAGTCAACGTTTTGGGTCCATGATCCTTCATCAGAACTGGAGTAATTTGGGAGGGAGAGGCTTTAAAGGGCTAATGGAGAAGGGGGATGCAGGGCAAGAAAGACAAAGAAGAAAGTAGGGTAAAGGGCAGGGGATGATGGGTTAAAGAGGTGATAATGATGTAGAACAAAGGGGGAGGGGTTGCAACAAAATGGGAATAGAGGTGTTAATACTGCAAAATCAGAGTCATGGGAAGGGACAAGGAGTCAACCTATTCCCTATTTCCTCTGGATAAAATTGGTAATTGACTTCATGGTAATTCATTGGGACATTGCTCCGTGCCCACGAATACACAGTCACTACATTTGCCAGTAATTACTCATGAAGGGTTTGGAGATGTTAAAGGGGCTGTTAAGCGCTCTGAGAGGGTGCTATGTAAGTGCAAGTTGTTGTTGCTTTCAAATAACTATTATAAAGACTTTTCCTTGACTCATTTTTGATTATTGATTATTTCATTACTTGATTATTTTTTCTTATTTTTCCCACGCCACACAGATCCCGTCCTTCATGATCTCCCAAGTGCGGAAGATGAACGAGAGCGAGAACAGTGGCAACCGCAAGCATCTGGGCTTAGATAAAAGTATGAAAAAGATACTGCGAATGATTAACATGGAGTGGGAGAGACCAGAACGGGCAGAGGTAGGTCAGAGGCCTGAAACTCTACCTGCTCTCAGCCTGTAAGACCATCTGAAGTTTAAGATAATAATAAAAATAATAATAATTGGTATTACGCCTTTCACGTCAGGAGGACATCCCAAAGCGCTTCACAGGATATACTGTTAAGTGGAGTGACTGTATGGATGAAAAGATAGCACAGAATTGTAGAACAAAATTGAAATTCACTCTTAATTTGGAATCCGGTTCTTTTTAAGAACTAGGGAAGAACCAGCTTCCAACTGAAGACTCCCCTGAGAAATGCACCCCGCTCACCTAAACCCAGAAAGTATTAGGAGCAGGTTGGAAAGAACCAAGGCTTGGATACCCCAGAGTGTCGGTTTGGTCAATCTTCCGGCTGCTTGTACAGTCATAGAACGATACAGGATTTGCAGCACAGAAGAAGGCCATTCATTTCATCCTGGCTCTGTAGTTTACACCATTTGATGCGTATCTAGACCACACTATCCATCAAGGCGTTGTCTTGCAGTGTGAACAGCAGTCAAAAGTCACCATTTACACACAATTTAACTTAATTAGGAAGTCACATCATCCAGAAAGCATGCCAAGTGTTTTTTAAAACAATACTTTCTCGCTCTCTGCAGTTGGACATACCAGAGGGAGTTATTCGTGTCTATTCCACTCAGTTATCGAAGGTCTCCATGGCAATCCAACTGGACACCGAAACAAAGGCCAGTGACATCCTGTCTCGGTTTCAATACGAAAACAGGTGAGTTAGTGAAAAATCAATATTATTGTGAAAGTGACCTTGGAAATTGCAAATAGCCGTGGTGGCAGGGGGAGGGGAGGAAGAGGGAGAGAGATTGTTTCCTGTTACACCAACAAGCATTGCACAGCGATGGAGAGCGAAAGGAAAGAATCAAAGCGTGTTTTTCGCACAGGAGGAGGCCATTCGCCATGGCTTCTGAGCTAATTCCAGCTCAACCACACCAGTATCTCCCCCAACCCCTCAACTCAGTGCATCTGTTCTGGCTCCTTCTGACATTGATTAAGAGTTTACACAAGAGATCTTTTTGCAGCACTGGTGATAAGTTTTACCTACTAAACAACGTCAATGAGTACAACGTGCTTTAGAACCGTGGAATTGGACAACCCCAGAAGGAAGCCATTCGGCTGCTCATGCCTGTGTTGGCTCTCTGTCTTGTCTTGCCTGCTCCACGTCCCCCGACCCAGCCGCTCCACCATTGGCGGGAGAGCCTTCAGCCACTCTGCCCCCAACCTCTGGAACTCCATCCCCCAATCAATTCCGCCTCACCTCCTCCTTAGCCTCCTTCAAGTCCCGCCTCAAAATCCTCCTCTTCAACCGTGCCATTGGTCACCCTCCTCTCCTCCCTGACCCCAGCTCGGGTCTGAAATGCTGTACACTGCCCAGCACCTTGGGACGTCCTCCTGATGTGAAAGGTGCTATACAAATGTAATCTTGTTTGTTGTTTAGCCTCACTCCTCTGCTCTTCCTCCATTACCAACCAACGGGGAGGGGGAGGGGCGGCGAGCAATGGTGGGTTCTTCAATAATGCGCACTTCTTGGTGAATCCTGAATGAAGCATGTTTTTTCCTTCCTCAGCACTGGAACTACAGAGCCTCCACATGGACAGATCCATTCACTATTTGAGATCGGTGGAAATATAGGTAGGAATTTTCACACACACACATCTTGTCCTTCGGATACAACATTAAACTGAGGTCCCATCTGCCTGTTCAGGTGGATGTTAACTATCTTGTAGCACTATTTGAAAAGAGAAGGGAATTTCTCCTGGTCAACAATCCCCCAAATTAAGAAAAAAGCTCACTCACACCATGGCTGTTTATTTATGGGACACTGTTGTGTGCTACTGGCTGCCGCATGTCACCCACAAAGTACACAGTCAATCCACTTTAACAGTATGTCCTGTGAAGCGCTTTGAGATATCTCAACAATGTAATAAGGCGCTATATCGAATGCAAGGATTATTATTATTATGGCACACACACAAAATCCTCCCCAAAATCTAAGATGCTCTCCTAAGTGTTGCTTTTGGTAAATTTATATATTTTTTGTTATTAATTCAGTCATTGGCTCAAATAACTAACAACAACAACAAGATTTCATTTATAGAGCGCCTTTCACGTCGGGAGGACGTCCCAAGGCGCTGGACAGTTGGGTCGGGACCCGAGCAGGGGGGAAATGGTCAGGGTGTGGGGAGGGAAGGGAGGGAGTGAGGAGGGGTTAGAGAGTCGAGAGCTGGGGAAGACTCTGGTTCAGTTCTACCCAGACACTTATGAGTTTTTAAGCTGCTCCAGGACAATGTGATGAGCAGTTGGGAGCATGAATGTAATATTAAACTGACCGAGCTAACATCTGCCTGGTCAGGTGGACATTGAAGATCCCACGGCAAGTGAGATTCTCCCCGGCTCCTGACCAACAATTGATCATGGCTGTTTGTGGAACGTTGGCTGTGCCCAATTTGGCTGCCGTGTTCATCTACAAAATACAGAGTCACTACACTTCACAGCAAAAATCTGTGAAGTGCTTTGAGACGTCCTCCCAAAGTAAAAGATACCTATATCAAAGATAAGGATTATTATTGTTATTATTCCTGACACCGTGAAGCTTGTTGGGAGGTTCCTGGTCAGAGATCAGTTCCCAAGCAGAGTTGGAGGATTCAACCTGAGATGTGTCTGGCCATCTGAAAGAGCTGCTACTTACAAGTTAATTTTCCAGATTTATAGATTACTTTCCCATACATCATCCCCCTAGCCCCCTCGCCCCCACCCCCCCCCCCCCCCCCCCCCCCCACACACACACATGCATACACAACTGTGTTATAGTTTTGTTAACGTGATAATGTTTGGCTTCCCTGCAGGAGAACGCTGTCTGGACCTTAATACACGCATGCTGGACTTGTACCGGATAAATCCCCACGCAACCTGGGTTATTAAACCCAGGACACCCTGAGACTGCTGGCCTGGTGCTGTGTGTTCTGCGAGTTTCCACGAACTTAGCAAATTCAACCTCACAGAAAGTGACGGAGCCTGGGACAGACTCGTCTGTGTGTCCGAGCCTTTGTGGGAAGCTGTGAATGAGGTTGACAACAAGTTGATTTTTTAAAAAAAATCTGCAGTTGCTGGATTTTCAGACTGGCCGTTTCTCCAAGAAAGGCAAAGGAGAGAGAGATTTCCAAAGTTGTATACGTTATCATTTGATGGCGAACAAACTATGTCCTCCATCCTGTGCTTTATTGAAGACTTTGCCTCTCCCACAACATTCAAAATGTGCCACATGATGCACTAGGCAGCGAAAAAAGGTTTTGCTTCATCCTGAATCAACCACTTGGAATAAACATAGCCAATGGCTTCTGGAAGTAGAAAGCTACAGCGCAGAAGGAGTTCATTCCTGACTTTGAGTCATCGAATCCAAGACTCAGTACAGTAGAATACTGGAGATACAGTAGATAGGTGTATGTGCAGCATTGTCGGAGCAATGGGAGTTTCTCCCAGTATCCTAGCCACTAATCCCCCAATTCAATTGGTCATTCACTTCATGGCTGTTTGTGGGATACTGCTGTGTGCAAAATGACTGCCACATTTGTCCACAAATACAGTCACTACTCATACCCTGTGAAGCTCTTTTGAGACAGACTCCCTACACTACATCAAATGCAAGGATTTGTATTGTTATTATAGTGTGTATTTTAAAAAGCGCTGCCTTTTGAGTGAATCGGGCTCAGTTGAGAACTTGACTCACGAACTGGGATTCTGGTGTTTGCCCCACCTACTGTTTGCGTATGAGAAAAGCAGGGAATGCATTATTACTGAGTCCGAGAAAATAGACGGGCCAAAGGAATAAACAAGAGTCAAGAGTTTTTTTTTTAAAAAGATTATTGTATACATTTAAAAAACGTTTCTTTAATGTGTGGGTGCCAAAATTCCTGTCTGATGAAATGGGATTGATGGTGTTACAGGAAGGGATGAGAGGTTACCTGTGCCCAGCCCACACTCTCATGACTGGTACAGAATTCCCAATGGGCTTGTGACTCAGACTCAGACCCCACCCTGTCTCCCAAACCAGGCGTTTGCACAGCGCTCAAATGGAAAGGACGCATCGTGCCACCCTCTTCCAAACAGTTCTTCCTCCTATATCCTGTGGATAAAAGAGGGTGAAAAAAAGGTGCAGTAATGTGCAACGACAAAATGGAGGAACGCCTGTCCGGGAGTGGGCAGCGTTTTTATTATTGTGAATAGTTTATCTCTGTGTATAATTGTTAATGTTTTTGTTACGTTATGATAATGGGAAGTGAGGCAAGCGTTTGCTCCTAGACGTCACTGGCCTTTCCCAGTGCTGCAGGTGCCATCGGTCACTCTGGGACGCACTGCATTTAGACCTTGTGTGCACGAGTGTCTGTGTGTCTGTATGTGTATTTGTGTATGTGTGTATATGCATGTGTGATTTCATGTATGTGTGAGTATGATTGTGTATGTTTGTGTATGTATGTGAGCATGTAAGTGCGTATATGAGTGTTTGAATGTGTGTGTGTGTATGCTTCAATGTGCTGGTGTGAATGCATGTGCACACATGCATGTCTGATTCCTCTGGTTATCTCAGATGTGTTTATTGTATTTGTTTGGAAAATTACCAGTTCTGCAATGCTGGGTGAACAACGGTTTAATAGAAGTAGGAAAACTAGGTTCTTTCATGATAACTGACCATGTTTCTAAAGATGGGGGGAGAGGAGAGAAGATACAAATGTTTTCTCTTCTTACTTGTAATAAGTAACCAACTATGAAATGCCTTTGTTTCTATGTGTGCTGGGGAAAGTCTGTGATCTTTTGCTGCTTGGACAATTTCCACCATTTTCAAGTGACTTCTACAATCGGTGACAATGATCACATCCCACTGATGGATGTGGATGAATGAATGAGATTTCCAGTGGATTACCTTTGATGCCAGTCAAGGTACCCTTGAACAGTATAAATAACTGTGTAGCTGTAGTTTCTAATACTTGATGTTTAGTAAAAATTCTCTTCCTTCACAGTGCCCACTGGGCTGCCTGCCAGGAATGCTGTGTAGACTGTAGAGCTGTTTATGCATGCTGTGTGTTTAGGAGCAAAAGCCACTTTTTTATACATTTATTTGTTGATGCTTTTTTAATGTTGTGTTTTCCTAAGATCTGTTTTGGAAAAGCTACCTCTGTTGGACATATTTGGGGATAATGTAACTGATCTCACCATCACAGCTGGGATTTGCTGGAGGAGAGGGTATAAAGGGCATTGGCCACTACACAATCAAAGTGATTCCTCTAAAGTCTAGACAATTAGTTATAGGGAATTTATGGCTGGCAAGCCAGCAAATTTTGCTGACTGCCAGCCAGTCTGAAAGATCAATGATATTGGCAGCAGAAACATTTGAGACAGGAGTTTCTCCCACCTGTTTCCTGGCTTACAGTCCCGCAGATATAATTGGGCACTCACTTCACGGCTGGTTCTGGGACGTTGCTGTGTGCAAATTGACAAATACAAAGTCAGTACACTCTACAGTAATTATGTTGCTAGGAACTGTAGGTGTGCTATCAAATGCAACTCTTATTATAAAATGGGCTTTAATATGAGCACGATGTTTGTGAATACTGCATTTTCAACCCTGCGGAGTTACTGCTCGTTCACCACTTGGGAAGCTCTAGTTGCCACAAGTTCACTCCATGAGCAGATTTCACATGAGAGTTAGAATTACAAAATATTGTAATTCCAGCACTCGCACCCTTCTCAATCCAGTTTAAAGATAAATTTTGTAAGTTTGTTCCCTCTTATTTAGTGTTTAAAACAATGGTGATTACAATTTTAGTCAATATTTGTTAAACGTTGAATCCTGATGGTAACCGACACAAGCCACTCCGATCCACGGAAATACCTCTCCTTCATGTTCCCTATGGGTTGAAGGGACTTGCCACTTAATGGCGGGATTTTCCAAACTGCTGCAGTCCCTGTGTTTTTGAGCGCACTGTCATTCTTTCTAATAATTGTGTATAAAAATACAACAGAAATGTGATCTGAAACGAGTGATCTGAAATCTCCTATAGTCTTAGCTTTAATACTCAGAGGGAGAAATGCTATGATCTTAAATTCTGCCTGTACTTAGAAGTATTCCATTTTCTTAGCGTTTTGGAGTCCAGAATTTGGCAAATTGTTGAATTCAGTCTTGTTGGACAAACTTAAATCGGTCAAGAAGAACTCATGGAAAACAAATTCAAAATTAGGAATGTTTGGAAGAATTTGCTCAATCCTAGATACTCTTAACATGCTAAGAAAATATATAGTAAATCTAGATGTAGGTGGAGTTTTGATTTCCAGTGTCTTACAATTGGAGATCATGCCAACTTTGGAAGCCATTTCTTTTCGAGAATTGTGAAAAATTTATGTCTTCCAAATAAAAGCAAAGTATAATTTTTTTTGTACCGACTTCAAAATTTTAGGTTTAAAGTCTTCAGACCAAGGCCAGCAGAAATTCTGTGCCTAAGGTGCTTGAAGTGGGAAAGATTTCCATTCACTGTCGCAGACATACCTCACCTGGATGAGAGCAATCATTGAAGACATTTTTGAAGGCAAAACTTTTCTTGAACTTTGATCCTCTTCCCCAACCAAACCCAAGTCTTCTACACTCAGCCAGTCCAGCATTATTGAGTGTTTGACAATACAACTGGATCTCTCCTGATCCTGTAAAAAGTAATTCTGGTTCTAGAGCCCAACCAACTTAGGAACAGTATCAATAACTGGCTTTCAGGACACAAAGGAAAAGATTTTCAATATAGCTGAAAGGTTTAAAAAATGACCACAGTACCATATCTTCTCTTTGTTGCTGCAAATGGGTTGCGATTTGTTTGAGAGAGAATGGGGCTTGCGAGTCAAAATTCCTTCCTGACCCCACCTTGGTTAGCAATATGCTTGGGTGGGGGGCTTTTTCAGTTTTTTTCATTTTCTTTGTGTTTAGTGACCAATGGTATCTATATTCGCTCTCGTCCTTCAATGCTGTGCAACATGTGGTCTGTTTTTCTGCTTGTTCCTAGTATGTAGCTCGAGTGAATTTGTGTGTAGGGGAGAGAAGGGGGAGGGGAAAGATAGAAAGTCAATTGTAGAAGGATGATTCTCTACCATAGCAGTGAAGCTCAGAGTAGAATCTCTTGTCATCCCTACTTGGTCCATTTTACAGCCAAATAAACGGAGCGACCGTCTCCGTGGGTGCATTCACATACATTATATGTGTATAGTTGAGGTGTCCATGTTGCTTAATTGTGTTCTCAAGCCATGTGTATAGTATCTTAATCGGGCTCTAAGGAGGGCCATTAAACCTCCCTCGAAAACTCCCATTACTACTGACCACACACAGAAAAGGTTATGGATGTGTACAGATGTATATCATAATTTACTACATATCACGACTGTTAAAACCAATAAACTTATTAAAAAAAACTTTTTTTAAGCTGCATTTCTCTGTGCTTGAGCATCAAAACATCTTGAAACCTTACAAAAGCAAACCTAGTGTTTAATGCCTGGCACTGTACAATTTTCTTGACTGCTTCCCTCGGATTTTCTCTCTGCTTGACCTACACCTCAATTTAATGTAATTTCCTTTCTCTTGGCAGTTGGAACCACCACTTCCTCAACGGTTTTGGCAGACAGGAGAACTCATCATCTGGCAATTTACAGGAACGTTTATAGGACAAGAAATGGGGGTGGAAGGGGATTGTCTTCTAGCAATCCTGGTACACTATTCGAAAGAAAGCCTTTCTCCTGGTGCCCTGGATGACAATCCAGATAAGATCATTTAGCTCATGACTATTTGTGGGACCTCACTGTGCGCAAATGCTGGATTTGTCCACAGTAAACAATCACTACACTTGACAGTAAAGGCTTGTGAGTCGTTTCATTAGTATTGGTGCTATAAAACGTATTTTTCTTATATTCAATCTGATGCATCGTTTTGAGGCATCTCGAAGATATGATAAGGCAGTCTGTCAAATACAAGGATTATTCTTATTAACAAAAATTCCTTCATAAGAACACCGATGCAGAATTCCTTCTGGGTATTGAAATTGTGTCACTCTGATTTGTGGGAATGCTGCACTGATCCACTTTGGAAGTGTGACATAATTACGATTTTGTTTATTAAGGAATCACCACATATTAGATTCCTCCAGTGTCATTAACTCTCCAGCTCACAAGTGAGGAAACAAGTAGAAGGAAATGTCTTTCTAAATCCTGTCGTCAGTCTCATGAGTAGAAACATCTGCGATGCGGCTGCATTGATCAGGTGGAGATGACAATCACAACCGCCTAAGATTTCAATGTCGGTTCCAAACATAATGGAACCTATCACCAAGAATAACAATCCTTTTGTAACGTCTCCATAATGGGATTTCCCACGAGCAAGCATGTAATGAAATGATCTGCAGCCTCTGTTTGAACACCCACCCCCCCCCCCACCCCCAGTATTGAGACGGTGTAAGCTTTTATTTAGACAGTGCAGATTTAATGGAGAGATGGTGCTGGACACGCTACAACAGCGTAAAACAGGAATGTCAGGAGGGAAGAACCAGTGACGTTCTCCCATCTGAAAGATCAGGTTTTGTTCCATCTTATTTGCCTGCAGAGCAGCCAACCGTCAGCATGATTAGGATCCCAGGCGCCAGGCTGGCACTGGCTGCACTCAAGCTGATCTGATCACCCAAAACAAACAGATGTAAACTACTTTGGTGCTGGAATTTTTAACAAAGTGTGTTACAAGTGCCTTTGTTATTTAAAAGCTGCAACAAGAGACTGAAAAAAGAGAAACCCTCTCCCTTCCTGTTTCCCTCTTCCCCACACATCTCTGGTAAATGGATTGCCGGGAAGAATTAATGACAATTGTTGCACTTGGTATTGTACTAATAATGCTGCAAGATATGTTTGCTATGTGCAAATTGGCTGCCACTTCTGCCAACAAATACACAGTCACAACACTTTACAGTAAAGTCATGTAATGACTGTATTTACTGGACAAATGCAGCAGCCAACGTTGATCCAGTATTCAGTCACTTTACCTTCACTATCTGGTACTTCATCATGAAGTTTCTCCACCTCTTCCTCCTTTCTACTTTCAAAACCCACCTTAATACCTATCTGCTCAACTGTGCTTTCAGCCACCTGTCCTCTCCTCAGCTCTACCCATCTCATCCAGGCTCCCAGCAAGCTCTGCGAAGCTCTTTGAGATGTCCTCCCTACGTGAAAGGTACTGCATAAATGTAAACGTCATCGTTGTGTAAAGCTCCAGGCATCTCACTTTTGAGTAGGATGTCAAGACCATGGAAAGTATACAGAGGACATTCACTGTGATGATACCAGGGATGGTAGTATATTTATGAGGTGAGACTCTATAAAGTGGATTCACCTTCACTGGAATAGAGAATGGAGGTGCAGCACTGATGTGCACGTGTTGGATTTTTTTTCATTGTAACTTTACTTATTCTAAACTGCAGCACTCTGCATGTCGAGAGGAAACCAGGGCACTCTACTTACATAGGGCCATTCAATAAAATCAACCCGACTGACTTTATTGAGTGAATATAGTATACAATTAATCCTTGCTTGCAGTTGATATGGACCCTTATCAATCCGTAGAGCCTTTCATAGGATTTTATTGTGAAGTGACCATGTGATACAATTAATATAGCGCCTTTCACTTCAGGAGGACATCTCAAAGTGCTTCACTGGTTTATGTGAAGTGCCCAAACCTATCAGGGCATTATGGTGTAAGCTGGTGACGGTACATTGGACGAGATGGAGTTGCATTGGCTTCTCAGTGGATGGACACCTCTTCCCTGTGGTGCAGGGATGCAAAACAAGGAGGTGGGACAGCGATTTTAAACATCAGAGCTGAACGGGTGAGAATTGATATCAGGAAACAGGAGTGAGATATCAGGAGTGAGGGTTATGAGAATGTAAAAAGCGCTACCCCAGAAGGCAGTAGAGAGCCAGAATGACATGGGCAGCTTGAAAGAAAGCAAGATAAACCACATGTTAATGTGTAGAGAAAAGGCAGGGAAATAGCATTAAAATAATAATAATAATCGTTGCATTTGATATAGCACATTATCATGTCTTTGAGATGCCTCGAAGTGCTTCACAGAATATACTGAAAGTGAATTGACTGTATATTTTACGGGTGAAACACGGCAGCCAATTGCTCACAGCCGTGTCCCACAAACAGTTGTGGATTGAGTGACCAAATTATTATTTTTATGGAAGGGATTATTACCCCTGCAAAAGCAATCCACCAATTGACTAACAACTTAGCAATAAATTGCTACTTATTGCTAGATAAACAGAGGCATGTGGAGTAAGGAAACTTGCCCAATGTTTCGCCCTGACAGGAATCAAACCCTGGTCCTCTCACTTGCGAGGCGAGTGCTCTAACCACTAAGCTACAGGACTCTACCTTGATTTAATGAACTGGTGGAGTGGGCCAGAATGGCCTCCTCCTGTACCTACTTGGGGTTGCCACAAAAGGTTAATTACACAAGACAGAAAAGATCGCACAGGGACACAATCCAATCACGTTTACATTTTAATTGCAAAGATGTTAAAAGTCATGAACAAAAGATTTAACACTTCGGTAAATATTGTTGGGAGGGGGGAAAAATATACATATATACTGAAACATTGATTGTAAACATGGAATGGGGGAAGGGGAGAACCATAAGAGTCATTGTGATATTGTTTCGCTGTTGGAAGCAGAGGTACCTGTTGTGTACAGTACATAACCCTTTACAGGTTTACTGAAGTGTATGTGAACATGGTATTGGCTTGAAACGCACATTGATCCTGAGTTGGGGTGGGGGTTTGCAATTAATATTGTGGATGGGGGCAATTGTCGACTCCAGTTTCTTTGTTAGCAATCTCCGGGTGATGGGAAGGGGCGGGGTGGGGAGGTGGGGAGTTTGTCCCCTCGAGATTAGTGCTCAGCTCCAGGACAGGAGTGAGGGAAGACTCCCCTGAGGTCGAACGCTCTGCTGAGGTCAAAGGCTTCGGTCTGCTGATTTCTCGTCAGCTTGAGGTTTCTCACGCAGCCTTGGAATGGTGTCTGAAGGGTTAGGCAATTCTGCTTCACGTTAGCTGCAAAACACAAATAACCATTAATATGTGCTTTTAGCTGGGTTAAAACCTCTAACAAAATACCTAGAGTAAATTTAAAAACTTTTAATCATTGGAGAATTTATATAGATTTGCAGCACGGAACCAAGCCACTCAGCCCAACGAGTCTGTGTCAGTGATTATACTGCACATGAATCTCACCCACCTTAATCCCTCCCACACCCTTGTATTCCCCTCTCCCTCAGGTGAAGGTCTAGCTTCCTCTTGAATGCTTCTATATTATTTGATTCAATCTCTGCATGAGGCATTTCCTCCCAAACTCTCTTTTTAATCCTCTGTTTGCCATTTATATTTGTGTCCCCTGGTTATGGACGAGTGGAAACACCCTATTAATGTTGACCTTGTCAAACACTTCTCTAATTTTAAACAACTCTATTAGGCAAACATAAACATCTTAGATGTCTTCTCTAGCAAAAAAAGGCTAACATATCCAGTCTAATTTGATAGCAGTCACATTCCAGCACTGGTATCATCCTCATAAACTGATACTATACTCTTCCCATTCCCACTATATCCTACATGTCTTTGGACACATTACTCCAAATGTGCAATTAAATATTCAAATAAATATAAAATAATCTTTAAGCAGACTTTGATTCAACTTATTTTCTTCGACCGCGCTTTCGGTCATCTTTCTTGCCCCACAACCCCAGCCATCCATCACCCACCCATCTTAGACAACCCCTATCCCCACCCCTCCATGAGCAGGACATACCAGGGTATCCTCCCACATAAACTGGATCGTTGGTGTCTGCAGAGGTTGACTGGAAATGGGGATTATTGGCCTGAACGGTAATGCCGTCCACAGTCAGCTCGATGTGGTGTTTGCCCTTGGAGGCTTGAAGCTTGTGCCACTTGCCATCACACAGACCGTTTGTATCTCTGGGCTCGTACCTGGCGGTAATTCTCCCAGCCCCATTGTTCACGTGGAACAGGATCTGGAAGGAAAAGGAGAGAGCGTTGGTTATAGAAGGTGGTTCAAACATGTCTGACCTCTTCTCCCAGTCCCAGTGTGTGGTGGCTGCACTGGCTAATCGCCAGCAGTGCCCCTGGAGGGCTACAGATCTGCCTAGCTCCTCATTTAAGAAATCAATTAGCAAACACAAAATCCATTAGCAAATCCTGAAAATCTATAACTGCTATAACAGTGAAGCTGGGGTCTTACAACCAGTAGTCTCAGGGCACGTGATCCATTACATCGCGGACATGATCACTGGTCAGCTCCATCGATGGTTCAAACCGCCGGCTGGTGCGTTGGAAAACACAAGTGTCTGATTTTCTGGTCATCAGGTCACCCAGACTTCGCTTCCTGTTCGCTGCGAGTTGGCAGGCCCATTTTAATGTTTTTGGGGGTTAATTAAATAATAATAATCCTTGCATTTGATATAGAGCTTTTCACATCTTCGAGACGTCTCAAAGCGCTTCACAGAATATACTGTAAAATGAATTGACTGAATATATTTGTGGGCGAAACACAGCAACTAATTGCGCACAGCAGTGTCCCACACAGGATTGAAGTGACCAGTTTATTATTGTTATATCAGGGATCCACACCTCAATAAGTGACAAAGTGTATTATAATGCGGGGATCTACTGTGTATAGCAACAGCTCACTGGACTTCACAACTTGTCAATCAATCACCTACAAATACAGTAATGAAACACACTTTACGGTAAAACACTGTGAAGCTCTTAGAGACATCTCGACGAAGTGGTAAGACTATATCACATGCAAGAGTTATTTATTATTGTTGCTGTTATTATTAATAATATTGTCTGCCTGAGGCTGCGGCCAGTGGCCAGAGTTACTGATTTCATCACCTTGCTGTTCACCATCTCCAGTCCGATAGCGTCCACTTTGGCGCTGCTGATACCAAACAGCACGGCATTCCTGAGCGTAGTGCGGAACTCAAACTCAACGATCATGTCAGATCTCACCCTGTAGCCTCCTTTGACTGAAAAAAGAAGGCATTAGTGCAACACTCAACAACAACAACTTGCATTTATATAGGGCCCTTCACACAGGATAGTATCTCGGAGCGATGCACAGTGGTGGCTGTTGGCCGACAAGCAAGGGAGAAAGGGGAGGTGACCATAGAAGTGGTCGAAGAGGTAGACGGTTTGAGGCAGGGAGTTCTAGAGGTTAGGGGTATAGTGGCTGAAGGCCTGGTCACTGATGGTGTCGTGGTGGGTTGGGGGGATGCACAGCATGTCTGTGCCAGCTGATTGAAGAGCGTGGGCAGGGGAGTGGGATATAAGCAGGTCAGACAGGTTGGGAGATGCCTAGGGCATGAAGCGATCTGTATGCGAGGATGAGGATCTTGGAACCGAGCACGGGGAGCCAGTGGAGCCTGGCGAGGACTGGGGTGGTGATGGCTGATTGTCCGGAAACATCACAGCATGAAAGCAAACCTTCCATCCCAAGTCTGCCTCTGCCCGGTGTTTCCCACCGCACGAATCACCTAACTCCATCCCATTTCTCCCCTCTGCCCTCCAAAACACTCAACATTCCTCATGTTCAAACACCCATGTAAATTCTCTCATTAAAATAACTGATGGACTGTGCCTCCGTTAAGGTTTGTGGCAGTGAATTCCACATTCCAGTCGCACTCTGGGTCACAAATGTTTTTTCTCCCAAACTCTCTTCTCTTCCCCACCGGTTCAATCTTAAATTCTAATTTCTGCTTCACTTTTGTGGGGAGATCAGTGTGTGGCAGACCAAAACCTCGCACTGTGGAGCTCAGTCTTACCTAACGCAGCAAAGCCAGTGCCATCGAAGAAAGTGCCCTCCTGCACAACCGTGTAACAGCGGCCGACAGTCAGTATAGAGAGCGGTCGTTCCGTGTCCAGTGGCTTGTTATTCAAGCTCACGCTGCTGATGCAGGCGGGGACACTGTGGGTAACCTGTTACAATAGAGAGTTACTCATATTAAAGGTCTGCATAAGAAGAGGCAATTTTCCACAAATCTCCAAGAGGGAGCCCATAACTAGAGCACATGAATGAAAATAAGGCAATCAGTGGTAGATCTAACAGGGAGTTTAGGATAGGGTGACCTGGGCTGAGGTATTGTGTCCCTGGGGCAAAGCTTGCCCTGTCTTAAGTTCAGCAACAAACTGAGCAAGAACAATAACATTCTAAAACAGACACACTCATCAGTGAAATACAGTCGTTAACCCAACAAGCTTCTCCAGTAACTGCCAGCATCAGCAATTGTGGTCAGTTAAAAATGTTTCTATACGTGTGTCGCCAGATTTGGTTTACGAAATATGGTCACTATAGTTTAGGAGCAACCTCTTCAAGCCTAGAGCGGCGAGTATGTGGAACTCGCTGCCAGGGGCTGTGGTTGAAGAAACTAACCATCAATGTATTAAGAGAAAACTTGATGTTGACATGAGGGAAAAGGGAATGGAGAGGTACAGGAGGGGTGGGGTTTTATGTAGAGCATAAACACCAGTGCAGACCAGTTGGGTCGTAAGTCCTATGTTTCCGTGTTGTATCACTCGATCTTAAATTTTAAGAGAAAGTGGTGCTGCAACCTGAGCCTAGGTGGAATTCCAAGCCTGTGAGGATCTCAGGATAAAGATGGACCTTTTGCTGATTGTGGAACTCACTGCCCGAAGCGAGGGTTGAAGCAGATGATATAGACATATTTAAGAGGAAGTGGGATATACACATGAGGGAGAAGGAAATGGAAGGCTCTGAGAGGGAGTAAGGAGTGTATGGGGGACTCGCGTGAAGTATAAACGCAAGTACTGACTGGTTGGGCAAGGGCCCTGTTTCTGCGCTCTCCACTGCGGTTCTTACATTCTTGATTTTTTTGGGGATGAGGTCCTGGGGCAGCCCTCCCAGGTAGAGTTTCCCTTCCACGTCCAAAAGGTTTCCCTCTGCCATAGACGGGCTGGATTCTTCCCCGTCCACGCTGACCGTTCCCCTCTTCTTTGAGTACTCTGTTGTTACCTGCCGAGGAAAGGCAAGCAAGGCAGGGTAAGCTCTTCACAGCAGCAAGACTGGCTGTTGCATAATTTCTTTAGTGAAAACGATTCAAAAGATCACAGGAAAGGTTCGGGTGAGGGAGGCCCTTTAGCTTATTTGATCATCCAGAACTCCACCCACTCTACTGCCTTCCCACATCACTTACAAATACACTGTCACTACACTTTACAGTAAATCCAGTGAAGCACTTGAGATGTTCCCTCAACCCGAAAGGCGGTACATCAAATATAAGGATTATTATCGTTATTCCCATCACGACATCGAACTGTTTCTTAAATGAAGCCCAGCATTCTGGCATCAACCACCCTTTGTGGTAACCTGTTCTAGATGTTAATTACTCTCTGTAAAAAAAACTAATAATTAATCATAACAATCCCTGCATCTGATATAGCACCGTCCACATTAGGAGGTTGTTTCAAAACTCTTCACAGGATTCTCTGGGATGTCCTCCTGACGTGAAAGGCACTGCACAAATGTAATTTGTTGTTATTGTTGTTTACTGTATTATAGTGACTGTATTTTGTAGGTGAATTTCCTGGCATGTGTCCTAAATTTGCTCTTCAGAAAAACAACAATAACTTGCATTATACAGTGCCCTTCACCCAGGATAACATCTTGGAGTGGCTCACAATGGCGGGGCTGAAAGCCGAACAAGGGAGAGTAGGAGCTATCTCTTCAACTACAGCCGTGGTTGAAGAGATATATTTTATGCCAGGGTTTGAAGACAGACTGAGGGGTAGATGAAAGTAGTTCTAGAGATTAGGGTCACAGTGACTGATGGCTCAGCCATAATGGTGATGCGGATGTATAGCAGGACCGAGTTACTTGAGCGCAGGGGGTCTTGAACCTTTAGCCCAAGGTCGTGTCCTCCTATCTAAGCATATCTGAAAATACGTTTGGCCCACAAAATTTAGTCAATCCACTTTGTAGTATATTTTGTGAAGTGCTTTGAGATGTCTCAATGATGTGATAAGGCCTGTATTCAATGTAAGGATTATTATTATATTATTCTTATGTTTCTGGGTTTAGCTTCATAATTCCTTTTAATATCTTGTACACCTCTGCAAGGGCCACTCCGAGACCTTATCTTTCAAGGCTGAAGAGCCCAAGCTTATCAGTCATTCTGCACGGCTGATCCCTTTAACATTAAAAACACGACTGCAGAAATCACGTATACAACAAGTTTCACACCGCTTTTGACTTAGGATTGATGTTTTAAAGCACTTCACGATGATGGTGGGAATCGCTGAGGAGAGGCGAGGAGAGGAAATTTAAGGGTGTTGGACTCACCATGTGCCATTTCCCATCATTGATGGGCTTGGGCAGCATTGCTATGGCGGCACCTTTGCCCAGATCGAACAGGAAGCGTAACCGTCCCTCCCACAGCTGCAGAGCAGCGAAGTCCACTTGGTTTTGATTGGCCATGTAATACACCAGGCCGCTGGAGGCAAATGTTCGGATCTTCAGCTGGAGAGTAAACCTGAAAGACACAGGGAAACATGACCTGCAATTCTTCCCCCTGTGAAGCCAAACCCACTTCCAGCCCGTTGACTACTGGTTAGAGTTCTCTGATGTCCTGGTTTAATATAAAGTCAATTGATTCCAATTTCTCTCCTATGACAGGTTAGGGTAAGGGTGTTGGCCAACACAACACACAGTGACTCCACTTTACAGTAAATCCTGTGAAGCACTTTGAGATGTCCCCCCTGACGTGAAAGGTGCCAGCTAAAATGTAAGTTATTACGAGGATATGTGGAGTGTATAAATATATTATGTTAGTGGGAGAGGGGAGGAAATAAAATTTCTGCCACGGTTGGGGTTAAGTGATTCCTTGTGTCTGATGCCTCTAATGTGATAGTATAAATCGCGAGCGCTTGAACCACTTCACAAAGATGATGGGAACCAAGTGAGAAGTGAGGAGAGGAGGGTGAGTTGTTTTTCAGGCAGAGATTATGTAGTTTCTGCATTGAAGCAACACTGATCTGAAAGAGCTGAATTGTAATACGATTCATAAAATCATCATCATCATCCACGACTGTCTGTGGGACACAGCTGTGCGCAATTGGCTGCCGCGTTTCGCCCACAAAATATACAGTCAAGTAACTTTAGAGTATATTGTGTAAAGCACTTTGAGACGTCTCGAAGACGTGATAAGGCACTATATCACATGCAAGCATTATTATTATTATCATTAATAAAATAATAATAATTTTTGCATTTAATAAAACAATTTTCATGTTAGGAGGCGTTCTCAAAGTGCTTCACATGAATTGTTTTCTTTTATTTTAAGTGGAGTAACTGTTGATTTGTAGGCAATCGCAACAACAATAGAAAAATGACATTTGTATATAGTGTCTTTCACATCGGAAGGACGTTCCAAGGCACTAATCCCAAATGCAGCAGCTAATTTGCACACAGCAATGTCCTGCAAACAGTCATGGAGTTAATGACAAATTTTATTTGAGGGACAGGACACCGGAAGAAACTCCCTACTCTTTTCGAATAGCGCCATGAGATCTTTAATGTCTATCTGAACAGGCAGACAGGACCTGAGTTTAACATCTCATGGCACCCACTGCTCAAACACTGTTTGAATTCAAAATCCAAATGTGGTGCTTGAACTCACAACCTTCTGACTCAGGAGGTGAGAATGCTACCAATGGAGCTAAGCTGATACCATGAAATTGAACCAATGCACCTCAAGCATAAAATTCAGGGAACAAAACGGATTTACCAGTAAATGAAGAGATAAATTGGTCCACAAATCTAAGATAGAAACCAACAGTGGAAAATCCCACTGTAATAAATAAGACTTGTTTACCTCTCAGTTTTCATTATTTATCGCTATTTCTAAACACAAGCATTCTTCCGTTAATGACGTTAGAATGAACTAATGAATCAGAGCTTAACAATTTAGCAGCCGCCCTAATGCTCAGCAACTATAAACTTTGCCTTTGCAACAAACAGTCAAAGCTCCAATCAGAAAAGCCAAACCCTACACAATGGCTTTGCACACGGAGGGACAAGGGTGTCCTCTGGTGGAGACAAGAGAGAAAGGTGGTTCCCACTTTTCCCATTTGAAGAGACCAGTTTATTCCTTAAAGGATTTGGGAATGATATGCGACTGTCCAGCAGTGCAGGTAGGGGAGGTTGAAATTGCAAAACCATATTACCATTGCAATCAAAAATGCAGACAAAAGTAACCAATAGTTATTGGAATGGGACAGGGCCATTCAGCCCCTGGAGTCTGTTCCACCAGTTCACTGGTTCATGACGGATCTTTTAATTCCATTTTCCCATCTGTTCCCACACCCCTAATAATACTCTTAATTCCGAAGAAACTATCTATCTCCCTATTGAACGTGGCAAATATTATGCCTGTAAGATTTTCTGGGACAGTGCATTCCAAGTTCTCACAATCCCTTTTTGTGTGAAAAAATGTTTCATGATCTAATTTCTGAGCCCCTAGAGGTCTGATTTTAAGATCATGTCCCTTGGTTGGATCTGGCTAGCCAAGGGAAAAGGGAAAAGTCGTCCATGATCTAGCTGATCAATTCCCTTTGTTATTTTAAACACCTCAATCAGAAAAAGTGACTAGTGATTGGTGTTTATGTAACATTTCAGAACTTCGGCAATTTTGAAATTAAAGTTAAGATTGAATTCAACAATTTGCCACATTCTGAAATCTCTGAAATGTTACATAGAAAGAATAAATCTAGATCCAGGTGGAACTTCTCCCCAGTAATCTTTGGGTTAAATATGGATTTTCAAAGTGACAGGACCCTTTTGAGCCCCTTTATTACTACTACTACTAATAATAATCATCATACTTAACTTATATATAGTGCCTTATCACATTAGCGAAACATCTCAAAGTGCTTCACAGGATCTTATTGTAAAAATATAGTGACTCTGTATTTATATACCGATGTGGCACCCAATGGGTGCACACAGCAATGGCCCACAAACCGCCATGAAGTGAATGACCTATTTTATTTTGGGGGATTGCTGGATAAGACACTAAAGAATGGCACCTCTGACAATACTGCACTTCCCCTAGCACCGCCTTGGAAGTGTCGTCTTAGGCGATAAGCTCAAAGTGCTATCAACTGTTCCAGGCAGACACCCAATGGGACCTTCACCATCAAGTCTGTGACTTATGTTCCAGTGCGAATAGCCCGCAGCCTTCACAGTCACTCAATAGTACAACACCCTGCACTTACTTTCTCTTCACTGTGGTCGCGTCGAGAGACAATATCATGTGACTGCCTTGTGTGAGTCCAAATTGGTACGAATTGGAATCAACCTTCGCCAGTTCATCTACAGCACACTGTGCCTGTTGGCCAGAATGGGAGAAAAACATACACGTTCAAAAAGAGCTAGTAAGTCATTTGATGGAGCATAAAAATGTATTACTTCCAGCCTCATTCCCCCCTGCTTTCCCCCCACCCGAGCACCAGCATGGGCGATGGGCAGAAAGTCTGTCCATAAGATTCTATCGATCAACAAAAACAACTTGCATTTATCTAGCTCTCTTCAGAAAGGGTAGTGTCTCGAAGCACTTCACAGTGGTGGAGCACAACGGAGAGCCGGGAGAGGTAGCTATAAGTGCGGACGAAGAGGAAAGTCTTCAGGGGGAAGAAGGGGGCAAGGCAGAGGTGCTGTGGAAAAGAGTTCCAAAGTTTAAGGGGCATAGTGGCCGATGGTGGAGCAGAGGGGATGAGACAGACGAGCAGAGGCAGCAGATGGTGGAATGTAGAAATAAGCAGGTTGGAGAGGTAGGGAGGTGCCAGGGTGTGAAGGGATTTGTATTCGGTTAGGAATTGCAAGTGAGGCACCGACCTCCCTTTCTGATCTTCCCATAGGGAAGGGATCTGACTATGGAAACATGAAGCCCATGATAGACAATTTGGTTCCTCAATGTGGCCCAGCTCCTCATCAAATTCAAATAAAGTACAGACAGAGCCTAGGTTTAACATCTCATCCGAAAGATGGCGCCTCTCCCCCAGCATTGCACTATGAGCTCAAGTACTGCTTAAACTCACAATCTTCGAGGGCCAAAGACAAGAAGAATGTTAGCAAATGAACTAAGCTGACACCTAACAACAGGAAAAGAAGGAAGGAGGGATCTGTGAAGTTTGACCAAATGTTGTTCATTTTCTCTAGAGAACAATGGAGTTGACCCCAGCCTCCTTACAATTTTGCCAGGGGAAGGAATGCCTTGGACTGCCTTCAGAGCTTTGTCTGTAGGTATAAAGGAAGGTGAGGAATCCAATGCTCTCTCATCTGGCTGCAGTTCAGCTTTGGGCTTCTCTGAGAGCTCACAGCTGTCCAGACCAATGTTCTTGTACTTCAGAGCACCAGTGAAATCCAACAACCTGCAGGGAAATATTAAAAAAAAGTACTCTGTGGGTTATTCTTCATAAAGGTTTTTTTTTAAATCATATGCAATGCATTAATAATGGGAACAACAACAACTTGTATTTACACAAGAGCCTTTCACACAGGTTGAACATTGCAAAGTACTTTACAAAGACGATGTGGATCACTGGGACGAGAAGGCAGGAGGGGGAAATTTGAGGCTGTTTTCTTTAAGGTGAGACAAATTGGATTTTGGTAGAGCTTTAGAGAGCGGGGCCATAGTAGGTGAGAGTCACTGTGGTAGGGTACAGAGGGTGAGGAAAGAGCAGCAGTTCACAGTTGGGAATAGTGGAGGGAGAATAGGGCTGGAAGAAACTGCACATGTCAGGGAGGGGGATTGGAAGGTCAGGACCAGAATCTTGAAGTAATACTTGATTTCGATTACACGGAAATCGGTGCCCAGATCAGTTTAAACGCTCTGGGACACTACCCTCGCCTGTGTGAAGGACACTATATAAATGCAAGTTGTTGTTTCATAAAAGTATGATTGAAATGTAGCAAGCCACTTTTATAGAACTGCATTTTTGTTAAAGCAAATACACTGCAACAATTTAAAAAAATGTAGAACAACAACAACTTGCATTTATATAGCGCCCCTCACTCAGGGTAGAGTCCCAGAGCACTTGATAGTGGTAGAACACGACGCCGTAGGCAAAATGACCGTAGAACAAAGAATATACTTTTTTTTAAACATCTCAAAGCACTTCAAAGTAATTAGTGTTTGGTGTAGTCACTGTTTTTTTGTACGCAATTTCTATCCAGTGATCCAGCAAGGATCAAACTTACTCAGTGTTTAGGACCAAATTCTTAATGCAACCCTTGAATGATTTGGCCACTTTCAGGTTTGCAACACCTTCGCCTGCTGGAACTCCACCAACGTAGAGTTTGGTGATGTTTAACGGGCTGTTATCTGTTGAGGATCCAAGTCTCACTTCAGAGAGGTTCCCTTCATCAACCTGCAAAGTCACTATCCTGCAAGAGGTAAGGGATAAGAGTTCAATGTGGAAAAGAGGAGGCATCGTATTGATCCTAGTGGGTAAAGAATGTCCCTGGAAATTTCACAGGGAATGACGTTAGCAACAACCTGATAATTGTGACCAGAGGTTGGTCCTTGGTTAATGTGAGAGAAGGTGAACGGTGTGTTAAATAACAATAATAATAATAATCATTGTATTTTGACAAAGTCCCTTATGACATCATCAAAAAGGCTCAAATCATTCACACCCACAGGAATCACTGGAAATGGGTATTGTTGGCCAGGACCCTGGCAGAAACTTCCCATTTAAGATGAGATAAGACGAAGCAAGAAGGTTTCTACACCAAAATTTTAAATTTTTCTGTGCAATGTTGTGATCCACTTCCCAACCAAGTTATCAGTCAACTCGTATTATAACAAAACACCTTATAACTGGGTTACAATACAATGCAATTTATACTTATACAGTGCCTTTCACATTGGGAGCACATCCCAAAGTGCTTGACAATTCTGGACGGGCTCCAGGGCGGAAGGTGGGAGCCGAGAGGGGTTGGGGGAAAGGGAAAGTTGACCTGAAGCACACTCAAAGAGGTATGTTTTGAGTCTTAGGGAGGAAACAAATCACAAGGTCCAGAGAATGGAGTTTCAAGGTCCTACTGTATTAACCTCTCCCCATTACAGTACAAACTATGACACAAATTTACATTTATATAATGCCTTTCATGTCAGGATGGGAGCTGGGGGAGAGGGGAAGAGTAAGGTCTTGAGATAGACCTTGAAAGCAGTGAGGGAGTGAGGGACTCCAGGATGGAATTCCAGAGAATGGGGGAGATAAGCTGAAACCCTGACCCCCAGCAGATCAAACCATGAAACCCTGAAGCAGATCAATACTGGGGAAGTGCACACACCTCTTGTTTCTGCTCACGATAATCGAATGCTCCTGTCCGTCACTTAAAGTTCCCGATGGGTCTTTGGCAACCAGCCTTCTGGTGTGGATGCTGTCCCCGGTGTTGATGTGGACTTCCAGGTGCCCGTCAACCAACATGATGGCGAAGAAAGGCTAAAGGCCATTTATTGGGGGCGGGGGAAGTGGGAGAGGGCAGAGGGGGAAATTAAAAAAAATGTTTTCATTCTCTTTGTTTGTCATTATTGTGAATTTGTGCCTTTCTGTTACTGATTCATTGACCAGTAGAAATAATCTGTTACTGTTTACCCCATCAAAAACCCGTGTAATCTTAAAGCTCTCCTTTGGGTCACCCCATGACCTTGTCAGCTTCACTAATAAGCACTAACTTCTCAAGGCCCTCCTTGTAACTAAAACACTCATTCCTGGTAACAATGTTGTCAGTCTAGCCTGCACGTCTTTCATTGAATTTATATCTTTCTTTTAGATATCATGTGTATTGGAATGGAATACACACTCTGTCCCGGGAGAGACATATTCCTCTTACTTAATTCCGAAAAGTATTAGGTGCAGGCTGGTGAAAGCCAAGGCTTGGGGACCCCAGGGTGTGCACTGGGGTAAACTGCTTGAGTTTTTTCTCTATTCAGGGTATTTCTGTTCTCTTTACTGCTTTTTTTGCCAAACACTGGCCGAGTTTCATGTTATTCACTCACCAGCTTGGTCTGTCGACGGCTCCGGCTTCTGCCAGACTTGCCAAAACCGGCCAATATGATGCCAGTCTTGTTCTTCGTGGCAAAGGTTGCCATAAGATCCGCTACCACCGGCAAGGCTTTGGGTCGCAGCTGAATATAACCGTCATTTAAGATGGTCACACTTCGGATAGGCTGGTTAAAAAAAGTTTAATTCAGATATTGATAATAATCCATGCAATTGATGAAGCACCTTTCACGTCAGGAGGACGTCTCAAAACACTTCATAGGATATACTGTAAAGTGTAATGATTGTGTGTTTTGTAGGAGAATGCAGCAGACAATTTGTGCAGCAATGTGAATGACCACACTCTTATTTGGGATTGTTGGCCAGGACCTCCCTGGGTGAAATTCACTTCTCTTTTCAAATAGGGTTATGGGATCTTTATAATACATGCAGACAGGAGTTCAGTTTAACATCTCACCCGAAGGACGGCACCGTTAAGTATCGAGCATTTAAGCGCTCTGAGACGCCGTCCGGCGTGGAGGGCGCTATATAAATCCAAGTTGTTGTTGTTGGTGTTCCCCCAGCATTGTATTGAAGTGTCAGCCTATAGACTATAGGAGCTCCAAGTCTCGATGTGAGACTTAAACCCACAACCTTTTGACTCAGAGGCGAAGCTGCTACCAACTGAGCCAGGATGACACCTAAAATATTGTAAGCTGTGCGTTTGGCGTAGTGCCTACAACATTTCAAAGCACTTCACAGATAACTGCTGTTAGTACAGAGGCTATGTATTTCCAGGTAAACAAGACAGGCAATTTGTACAGAACATGGTTCCAGAAACAGCCTGATAGACTGATTTTGTAAATATGCGAGATTTGCAAAACTGCCGGGAAATCCAGCAAAAAGATCAGAAGATGAAACATCCTGTTCTGTTTGATAGATCCTACCGCCCCACCCCCCCCAGATTTTTCCAGATAACAATCAGCCACTTCCAGAATCACGCAAAGTGATATCGCTAACTGCCAAAGAAAAAGTTCTCATCGTCTTAAAATCTTTCATTACCTGAAGGCGACAGCCTTTCTTCACCCCCAAGGAATTCCTAAGCAGGTCAAACGTAGAGCGGGAGATCTCCACATTCTTCAAGCAGCCAATAAATGTTCTGCTGAGAACTTCTTTCCTGTAAAAATAAATTACCCCGCAGTGTTTCCAAATCAGTATTCAAACCAGACTGACACCTCCATACACAGACACCACCTACACATGGAAATCTCCCTGTGTCTGGGATAGAATGCACACTCTCTCCCTGGAGGGACGCACTCTGCTTACACAATTCCAGAGAGTAATTAGGCACAAGTTTCCAAGTGCCAAGGTTTGGGAATCCTAGAATGTGGTAATGCATTAAGTATAAACTTTTTAGGCAAAGGACAGTCAAACTATTCTGGGTTGCGCTTGTAAGTTTATCTGAAATATATTTCTAAAGGTCAGGTACTTTTTTTTTGTCAGCCGGGTGTCTGACATGTGGAAACCCATCACCATGCTTAAGCATGCATTGAGGGAATATATGTTGGGCTGGAGTTTAATCAGTTAAAGCTGTGTGCCTTGCCATTGAGGCCACTGTCTGGCAAGGTACTCGCTGCTTGTCGAGCTAACAACACCCTATATGTTAGGGCTTTGGCTTGCAGGCTTGATGGGAGCTGAGTGGGAAGAATCCCTATCCCCTACCCAGTGGCAAGGATATGAACGTACCTGTACTTCCCAGAGCGAGGAAGTCCCCCAATATAAATTGGATCTTTGGTCCCGCGGTTGAGATCCAAGGACCCTCCTGGTGACTCGGCTTTCTTGATTTCTTGGTCAGTTGAATTAAAAGCATCCATGACAGCTAACAGACCTAGGAATATATACATGTAGGGTGCTTTAACATAAATGCCTTTAAGCTTTTTAAGCAAAGGACAGTCAAACTATCCTGGCTTGTGCTTGTATGAAATATATTTCCAAAGGTCAGGTGCTGAAAAGTGAAATATCCTTTTCAAATTGAATTGTGGCCAAAATGCAACTGGAAACACATTGGATACACATGAGATTGGGAAGCACTCCACAAGATTTGGTTCTGTTCTTTACTTGAATGTTCTGCTGAGAACTTCTTTATTATAGAAACAATATACCCCAAAGCATTGCCAAACCCTGGAAAATAATTGCTAAGGAGTTTAATCCCCTAAAACCACATTGTAAACAAATAGAACTTGCACATTTATAGCATCTATAAAGACAGTAATTTCTATGGCTGTTTTTTGTACCCCAAAAAGTCAAGTTATTTTGTACACAACAAAACCCCACAAACAATGGCAGAGCATGTTGCTGAGCTAGGTTGATGATTATAGCACAGTCAAAGAGAAAGGCCTTCAGGTACAAAGAGGGGCAAAAAGAGGGCAAGGTGAAGTGGTTGAGGCAGGGAGTCCCAGAGGTTTGGGGCATATCTCTTCCCAACCATGTCTGCAGTCTGTCTATGATTACAGTGGTGAGACATCACCTTGTTGACGAGTATCAACAAGATAATAATAATCCCTCCAAAAAAACCAAAAAATAATAAAAAAAAAATTGGGTCATTTTCAATCTACGACTGTTTGTGGGACATTGCTGTGCGCAATTGGCTGCCGCGTTCGCCCACAAATATACAGTCAATTCACTTTACAGTGTGTTCTGTGAAGCGCTTTGGGACGTCCTCCCGACGTGAAAAGCGCTATATCAAATGCAAGGATTATTATTATTATTATTATTATTATTATCAGCTGAAAAATACATCAAATGTGTTTTAAACAATCAAGCATCTGATCGTCCCAGTGATGATCAGTAATCAGTGCAAACAGTGCCTTACCTATCTTCCGGTTACGTTGGAAAGCGACTTTAATCCACGTTCCGTTGTTGTATCGCCTCTCAGAGGTAAGGGCCAGAATTCCAGATCCCAGGTCAAAGCTCACTCGAACCTTCCCATCGACCAGCTCCACTGCTAAGAAATCTCTCTGAACAGACACAAGAGACAGGATTAGGGCAATAGATAAACAACCATAACAACTTGAATGTATACAGTGCCCTTAACACAAGGTAGTGTCTCGGAGATCTTAACAGCCATGAAGTCTGACACCAAACCAGAGGAAGGTGACTGTAGGCACCGTCGAAGAGGAAGGTCTTAAGGCATGGCTACCTAAAATGGAATGAATCGTTTCGGAAACATCTCACACACGTTTTTCGCAATACAAATAAAAGTGCTAAACCGTGCAGTGCTCACCATGCCGCTTGACACCAGGTACAGCAGGAGGCCATTTGGTGAGAATGTGCTGAAGTGCATGACGATCTGAGTGGCTGTGGTGCGTAGGGTCTTCTCTACCACCGAGTAACCATTGCCGTCGTAGTGAAAGGAATGATCTTCATTCTGTGGCCTGTACGACACGGTACAGTGGTGACACTCAGTGACTGCCCTCCACTTCCTCCACCTCCCACCCTGACTGATGCACGCGCAAATGTAGGTCATAGAATCTTACAGCACAGGAGGAGACCTTTTGGCCCATCCTGCCTGTGCCAGCTCTTTGAAAGAGCTATCCAATTAGTCCCACTCCCCCGCTCTCACCCCAAAGCCTTGCAAATTCTTCCTTTTCAAGGTCAAAAAAAATGTGCTCACTCAATCGCGACTGTTTGTGGGACACTGCTGTGTGCAATTTGCTGCCGCGTTTCGCCCACAAAATAGTCAATCCACTTTACAAAAGATTCTGTGATGCACCTTGACACGTCTCAATTACATGATAAGGCGCTATATCAAATGCAAGAATCATTATTGTTATTATTAGTGACATACTGTATAATGATAATAATCCTTGCCTTTTTTCAGATCATCGTGTGGTCTCAAAGCATTTCAAACGATTTTATGTGGTTTGTGACTATGTATTTTGTAGGTGAATGTGGCTGCTAATTTGAGCAGCAATGTCCCCAAAACAGCCATGGAGTGAGTGACCAATTTTATTTGGGGGTTTGTTGGCCAGGACACCAGGAAAAACTGAACTTCTTTTTTGAAATAGTGTCATGGGATCTGTCAACATCCACCTGATCAGGCAGATAAATAAATAAAAATATAATCCCTGCATTTGATATAGCACTTTTCATGTCTTCTAGACATCTCAAAGCGCTTCACAGAACATACTGTAAAATGAATCGACTGTGCAGCCAATTGCACACAGCAGTGTCCCACAAACAGTCGTAGATTGAAGTGACCAATTTATTATTATTTTTTTCTTGAGGGATTATTATCAGGCAGAGTAAGGAAACTTGTGGAGTAAGGAAACTTGCCCAAGGTTTCGCCCTGCCGGAAATTGAACCCAGGTCTCTCGCTTGGGAGGCAAGTGCTCTAATCACTGAGCTACAGGACTTCAGATATACATTTATATAGCAGCTTTCACGTCAGGAAGCATTTCCCAAACTACTTCACTCTGATAGTGCTTTCAGTCATCTTTCCTCTCCCCACCTCCCATTCCAAGCTCGGATGCCCACCCAGCATTGTCAAGCATTTTCAGGTTTCCTCTGGATGTGCGAGGTGCTGTATAAGTGTAAAGCGTATTGTACTGTGATATCATAGTGTGGCTGATTGTGGAATTAACCCCCCACTCGGCTAAGTTAAATGTTAATGGAAAGTCATACCAGCGTCTTCTTTAACAGCATAAAGTGGCAGCAAGCAAAGACATTACCTTGAAAAGCATCCCCCGCACTTCCCTTCTTTCTCGCGATAGTTCCACAAGCCAATGGGCATTCCATTGAGGAAGGTCTCTCCCATGCAGCCTTTGAAATGGGTAACTTTCACAGCTGGTGCCTTCTGCATACAAGTGAATAGTATTATTGTTGGGGGTGGGGAGTGGGCGGGGTGTTGGAGTGAGGGGAGAAACATGTCAATTCTAACACAAACAAGATATGCAAAAAACAGTAAAATGTTCAGAGAGAGAGAGAGAGAGAGAAAAACAAGAGACTCCATCTCTCCCAACTTACCTTGACCTGCCCAGAAAGTCCACCAACAAATACTAATGTGGAGTCGTTCACGTCCAGTACAGTGGAGATCCCAGGAGATGTGGTCTTTTTTAACCCTGGCTTTTCCAAGCTGGAAACACTGACATCCTGAACCGACAAAGTGCCCAATCTTCCAAACCTGGCGGATAATAGAGATATTCATTCCTGAGAGATCACCATGAGGCCTTGCAGTGGGTGTAGACGAGGTCTACGAGAATGATACCAAGGATGAGGGGCTTCAGTCACGAGCAGGTTAGGTTCTACGAGAAGGTTGACAGGGGTATAACATTTTATGAGGGGTAAATAGGGAGAAGCTATTTCTTCTGGTAGGGAAGTCAGTGATTAGGGCATGGTTATAAGTTGAAGGAAGAGCAAAAAGAGAGTTATTCGGGTGTGGAATGCCCTGCCAAATGCGATGGTACAAGCAAAGTCTATTGTCGGTTTTAAGCAGGAAGAAGATAGGTACGTGAAATATAGAGCCTTGTAGAGGTATGGGGATAAAGGCAGGATAGTGGGATTGAATGAACAATTTGCTCTGAGAGCCAGTGCAGACTTAATGGGCCAAATGGCCTCCTTGTGTGGTGTAAATTTCTGTGATTCTATGATCAATCAGTTCATATCCACATTGATTGGAAATATTGAATGAAAATTCACCAGGATAATTTTTTTGTGCCCAGTTGTCTTCCATCCTGAAGGTTGATACCAACCTACCCTGAGTACGGTTCACAGACAGCAGATGGTGCCTTTCCTCAGCGGCTCGGCAGACTGTGCTGGAGTCAAAGAATCTCCCCCCCCCCCTTGATAGTCAACACAAACAAACCTCCAGTAGTGTGCGTGTGTGAAGTTGCTCGGTAACCAATTAAAATCTAAATAACGTGCATTGTTATCATTGCACCTCATGTGCACACGTGAAGTGCTAACTTCCTAATGGGAAGCAGGAAGCTAAATATTGGTATTTTGTGTACAGCGCAGGGTCATTCAGAGATAGAGGCAAAAACAGAAAGATTGAAGAAGTGATGGAGAGAACGAGAGAGAATGTCAGAGGGACTCAGGACAGCAGCAAGGAATTGGGATTCAACCAAGTTATCCGATAGAAACCCAGTGTGTTTCTGATTCATAATGCTTCAATCATTTATTGCTTAGGAAACTCAACCTCTTTTTGAGGCAAGTCTCTACCATTGTCTTCCTCTTAGTCTCTGATGAGTAAGAGAGGAGTGGAAGCTAACCTCACAAGAGATTAGTGAGGTACGGTTCAAAACCGTGAGCATATTGGGCCTGGGGTGAAGTGGGGTGGGTGGAAATGAAAAGGCATTTTATCTATAATTATTATAATAAATAATAACAATAATTATTATTACTCAGAGATGCATTCACAGACACGGGAGAGATGTGGGTAAGGGGACGGGAGAGGGGGGAAACCCAGCCAGAGCTCGAGGGACAGAGACGTACCTGGCTGCGTTGATTCTGTGCCACTTGTTGTTGTTAATTTGAAGGTCAGGATACTCCAGCCTCGTGGTGCCTGAGCCCACATCCCAGAGAAAGGCAACTCTGCCACGACGCATCTCCACGGCCAGGAACTCAGTCTGTGGGCACACACGCACACACACACACACACAGGGTCAGCACACACACATAGCGTTGATATATTGCCACCCATGGGATCTCTAATGTCCCCTGAGCAGACTTGCAGGGCCTCCGACAATGTCTTCGAGATGTCTCAAAGTGCTTCACAGAATATACTGTGAAGTGAATTGACAGTATATTTTTGTGGGCAACACGCAGCAGTCAATTGCGCACAGCAGTGTTCCACAAACAGTCGTGAGTGACCAATTTATTATTATTATTATTATTATTTTTCAGGAATTATTGCCCTGTTTTTTGCCCAGGAATTAAGCAATCCACCAATTGATTAACAAGGTACTTACTGCTAGTTACACAGCGGCGTGTGGAGAAAGGAAACTTGCCTAAGGTTTCGCCACGCCCGGGAATCGAACCTGGGTCCTCTCACTTGCCAGGCGAGTGCGCGAACCACTACACTACGGGATTCCATGAAGGAGGGGACATGGGATTAGAAGATCTATCATGATCTCGTAGCTTCAGTGGAGGAGATGTTCTCCACTGGGCCAATGGGCTGCAGATTCATAATTTAAGCACGAGGCGGCAGGGAGTGCAGCCACACGGGGAGCGGCGGCAGGACAGCGCGTGGAGGAACCTGGGCCTACCTACCCAGGTATTTAAGCACGAGGCGGCAGGGAGTGCAGCTAGCGGGGCTGAGGAGGGAACGGGTGGGGGCGGAGCGGGGGAACCGCTGACGTCATAGTTTAGTTTTCAGGAGTGTGCGCGTGCAACAAAAAAAAAACCTCTGCGCCCCCCACCGCCACCCCCAGGGCTCACATCAGGGCCCACCATGGTCCTGTTGGGTTGGCTGCCCCAGCCTATAGGATAATGCCATCCACCTGACCGCTCGCTCCCGGTCCCCGCGTGCGCACTATGGCTGCCGCTTTGACCCGAGCTCCCTCACCCCCTCCCTCCCTCCTCCCTACCCCCAAACCCTCCCCCCTCTGCATCTCTCCCACTCTGTCCTCCTCTCTCTCTGTCCCTCTCGCCTTCTATCCCCACTTGACCCTCCCACAACCTCCCTCTGTTCCAGTCTGGGAATCCTCCGCCGGGCTCACCGTGGCACTCGGCGTTGGCTGTCCAGCAGCAGCCACACCGACTGCCCCATTCCCCACCACACTCGCCAGCCACCCCGGACACAGACCCGGAGAGCCAACCTCTCCTCCCTCATCCCCATTTCCCCCACTCCTGCTTCACAACCGGGACCCCCCTCCCCTCCCACACACCCTTCTGTCAACCACTCCTTCCACATCGGACTACAAAACGTCTGCTCCCTCTATAACAAGGCCCTGGTCATCAATGATCTCATCCTTGATGAGAGCGTTGACATCATGGCCTTAACGGAAACCTGGCTCACCCCAGGCGACACCTTCCCCCTCACGGAGGCCACACCACCCGGCTACACCTCCCACCACATCCCTCGCCCCAACCACCGTGGCGGTGGTGTAGCCCTTATCTCAAGGACACCACTTGCTCTATTCCCCCTACTCCTCTGGCTCTTTCCCCTCTTTCGAGCACCTCACCCTCTCCCACCCCTCCTTCATCTCACTCAAAATCCTCCTCCTCTACCGGCCCCCTAAAACCTCTCCCACCTTCATCTCCGATATTTCGACACTTCTTACATCTCTCTGCCTCTGCTCTGATCGCCTCATCATCCTGGGCGACTTCAACCTGCACTTCACCCCCTCCTGCTCCATCTCCTCAGACTTCTCTTCCCTGCTCTCCTCGCTCAACCTCTCCCTCCACATCAACTCCCCCACTCACAGTCACGGCCACCCACTCGACTTGGTGATCACCCGGGGCCTCAGTGTCTCGGATGTCACTATCACCGACAAGGCCATCTCCGACCACCACTTCATCTCCTTCACCACCTCCACCCCCCTCCCCACCTCCACCAGACCCACCACCATCTTCTACCGCCCCTGGAAGAAGTTACCCCCACAATCCCTAACCGCTGCCTTGGAGTCCTCTGAACTCCTCTCCCTCTGGCCTTCAACCCTCACTGACCCCTTCTCCTCTCACCCTCCTCCACAACACCCTCTCCTCCACACTTGACACTCTTGCCCCCATCACCTCCCGTACTGTCTCCTACTCTCGCTCCTCCCCCTGGTTCACCACCCACCTCCGCTCACTGAAGAGCCAGGTGCGGGCCGCTGAACGCACCTGGTCAAATCTGGCCTAACGGTCCACCGACAAATCTGGCTGGACCTCCTCAAAATCTACCGCTCCACTCTAGCCTCGGCCAAATCGTCCTTCTACTCCAGGATAATCCTGGAGGCGAAGAACAACCCCAGGCTACTGTTTTCTACCACATCCCGACTCCTCCGTNCCCCCCGCCACCCCGCGCAGGTCATCTCCTCCAACCTTCACTGCGAGGAGATGCTGGATTTCCTTGAATCCAAAATCAAGGGAATCGCTCCGCGGTCACTTCCCCTCCAACATCCACCCACCCCCCACCCCCTCCCTCCCACACTCCGACTCCTACCCATCCTCCCCTACACACTTTCGTACCCGTTTCCCCACCCTCTGTCACTGAACTCATCCTATCCCTGAAACCCACCACCTGCTCCCTTGACCCCATCCCCACTCCACTCCTTATCTCCCAGCTCCACCTCCTTGCCCCACATATCACAGACATCGTCAACCTGTCCCTCTCCTCTGGCTCTGTTCCCATTCCCTTAAAAACTGCCACCATCACTCCCACCTTGAAAAAACCCTCCCTTGATGCGTCGCAGCTATCAAGCTACCGGCCCATCTCCAACCTCCCCTTCCTGTCCAAGGTCCTTGAACGAGTTGTCGCCTCCCAGCTGCGCTCTTTCCTCTCCACCCATTCACTATTCGAACCCCTTCAGTCGGGTTTCCGTGCTGCCCATAGCACAGAAACTGCCCTGGTCAAGGTCACCAATGACATCCTGACCATCTGTGACCAGGGCTCCCTCTGCCTCCTCGTCCTCCTCGACCTATCGGCAGCATTCGATACGGTCGACCATGCTATCCTCCTCCACCGCTTGTCCTCCCACCTCAACCTTCAAGGCCCTGTCCTTGAATGGTTTAGGTCGCACCTCTCCCACCGTCTTCACTTTGTTTCCACGAACGGCTTTTCCCCCCGCCCCCGCACTGTCTCGTGTGGTGTCCCTCAGGGCTCTGTCCTCGGTCTCCTCCTCTTCACCCTCTATACGCTCCCCCTTGGTGACATCATCCGCAGACATGGGGTTAACTTCCACATGTATGCGGATGACACCCAACTCTACCTTTCCTCCTCTACCCTCAACTCCACGACCACCGATGTCCTGACAGCCTGCCTGTCCGACATCGAGTCCTGGACGAGAGATAACTTTCTTCAGCTCAACGTGCGTAAAACTGAGGCCCTCCTGATTGGCTCACGTCAGCGCCTCCGCACCTCAGGCGCTGACAACATCAGCATCCAAGGCTGCACTCTCCACCTCTCAAAGCCAGTCAGGAACCTTGGGGTTCTGTTCGACCCTGAGCTGTCCTTCCCTCATATCCGCGTCACAACTGGCACCGCCTTCCATCACCTCCGGAATGTCGCCAGACTACGGCATTACCTCACCCCTCACGCTGCTGAAACTCTGGTCCACGCCTTTATCACCTCAAGGCTGGACTATGGGAACTCTCTCCTCGCCGGCCTTCCCGGCACCTCCCTCCACAAGCTGCAGGTCATTCAGAACTCTGCAGCTCGTGTACTGTCCCGCACCAGGCTTCGCGACCACATCACTCCCACCCTCGCTCGCCTCCACTGGCTCCCCGTTCCCCAGAGGATCGAATTCAAGATCCTCATCCTCACCTACAAGGGCATTCACGGCCTTGCTCCCTCCTACCACTCTGACCTACTATCCCCCTACCTACCTGCCCGTACCCTCCGTCCCTCTGGCTCCGGTCTGCTCCACATCCCCCGCCCCAACCGCCCTACCGTCGGTTGCCGGGCCTTCAGTCTCTCAGCCCCGAGGCTCTGGAACTCCATCCCCCAGTGCCTTCGCCGCTTCCTCCCTTTCCTCCTTCAAGGCCGGTCTCAAGACCTTTCTCTTTGACTGTGCCTTCAGCTCCGCTCTCGACTCTCTACCCCCTCCACGCTCCCTCCTTTCGCTCCCCTCACCCTGACCATTTCCCCCCTGCTCGGGTCCTGACCCAACTGTACAGCGCCTTGGGACGTCCTCCCGACGTGAAAGGAGCTCTATAAATGGAATCTTGTTGTTGTTGTTGCAGGGCCTCTGGCTGCTGATTCTATGTCTCTGTCTCTGAGCGATCACTGGGCCCTGGGTTGTCCCTTTTCCTGTACGATCGGGTAGAACTGATCGTACAGGGTGAGTTTACTCACGCTGGTGCTGCTGCCCAGGTAAAAGAGCAGGTTGTCGGGTTCTGAGGTCTTGACGTTCAGTGTAAGAGTGTTGTGGTTGCTGCTGTGCAAAGCTGGCTGGTAGGCACGCACGCAATCCCGGTCTGCCGCCACCGCCACTTTAATCTGGGGGGACAAAAAGGTTACGTTTAGGAACTGAGTGAAGAAAAATAAACATCCTTCTGGTTCTCAATTATTTCAATCAAGTAACAGAATGGAGAAGGGAAGTGTTTAGGAATATCGCACAGGAGCTGTTTTACAGCTGCAGAAGGAACAACAACAACACCTTGCATTTATTTAGCGGCCTTCGCGGGCGGTAGCATCTCAGAGCAGGAAACAGATGAATACTCAGCCTCTCCTAATTCATCTTGCTGCACAGGGCTCTGGTCAGGAGAATGTGCAGAGTGTAACACCCAGCACCAAATACTGGCCTGTTGTAATAGTAATGGGGTGAATTGTATTTGGCTGTTTAGTGCATTCAATGGAGCTGTTGACTGTGAGCTCCAGTCCAAACTTGGGGCTTAAACCCCAACCAGAAGCGAGAGTGATACCAACAGAGAATGCCTGGCCGACGTCAAGAGGTTTAATGGGGCTGTGCTCGATTATGGTTTAATTCGACATCAGAAATATGGTTCAAAGTAGGAACTGAGGTGGTAATATGGGAAGCCAGAGCTCCTCTACAACGATTGGACACTCACCGAGGCAGCCTGCTTGCGTGCCTGGTTGATCAACTCCTTGATCTCCGATAGATTCCTGCTCAGGTTGTCCTCCAGCAACTTCAGAGGCTTCAGTCTGTCCAGCAAGTAGTTGGCCTGAGTTTCAATCTCTTTGACCCTCTTTCCAGCAGCTACAGCTGTGAAGTGAAGGAAGTGGTGGTGGGGTGGGGGGGTGGAGAAGGAGGGAGGGAGGAAATTAAATCGGAGGGAAACATCTCCAGAAGTTCCGTTCCAGAAAGCAAAGGTATCGTTATATCATTAGTGCAAGATGAAGGGTGTAATAATCTTTGCATTTGCCCTATAACATCAAAACATATCAAAGCTCTTCACAGTAATCACCGTTGAGGGAACAGACTCTGTATTTGCAGGCAAACTCAGCAGCTAATTTTGGCAAGTCAGTGCCAATAATCAGGAAAGGGACATGGGGAATGTGAGATTAATTAAAAGAAACAACAACAATTTGCATTTAGAGAGCAGCCTTCAAGCCTTCAACCCTACTTAAAAACACAAGAGGTATCAGCAGCACAGACAGGATTAAATAATAATAATAATCCTTGCATTTGAAATAGCGTCTTAAGAGAAGATTGAGAGAAGATTGCTGTCTTTAAGATTCTAAAGGGGCGAGACAATGTACATCATGACAGGTCCAGAATAGTAAAACCAGAGGACACGGCCTGCAATTGAAGGGGAGTAAATTCAGAATAAATCTACGGAAACACTATTTCAGTGAACGAATAATAAACCTGTGGAACAGGCTCTCTCGGGAGGCGGTTGAAGCAGGAAATGTTGATTCCTTCAAACACGGATTAGATAGTTTTCTTTTAGGAAATAACATTATGGGATATAGTACGTAGGTAGTTCAGGACAAATGTACATGCGACTGCCAGGAAAGTGGAAAGCGAACTAGATGGACCTTGGTTTTTTTTCATTTAGCATTTCTTATGTTCTTATGTTGTTGAGATGTCTCCAAGAGCTTTAAAGAATATATTGTAAAGTGGATTGACTGTGTATTTTGTGGACAAAATAAGGCAGCCAATTGCGCACAGCAGTGTCTCACAAACTGTGTTGGATTGAGCGACCAATTTTTTTTAAGGGATTATTACCCCTGGAAAGCGATCCAATCGACTAACAACTGAGTTCTTACTTACTGCTAGGTAACTAGAGACGTGTGGAGTAAGGAAACTTGCCTAAGGTTTCTCCTGGCCCGGGAATCGAACACAGGTCCTCTTGCTTGCAAAGCAAGAACGGTGACCATTATGTTACGAGACTTCATTCCTTATCGCTAACCACGACACTCCATCCTTTCTGCATCCACGTGCGGGAAAACCACGAAACCCCCTTTACCAAAAGGGGGTGGTTTTAATATTTTTTTTTTCACGGTGCGCTCACCTGTCTCTGCCGACTGGTTGATGAGTTCATTTGTTTTCCTGACGGTCTCGTTGACCTGGGCCAAGGTGCCCGATGCGTTCAGCAGCCGCAGGCTGAGCCCCTGGATCTTGTCCAGAGTGACGGCCGCTGTAAGGTTGGCTGTAGCGACGCTCTCCTTCGCTTGCTGCACCCTCGCTGTGGTGTCTATGCCACACGGACACAAGAAAAACAATTGCATTGCAAACTACTCAGTGCTGGTTAATTGTGGTCACTTAAACCAGCTTATATATAAAGAGTACTTTCTCCCACTCTGTCTGGCAAGCTTCCCGCTGCTTTTCTTGATAGGGCTTTGACTTGCAGGATTATTAGGAGTCGAATGGGAAGAATCTCTTCCCCAAGTGATTGGTCTGCATTTCCATATCCTGCTGATGAGCCAGATTGGCTGTGCTGTCAGCAGCAGTTCATTGAGTGACCACATTTTTCAATACAGCAGCAGTGCCCTAGAGTACTGTGGGCCCACTTTATTGTAAAGTGGATTGACTCTGTATTTTGGGGGCAAAACATGGTAGCCAATTGCATGCAGCAATGCCCCGCAAACGTTGTGGATTGAGTCACCAATTTTTTTGGGGAGGATTTTTTTTTACCTCCAGAAAGCAATCTGCCAATCGACTAACAACCGGGTTCCCACATACTGCCAGGTAAACAGAGGCGTGTGGTGTAAGGAAAATGCCTAAGATTTCCCCCTGCCTGGGAATCGAACCTGAGTCCTCTCACTTGCTAACCACTATGCCAAGGAACTCCACAATTTGCCTGTTAGAGACGTGGACTGACCGTTCGGTAAGTTAGCCATTGTGTGCAGGGGCTCGTTCAGCTGTCTGCTTATGTTGCGGGCGCCCTTCCGAATTTCATCAATCTTCTCCTTCAGCCCATTCAGCTGATTTACAAGACCTTGTCAGTTGGGGAAGAAAAGAGCTTGCATTTGTATTGTTTCCCTTCTCACTGAAATGTCTCAAAACGCTTCAGTCATTGCTGTCTTGGTTTCTCTTTTCAGGGAAACCAAATTTACCCCCTTCAAGGCCCGCCCCATCCCTCCACAGTGAAAGAATAGTATATCTGGAGAACTGTTGGCCGACACCATGAGATACTGAACGCTGAACAGGCAGACACAACCTTGTTTTATCATCTCGTCTGAAAGACGGTAGCTCCGATAATACAAATCCCAACCAGGGGTTTGAACCCACAACCTTCCACCTCAGAAGCGAACGTTCAGGTGGGTGTTAAAGGTCCTGCGGCACTATTCAAAACGAGAAGGGAATTTCTCCCTGTGTCCTCACCAACAATCTCCCCAAAAGACAGTATATCCTGCGAAGCGTTTTGAGATGTCTCACTGATGTGAAAAAGTACTATATCAAATGCAAGGATTATTATTATAAATAAAATTGGCTGTGTGTGGCATGAACTGTAGTGACTGTGTGCAAATTGGATGCCATGTTCACATACCGAAATACACAGGTTTCACTTGGAACCTCCTCCTGAAGTGAAAGGTGCTATATCAAATGTAAGGGTTATTATTATTTATTATTGCTAATGTTATAACCCTGTCCAGATTGCTTGCATTCCCTAATGATATTCCCATGATCCCAGTGACACAGGTTCCAACGTCATCAACAGACAGCTATCCATATCCTCATAACCATCATGTCTGTACCTGACCAGATAATTGAGACAGCTGTTTCTTGAGAGGTGCGAGCTGACATAGTGTAGTAGTGGAGAAAGAAAAGTGAGTCAATGTTTTAGGTCCACGACGGGTCGTGGATCTGAAACGTTGACTCACTTTCCTTTCTCCATAGATGCTGCCTGACCTACTGAGTGTTCCCAGCGACTTCTGTTTTTGTTTCAGATTTCCAGCATCCGCAATATTTTGTTTATAGCGTATTAGTGGCTGCTTCCCTGAGGAGCTCATTCCGTTGATCAGTGGGATAATCTTCACGCCCTTTCAAAATCAAACACTGAATTTTTAAAGGGGATTTACATATTACCGCATGAAGTAGTTTGGACGGGAGTCAATTCCCGCAGGCAGGTAAAGATAATTCCCCTGATCACTACCCTTGTTTGATGGGTTGCCAGTTTTCTGCCTGTGCCCTCTGTGCTCTGTGATGGTATTCAATGCCTTTCTCAAGCCTGCATTATATTTTGGCATTCAGCATCGGAAAGACTTGTCTCATACGTGATAATAATAATATAATAAACCCAGCATTTGATGTAGGGCCTTATCACATCGCCGAGATGTTTCAAAGCGCTTCAAGAGAATTTGCAATGAAGTGTAGTGACTGTATATTTTACAGGTAAATATGATGTACCTTATTCTGCCTTATCACGTTGTTGAGATGTCTCAAAAGAGCTTCACAGGATATAGTGTAAAATGGATTGACCGTGTCTCTTATAAGTGAAATGAAATCAATGTCCCTAAAGTAAGTTTATTAAAAGAGTAATAAAAGCATGGATTAATTGGAAAGTACAGGATAGGATTTTAAAAGGCATTAAACTTCAAACTTTACCATATTTAGTCCTTTGTATTAATATAGAAATGCTCCAGGCAGAAGGCCAATTGGCCCTTTGCATCGCTACTCTGAACTCTGGTCTCCCACATGACAGGCCACACCACTGAGGAGGAATAGTGTGTTGTAACCTGCACATCAATGAGGAATGAAGAGTTTTTCTATTGCGCATCTAAATGAGACAAGTAACTCACCAGCAGTTTTTTGTCTTAATTTGTTTGCATCATTCAGAAGTTTGGTGCTGCGCTCAGCTGACTCTTTCCCGGCCTTCTCAAGGGAGTTTTGTGAGCCAGAGGCCTAGGTAAGACAACACAATATGACACTCAACACAGAAGAGACAGAGGCCATTGAATGCAAGAGCAGAGCAAACAGAGCTAACCCTCTGTTCCTGGAGACATTGATGAGCACACCCGTCCAGCTCACCAGCCTCGTACAAACAGTTTTGTATAAAGCTGCTTGTGGCCAATGATTTGAACCAGCTTAAAGCACCTTACAAACTGCCATGCACATCGTTTCTGAACTGGTTAGTTAGCGAGCTCTCAAATTACCTCCTGTAAGAGTTGCGTTCTCAGCCCGACTAATTTTAACAGCTCGTCTCCGAGCTCTAGACCAGCCTGCGGCTCCAGCAGCCAGCGACTCACCAATGTCAGTGCAGCGTCTGCGTTGCTCTGAGCTTCCAATATAACAGCTTCAGCTTCTTCAAGCAGCTCTCCCACACTTGGTTCCTCGCTCCCTGCTGCTACCGTAGTGTTCACCGACACGTTCCTTACGTCTGAAAGAACACTAACATGGGGAAAGCTTCACTCCAGTGACTGCCAATCTGGGGTTTCACACACAAGTTATGCCGCAGCGTTAGAAGGTGAGAATGTTATCTCATCCCCTTAACACTAAACGGTTTTACTTTGTTACATTGTGGTGGTGAGGGTGACCTACTGTGTGAGTGGGCAGATCTGTTCGGACTGTGGGCCAAACTTTTATGATGGGGGTCTGACCTTTTATGGTGTTGGGACGCCCCATTGAATAGATGGGTCAACCCGATATATGGACTGACCTGTTCAGCAGACTGGCCACATTGTTGAGGTGACCAGCGTGGTCCTCTGCCCTGTAGACAAGATCGAGCACCCCTTTCTTATTCATCTCCATTACAAGCTTGTCCACATGCATCCTCAGCTTAGTGTTCCACATGTACAGCCTGTCCTTGTGCTGCTCCAGAATCTACAGTCACACACAATAATAATAACAATCCTTCCTTTTGATCAGTTTCCGAACCTTCTCTGGTTGGAATACGGTTGGAACAAAAGGAGGAGCAGTCACGTTGATACTTACGTTGGTCTTGTTCACTACATCTTCTGCCAGATTTGCTGCACTGTCCACTATTTCCCTTCCATCCTGGACCAGAGTTAGAGCCAGTGCCCTGTCTTCTTCAATGTTCTGACTCTTATCCTGTGCATTGAACAGTCTGGTGTGAGTTGCCAACAAGAGCAAAGGCAGCCCGACTGACAAGTCTCAAAGACTGTCTCACTCTTTTAACTATCAGAGACCCAACACAATTACCTGATGTCAATACCTCACCACCATGACATTAAAATTTCAGGCCGTGCAGAATTGTGGAAAATTCCTGAAACTCAGTGTTAGTCTGGAAGAATTGTTTGAAAGAATTGTGGAAAAGCAGTTTTCAAAATTAGGATGAACTAATATTCTGTACGATTTAACATTTTAAATTGATGAATTTAAGAGAAAATCCATGAGAATGTTCAAGGGGATTGTCGGCAGGGAACCTAGAAGAAACTCCCTTTTCCTTTCCAATAGTGTGACACAGGAACATTGATGCTGGGCCTTAAACTCACAACCTCCCCACTCGGTGACGGACACCTACCGACTGAGCCAAGCTGACACGTTTAGGGGCTGTGTCATACACTTTCCTCTCACCTTCAGCTCCGCCAGGCTGCTGGAGATGCTGCGGAGGAGCCGGCCGGTCTCGTTGGCTGTTGCGAGCGCCTGGTTCACCAGGTCCTGGGCCTCGTGCAGCTCTGTGCTGCGCTGGGCTAAGATCTCATCAATCTGGGCTTTCAGTTCATCCAGTTCCCGTCGAGGCTTCTGGAACTCTGTCTGCACCCGCACCAGGAGCTGTTCTGCCGCTCTGTATCGATCAGTCAACACCGGATGTCAAACCGTTGCATAGGATTTAAGAGGAAGAGCTTTTGTGGGCCCCCAGTGGGGAAGACCCCAAACTACACAAGATAAAGGACCTAACTAAATGGTAATGGAAATCAGGAACTCTCTCTCCCCCCAAAAGGCTGTGGATGGTACTTCCTCTAGTGGAGGAATCCAAAACAAGGGGGCATAACCTTAAAATTAGAGCTAGGCCATTTCGGAGTGAAATCGGGGAGCATTTCGTCACACAAAGCATAGTGGAAATCTGGTACTCTCTCTCCCCTCAATAGGCTGTGGATTCTGGATCCATTAAAATTTTCAAGAATAAGGTGGATAGATTTTTTTTAGGTACGGGTATCAAGGGATATGGAGTAAAGGGGGATAAATGGAGTTGAGGTGCAGACATGGGATGGTATCCAGAGTGAAGGGCGCTATGTAAATGCAAGTTGTTGTTGTTGATCAACCATGATCTAATAGCATGGCGGAACAGACTCGTGGGGGCTGAAAGGCCTACTCCTGTTCCTATCTTCCTACGTCGGACCTTGCACTGAAATTATAGACAGCTTCCAGACTTGCAACAAAGAAAGAGGCAATTTGGATCATCGTGGTACAAGAGAAGTTCAGCTAAAGAAGGCTGCCCTTTGGCTGATTTCACCTCATCCTACCTGAACACCCACCTGAGCACTTTCCCATTACAACATCGAACTCTAATCACTTAGAAATAGTTTTGTGTTTGGACTACTCTAATCCCATTCTCCTGCTCTTAATCCGCACCCCTTAATATTCCCTCCCCTCACCCCCACCTGAGTGTTTAACTAATACCATGTCACATATTGTAAGGAGCTATATAAATGCACATTTGTATTGCAATTGAATTGTAATCCTACTTCCCAAGCAGGCATCAACCATGACCTTAAAACACTTCGGTTGATTCCCAATCTGCAGCTTCCTCGCATATTTAAGGTTGTGAAACATTTTTACAACCATTTGTGAGCAGAAATGACCTTTGTTTCTTGGCAAGTTATTTCTGGATTCACTTTTAACCAGCTTAGCTCTGGGGTTTAAGATTATGTCTCTTGTTCTGGAGCTCAGTGAGATCAGTGTTTGTCGCTGAGTTTACTCAGCGCACCGATGCTGAACCACGCTTGAGTCCAACGTACTTTCATCTTGTGCCAGTGTGTGTCAAGACTCCAAATTCAATCACTTGAAAATTGTTCCCATCGCTCACACAGTACTTCAGCCCAGTGTTAGAAGTCACCTTCTGTACAGCTGCAATCCCCTCGCTAACCAATAAAATGGCAACAAAAGATCTGCTCTGCTCTGATAAAACAACTTACATTTATACAGCGAACTTCACATAAGATAACATCTCATGGCATATTTCTCTCTCTTTCCCCTCTAACCTGTCCTCTGACTCCATCTCGTCAGCTACCAAGATGCACACAAGGTGTTGAGGATGATAATGCTAAAATTGCTATATTTACAAGGTAAATCACTACCAAAAAAAAAAGCGACCAACAAGGTTGAAGTGTTTATACACGTAAACAGAGAGTAAGAGCATTCCTCCTTTGCTCAAACTCTCAGACGTGCAGGGACTCCCAAGACATCAAGTTACTTTGAGCCTCAACTTCCTTCAACAGAAATGTCAACAAACTATGGCCACCATACCTAGCTCCCCTCGTCTCCATACTGCAACTCATCAATTTTTTAGTTGCTCACTTCAGCTCATTGAGATAGTGGTACAACCTTGGTGTTCTGTTTAATAGGAACATAAGAAACGGTAGAGGAAAAAAGACCAAAGTCCATCGAGTTTGCCTTCCACCATCCTGGCAGTTCATGTCCTGAACTACTCATATACTCTATCTCAAAATATTATTTACTACAAGAAATCTATCTAATTTGCATTGGAAAGAATTTACACTTTCTGTTCCGTAGATTTAATCCAACCGTCTCTTCCAAATGCTACACCAGGTCCTTGACCAGAACAGTTTTCCTGCACCATTGGAATATTGCCTGACTCCATTCGTACCTCACCCTTTCTATAATACCGACCCTGTTGACCATGCTTTCAGTCACCTCCTCCGTACCCCACATTCCCAGCTGTGTTTTGCATACCCTCCAACCCTGTGAAGTGTTTGTGACGCTCTCCGACATGAGAGGTGACCTGTGAGTGCAAGTCTTTGGTGTTGAACTTACCTGAGCTCATTTGCTGATGTTGCTTTAGATTGGTCAAACGTCCTCTGCCGCAGAATGTCCATCATGTTGTCGATCTCGCTCTGAAGCCTCCGCAGACTGCTGTCGGACAGAGCCACATCACTACCCAGCGTCTCGTTCAGGTGATTCGCTGCTTCAACAAGACCTGCGGACACAGAGCAGTCAGGGTAGGTCTGTACTTTGAGGGGGACCCAAAATTCCACCTAGTCTTAGCCTGTCAGAACTTTTTAATAACTGCAGGAAATTAACAACTTTGAAATGATAATAATTCTTGCATGACATCAAGTGTCTCAAAGCAATTCACAGGATTTTACTATAAAAAATACAGTGACTGAGTGACTGACTGACTGACTGACGCAACAGCCAATTTATACACAGCAATGTCCCACAAACAGCCATGACCAATTTTATCAGCGGGATTGTTGGCCAGGGACGACTGAATTTAAGGATTTTCCAAGTTTCGTCAATCGTCAACTCACTGCAAATGAATATTGTCATCATTGAAATGATGATATTGTGACATTTTCTCAATCCATTCCCTATCCCCTTTTTCTCCTCCCTCTCTCCCCTTTTACTCTTCACCCTCTCTTTCTCGCCCCTCCACTTCTCCCCCCTTTCTTTCTCCCATCCCTCACTCCCATCCCTACCCTTTTCTCCATCTTTGCCCAGAATCTGAATACAGAAGATAAAGAGGATTTTCATTTTAAATTGGAAAGAAAGGCTTCATTATATCCAGTGCTGTGAGATGCCACCGCACGTGACGTTGTTATTGTATATAACAAGGTCATCTCATTCCTGCTACAATTTCGAGAAATAGTCATTTAGGTTCTCATGTTGGTTATTTTTATTTTTTATGAGACACGTTTAAACAGCTCCGTTAAGAACCATCTTAATAAACTGATAACCAAGGAAGGTGTTTAAGTGAAATGTTTTATAAGATGCCGTGTACCTGAATTTCCAGCAGGTGTCTCCCTTTCACTGTATTTCAGGACAAGAATCATTTACATATAATAATAAAATGTGCATTTGATATAGCGCCCTATCACATCTTCTGGACGCCTCAAAGCGCTTCACAGAATATACTGTGAGGTGGATTGACTGTATATTTTGTGGGCGAATAGCGGCAGCCAAATGCGCAGAACAGTGTCCCACAAAATCGTGGATTGAGTGACCAAATTATTTCATGGATGTTTGTGGGACTTGCTGCGCTGTGCAAATTGGTTGTTGTGTTCATCTGCAAATACACTGTCACTACATTTTACAGTAAATTCTGTGAAGTGCTTTGAGATATTTTGACAACGTAATATGATGTTGTATCAAATGCAAGGATTACTATTAGTCCTTAGAGCTGAGGAGGTTAAGGGGTGAATTGATTAAGGTATTTAGAATCATGAAAGGAAATGACAGGTTAGATAGTGGATGACTCTTGCCTTTGGTAGAGAGATCCAGTACAAGGGAGGTATTAATAGCTTTAAAATCAGAGCCATAGGGTTACACTGAGGTGAGATACCATTTCTTCATCCAGAGGATGGTGAATATGTGGAATGCTCTGCCCTAAAGAGCTGTAGAATCAGTAAGAATTTTTTGGGTTGTTAAGAGTTATTATGGATATGAAAAAGGGCAGAGCATTAGGATCAAAAGATCTGCAAAGTTCCAATAAACTAGTTGAACAGGCTCGATGGGCTGAATGGCCTCCTCTTGATCCTACCTTTTAGACTCTTCAAAGTGTTATTTGCAAAAGCTTCAAGTTCTTGGCTTTGGGCTTGCGTTTTCGCTGTCGCTCTGTCCATGTCCTGCCAGTCACCCAAAACCTGAGCCAACTGAAAAACAAAGGAGGGAGGTGAGGAGTTCAAAGTGCTGAGATTCTGGGGAACCAAAAAACAAAGGAGGCGAGGTTCTTCGCCTTTAAACACTACATTCCCCCTGCCTCTCCCTCCATTCCTGCTCCTCTATCCTACCCCCACTGCCAAACCACTGGTGAACCAAATCCAAATCAAAGCAAAGCCACCAAGACCATTTTCTGTGCCTTCAAAAACACAATGATTGTTTAAGATGCTTGACTACAGAGATACACGTTGGATTACAGTTCAGAGAAAAAGCAAATTACTTTACGTAAGCGACTATTTATTCTTGTGCGCAAACATAGAAAGTTACCAAAAAAAAAGCTTCGCTCTCCCCAACTCGACTGATGTTACCTTGAACAGACAGTAAGACAGGACTACCTTTTGCTGCACACGACTGATCTCTGAGGCAACATCAGCCACCTGTTCTTCCATCTTTTTGATGAGGTTACCTGGGTCCTGTTCTCGCGACAAAGCAGTCTGTGACGAATCCACAAACAAAGCCATTTCAGTGAAGTTTTACCACCCAATTACTCAAATAAAAACTATTGTGCTTTCTGTGATGTGCACTCAACAAGCAACCATTTGCTCTATTGGGGTCTTCTTGGAACTCAGATGGCTCCAAGGTGACATTCCATAGAATCCGGAACTGTTGCATTTCATCCAAACCATCTGTCCATTATTTGCCCTCATTCTCCGGGACTCCATCCCGGAATCCCTCTGACATGCTCCCTCTCTCCTTCACCTTGTTCAAGGTCCGTCTAAAGAGGTAAATCTTTGACTGCGCTTTCGGTCATCTTTCTCCTCCCTAGCCCCCTCACATCCCAAACACCTTGGGATGTCCTTCCGACGTGAAAGGCGCTATATAAATGTACATTTGTTGAATTATTGTTGTGAACTATTTTTTCTGTGTTTCTTACAATAAACTTACAGAAAAGTAGGGTTCCGAATTAAGGCTTCCTTTAAGAATTTGTCAAATTCTGGCCTCCCTAAAATGCTATCGTTAAACAAGGTGAATCCAGACCTAGGTGGCATTTCTCCCCAGTAGGAGACAGCTTCAGAACCTTACCTTGTATTCAATTGCATTGTCTTCTACAGATGACAAGAGGCCAAAGGGAGCTGGAACAAACCCAGTCATGTTGAAGGACATGAACATGGTTTCCATCTTTTCCAGGTCTGACAGGAGGAGCCCTGTGCAATCATCATCACAAGCTACAAGAGGGATAGGGGAGGGGGGCAAAACAAGACATGTGTTGAAGAGCAGAAAAAAAACAATGCTAATAGTGATGTCAGCCTGGTTCAGTCAGGAGCACTCTCGTGGTTGTGGGTTCAAGCCCCACAGCAGCACTTGAGCTTACGGTCCAGTCTAGTCTGACAGTCCAGTGCCGTGCTCATCTCAAGACCATCCTGTTCGACCGCAACTTCGGTCGCCTTCCTATCCTCACCGTCCCTGCCCTCCACCCTTCCTGATTCCAACCCCCAGCTCAGGTCCAAATCTTTGACTGCCCAGCAGCTTGGGGTGTCCTCCCAACATGAAAGATGCTATACAAATGTAATTTGTTGTTGATAAACTGAAAAAGGAAATAAGAAGGGCGAAGAGATCGCATGAGAAAAAATTAGTGGGTAACCTAAAATTGAACCATAAGGTATTTTATAAGCATATAAAGAATAAAGGGTTAGTCAAAGGTAGGGTGGGTACAATTAGGGACGAAGGAGGAAATCTTCTTGTGGAGGCAGAAGGCATGGCTGATGTACTGAATGAGTACTTTGCATCTGTCTTCACAAAAGATGCAGCCAATGCCACAGTATCGGAGGAGAGGGCAGAGAAATTGGGATGAGATAAGAATAAACCGAGAGGAGGTACCAAAAAAGGTTGTTGGTGCTCAAGGTAGGTAAGTCACCCGGTTTGGACGGGATGAATCCAAGGTTACTGAGGGAAGTATTGTTGGAAATAACGGAGGCTCTGGCCACAATCGTTCAATCCTCCTTAGACACCAACAACAACAACAACAAGATTCCATTTATAGAGCGCCTTTCACGTCAGGAGGACGTCCCAAGGCGCTGTACAGTTGGGTCAGGACCCGAGCAGGGGGGAAATGGCCAGGGTGAGGGGAGGGAAAGGAGGGAGAGAGGAGGGGGGAAATGGTCAGGGTGAGGGGAGGGAAAGGAGGGAGAGAGGAGGGGGTAGAGAGTTGAGAGGGGAGCTGAAGGCACGGTCAAAGAGAAAGGTCTTGAGACCGGCCTTGAAGGAGGAAAGGGAGGAGGCGGCGAAGGCACTGGGGGATAGAGTTCCAGAGCCTAGGGGCTGAGAGGCTGAAGGCCCGGCCACCGATGGTAGGCCAGTTGGGGCGGAGGATGTGGAGCAGACCGGAGCCAGAGGAACGGAGGGTACGGGCGGGTAAGTAGGGGGATAGTAGATCAGAGAGGTAGGAGGGAGCAAGGCCATGAATGGCCTTGTAGATGAGGATCTTGAATTCGATCCTCTGGGGGATGGGGAGCCAGTGGAGGCGAGTGAGGGTGGGAGTGATGTGGTCGCGAAGCCTGGTGCGGGACAGTACACGAGCTGCAGAGTTCTGAATGACCTGCAGCTTGTGGAGAGAGGTGCCGGGAAGGCCGGCGAGGAGAGAGTTCCCATACTCCAGCCTTGAGGTGATAAAGGTGTGGACCAGAGTTTGAGCAGCGTGAGGGGTGAGGTAGTGCCGTAGTCTGGCGATGTTCCAGAGGTGATGGAAGGCAGTGCCAGTTGTGCCGCGGATATGAGGAAGAAAGGACAACTCAGGGTCGAACAGAACACCGAGGTTCCTGATGGCTTTGAGAGGTGGAGGGTGCAGCCTTGGATGCTGATGCTGTCAGCGCCTAAGGTGCGGAGGCGCTGACGCGAGCCAATCAGGAGGGCCTCAGTTTTACGCACGTTGAGCTGAAGAAAGTTGTCTCTCGTCCAGGACTCGATGTCGGACAGGCAGGCTGTCAGGACATCGGTGGTCGTGGAGTTGAGGGTAGAGGAGGAAAGGTAGAGTTGGGTGTCATCCGCATACATGTGGAAGTTAACCCCATGTCTGCGGATGATGTCACCAAAGGGGGAGCATATAGAGGGTGAAGAGGAGGGGACCGAGGACAGAGCCCTGAGGGACACCGCACGAGACAGTGCGGGGGCCGGAGGAAAAACCATTTGTGGAGACAAAGTGAAGACGGTGGGAGAGGTATGACCTAAACCACTCAAGGACAGGGCCTTGAAGGTTGAGGTGGGAGGACAAGCGGTGGAGGAGGATAGCGTGGTCGACCGTATCGAATGCTGCCGATACGTCGAGGAGGACGAGGAGATACGTCGAGGAGTGGGGAAACTTCTAGAGCCTATAATCCAGGACAAAATAAACTTTCACTTAGAAAAATATGGGTTAATAAAGGAGGGCCAACATGGATTTGTTAAAGGCAAATCCTGTCTAGCAAACCTGATGGGAGTTTTTTGGTGAAGTAACGGAGAGGGTGGTTGAAGGTAGTGCAGTTGATGTAGTTTGTATGGCTTTTCAAAAGGCGTTTGATAAAGTGCCACATGAGAGACTTGTAAGCAAAATATAAGCCAACAGTATTAAAGGGACAGTGGCAGCACGGATGCAGAACTGGCTGGGAGACAGAAAGCAGAGAGTGGTGGTGAACAGTTGTTTTTCTGACTGGAGGGAAGTGTACAGTGGTGTCCCCCAGGGGTCAGTATTGGAACCACTGCTGTTTTTGATCTATATAAATGACCTGGACTTGGGTATCGGGAATATAATTTCCAAGTTTGCTGATGATACTATGCTAAGAAAAGTAATAAACAGTGAGGAGTATAGTAGAAGAACGCATATGGGCTTCGACAAACTGTAAAATGGGCAGACACGATGAAGTTTAATGTGGAGAAATGTGAAGGGATGCATTTTGGAAGGAAGAATGAAGAGAGGCGATATAAGTTGATGGTACTATCTTAAAGGGGGTGACGAAACAGAGACATCTGGGGGTTCATATAAGTAAATCTTTGACAGGTAGATAAAGCTGTTAAAAAAAGCATATGGGATACTAGGCTTTATAAATAAGGGCATAGAATACAAAAGTCAGGAAGTTATGATGAACCTTTATAAAACACTGGTAGGGGTTCAGCTAGAGACTGTGTTCAATTCTGGGCACCACACGTTAGGAAGGATGTCAAGGCATTGGAGAGGCTGCAAAGGAGATTTACCAGGATGGTACCAGGAATGAGGAAAGGCTAGAGAAGCGACGATTATTCTCCTTGGAGCAGAGAAGGTTAAGAGGAGACTCAATGGAAGTTTTCAAAATTATGAGGGGATTCGATAGGGTGAATAAAAAGAAATTATTTCCGCTGGTGAGTGGGTTGGTTACCCGAGGACACCGATTTAAAATAGTTAAAAGAAACGGAGGGAGGTGTGGAGAAATTTTTTCACGCATCAAGTTGTTCGGATCTGGAATGCATTGCTTTGAAAGGGTGGTGGTAGCTGATTCGATAACAACTTTTAAGAGAGAAGTAGATAATTATTTGGGGAGGACAGTTTGCAGGGCTATGGGGAGAGAGCGGAGGAGTGGGATTGAATTGGATAGCTCTTTTCAAAGAGCCGGCATAGACATGATGGGCAAAATGGCCTCCTTCTGTGCTGTATAATTCCATGATTCTATGATGTTCAATGGAGGTCCGGTCTGCTTGTTCAGGATGACAATAAAGATCCCGTGAAACTATTCTCCTGGTGTCCTGGCCAGCAATCCCCCCAAATAAAACTGGTCACTCACTTCATGGTTGTTTGTGGAACATCACTACTTGGTGCAAACTGGCTGGTGTGTTTGCCTACAAATAAGACAGCCACTGCCCTTCACAGTCAAAACTTACAAAGGGTTTTTAGACATCTCGACAATGTGATAAGGCGCTATATGAAATGCAAGGATTGTAATTATGGTATAAAAGAATCAGCTGTGTAAAACCATACTTACAGATACAGTCGCTGTCAACCAGCACGTGTCTGGGCTCACACTCGTCGCACAGACGTCCCATCACGCCCGACTTGCACAGACAGTGGCCTAGCAGCGAATCACAATTATTGTGAAGGGAGCCGCTGCGGTTACATTCACACAGCTGGCACCTGCCACCCGGGACCCTGGGGTCACCATAGTAACCAGGGGCGCACCTGCAAGGGGCAGAAGATGGTAAAGAGACCTGAGCCATTTGTAAGATTTCCTGCACTTTACACAGTCCTGAGGTCCCATCTAGTCTCAGCCTGTGAGACGGACTACTTAGTCTTGAAATTAAAGATCAGGCGCAAAGATGGACAATTCTTCCAATTCACCCTTAAGTAAAACACTAAAAATAAAATTTTGGACGTTAAAGTACCCTGCTATGATGGGAGTCTTCCTTTTTTGGAAGCCAGTTTGTTTTTCACAGTTCCCAAATAAACCTGATCTTTAAGAATTCTCCACCACTCTGAGCAATCTTAAGTTTTAAGCAACTTTTAAGGACAAGATTGGGTGAAATTTGGGGATCTAAACTGAATGGGAAAGATGGTTAGGGGGGATTTCCTGCAAACTGATTCTGGCTGTAAATTTACATTAAATTTAATGTACATCAAATTTAATTAATGCAAGTTTGCTCTTATAGTAAAACCAGCCTCCGAGTCAAGGCAGGATTTAAGAATATTCCGAGTTCTGGACCCTTTTGAATGTACAGAGTCAATCTACCTAAACCCAGGTGGAATTTATTCCTGAATTAGGGCACATTCTTCTCAGCCTGAGCACAAAGGCAGAGAAGTTTGGAAAGTGTTCCCACCCCAGGAAAACCAGTGTATTTGAGCCTCGGAGATGGGGAATGAACCTCACGATTGCCAAGCCCTGTGGCCTGCAGGGCTGTCAACAAGCGCCCCCTCCCCAACACTCGCACGAGTCTAGGTAAGTCCCTGTTCGATCGGTTGTGTGCGAAGGCACTGTGAAGAGTGTACTAACCTCTGGCAGTACTGTCCTTCATATCCAGGCAGACAGGAATCACAGCGGAAATCACTCAAACCTTCCGGCACGCACGTCAGGCTAAAGCTAGGGTTGGAAAAGAAGGCAACAGATACAAGAAGGCAAAAAAATCAATTACGGTTGCAAAAAATATAAGCCAATCAAACATTCCCAATGCAGCACCGGGAACCATGTAACATCAGGTTTAAGAATATGCTGAGTTCTGGACTCTTTTGAATGCTACATGTTTAGAGTCAATCTACCTAAACCCAAGGGGAATTTATTCCCGAATCAGGGCACATTCTTCTCAGCCTGAGCACAAAGGCTTTACATATTCTTGACACGTCTTGATGACATGATAAGGCGCAATATCAAATGCAAGCATTATTATTATTATTAGAAGATACACGAAATGAGAAGAAGTTTACAGCACAGAAAAAGGTCAATTTGCCAATTGGCGGTACTAGTTCCCCCATTTGGCTGTTTGGACTCTAATCCCCTCTCCTCAACACACACACACTGTGTCTGACACTGAATCATGTTGTGCAAGATAAGCACAAGAGCTTCCCCCTCCTCCTCTGTCTTCTCCCCACCCACCCAAACCACCCACCTGCACCCCACTCCCCATAGTGCCTTCAATGCCACAAACTACCATGCACAAGCATTACCTTCCACTATTGTGTCTGGGGCAGGCGCAGAGCGAGCAGTCATTGATGGATCCATTAACTCGGCCATAGTATCCCTGAGCACATTGCTCACAGTGATCGCCCGCTGTGTGGTCTCGGCAGCCCTGAGTTACACAAAAAGAAACCACAAACAGATCAGTCCCAGTTAGTGGGGAAAAGTACAATCCAGTCAAACTGTGTTGAGGCAGTGTTAAAGCCCCCAAACCTGTACTCAAACAGCTCACAACTTCAGTGCAAATGCACTAATATTTCAACAGTATTTGCATGTGCAGTTCTGCCTACATAGCTACTCAGCATTGAATGAGTGGCAGTAAGGCCCCACAAGTAGATGTTAAAAATAAATCTTTTACTAAACCATCAATAGTTCCCTTTTTTCCAGTCCACTACATGTGCTACGTTTTTTTTTTACCCCCATCTCTCTGTCTCTCTCTCTCCTTTCTCTGTCTCTGTTTTTCTCCCCCCCCATCCCTCTGGGGTGTCCAGAAATGAAGATGTCTGTTTGTCTTGTATGGTTAAAAGTGGCAAATGATTGAGGTGGTGGTGATGGGGGGAGGAAAGGAGTCACAAACAAACAGGGTGAACGTTTCGTAATTGATTCAATGTGATGACTTAGTGCATCAGATCCATTTTCAAATGTCTGAAGTGTCACCAGCCTTATTTAGCTTACTTCCAGCTCTTTCTGGATGTGAAATTGTTGGGATTATTGGATTCAGAAAGAGTCCATTGAACCTAGCTGAACCCTGCGATTAGGTTAGAGCCTGAGAGCTCACTCCTTTTAACCCATCATTCTGTAAGCGTCACCTACCTGACATTTGCCTGTATCGAGGTCACAGACATTACTGTGGTTGTTGCACTGACAAGACATGCACGGTTGGTTGAGAGAACGTGGCACATTAGCCTCGAGTTCTGTCATCTCTCTGTAAAAGCCTGGAGCACACACCTTTCATAGAAAAGAAAAGCAACAACATGGGCAGGATTAAATATAGGATCCGTGACTAACAACATCTCCACAACGCTGCCGGTGACCTTTGGAATACATCATTGCTTTGTATAGTAGTGTGCCCTTTCCTTGGGGTTATTAATTACATTTATTGTTTGTGGGTAGAAATTATCTTGAGGGTGATATTTTCAGAATTGTTTTTAAATTCTAAATTAAAAATGTTGCTGAGACCTCAGTACCGCCAAAACAAAACAATAATAATAATAATCCTTGCATTTGATATAGCGCTTTTCACGTCGGGAGGACGTCCCAAAGCGCTTCACAGAACACACTGTAAAGTGAATTGACTGTATATTTGTGGGCGAACGCGGGAGCCAATTGCGCACAGCAGTGTCCCACAAGCAGTCGTAGATTGAAAATGACCAATTTATTATTGTTTTTGGTTTTGGAGGGATTATTATTAGGCTCTGTGTGGAGTAAGGAAACTTGCCCAAGGTTTCGCTCTCTGCCTGGAATTGAACTCAGGTCTCTCGCTTGCAAAGCGAGTGCTCTAACCACTGAGCTTCAGGACTCCAATGATTTCTTTGAGGCGAGATTATCACTTCTATGGCAAGGAAGGCGATCTGGAAATCTTATTCCCTCAGCTCATTAGGACTTTAGTTCACAGGTTTGAAGACATATTTGAACCTCATCAAGTCTTGTGGATGAGCTGGACATGATGGATAAACTCACTAGTACTTGAAAATACTGTGCACTTGCCTAGATTGGTACCACTCAGTAATGACCTAGATCAGTGCCATTCAGTAGTGATCCAGATTGGTCAAATTCAACAATCACAGGATCACAAGATTGGTCTGGATGAAGAAGGCCCTTCAGCCCATCTAATCTCATCCTTCCAGAACACCAACTCTACTATTATCCCTATCACAGCATCATAACGTTGCTTTTTAAATGCGTCCAGTGTCCTGGCCTCAACCACCTTTCCTGGTAACCTGTTCCAGTCATGATTAACCTCTGGGGTAAAGAACAAAAATAACCTAGATTGGTGGCATTCAATGATGACCTAGTTCAATGCCATTCAGTGAGATGGCTTAGATGTGAAAAGCAGGAATTTTGCTTAGTCACTTTTGTTGCTTCCCATACTGAACCTGAAGATACCATTCCCACATTAGAAATAGAACCAAAATGAAACTCAATGGTGTGCAGGGATTTGAGGATGAAGAAGAGTTGGAGATAAAAATTAAGACTTCACCAGGACAAAATGGAAGTAGTATTTAACCGGCAATCAGATATGTCAATCCGTACCTGACAGGAGAGGCCGGCATAGCCAGGGGGACAGTCACAGATCTCGATCTGATGCGCACGCTCTCTACCTGCGTGGGTATCATCTTCCTCCATGGCGATCTCCATTGTAATATTGGAAATCCTGGCATAAAAGTGAGGGCAGGCAATGAGCATCGGCTCGTGACAACTGCTTACATTGCACAACTTGAATCAACATTTGAAATCCATTACTTTTTTCCTGGAGAGGGTTTAGCTTAGGTTGACAATAATAATAATCCTTACATTTTGATATAGCGCTTTTCACGTCTTCTAGACGTCTCAAAACGCTTCATAGAATAGATTGTAAAATGAATTGACTGTATATTTGTGGGTGAAACTCGGCAGCCAATAGCGCACAGCAGTGTCCCACAAACAGTCGTGGATTGAAAATGACCAATTTATTATCGTTTTTTTTTGTTTTTTGGAGGGATTATTATTAGGTGAGTGGAGTAAGGAATGTTGTTATTGAATCTGTTATTGTTGTTGTTTCCACCACCCTTTCAGGCAGTGCATTCCAAACTATAACAACTCTCTGGATAAACAAATTCTCCTCATCTCCCCTCTGATTCTTTTGCCAATTATCTTGAATCTATGTCCCCTGGTTACTGACTCACCTGCCAGTGGAAACAGTTTCTCCCTATCTACTCTATCAAATCACCTCTATTAAATTTCTCCTTGACCTTCTCTGCTCTAACGAGAGCAATCCCAGCTTCTCTAGTCTCTCCACATAACTAAAGTCCCTAATCCTTGATACCATTCTGATAAATCTCCTCTGCACCCTCTCTAAGGCAATGAAGGGGTTTAAGGTTATGGGAATGGGCTCAAAAAAGTGGGTCTCTTTTGATTGGACTGGATGGAGATCTAAATAGAGCTTTACACAGTCCTAGAAGGTTTTGAGACAGTAAAAACCGAAAGAGTGTTCCAGCTGGTTAGCAATTTGGCAACAAAGGAATGTAAACTCAAGGCTATCACTAGAAGAGCGAAGTTGGGTTGGTTAGAAGAGTTATTTTTATAGGAAGGTTATTGGAACATGGAACATTTCACCACAATTGTGCTGGGAGTAAGGAAGCTCAATGGTCTCACAACCTTTGACTCACAGTCAAGAGCACTGCCAACTGAACCAGGCTGGCAACTTTACAATTCTTAATCTGAACTGTTCTAAATATGTACATTTCTTACTATTCTCTAGACTCAGGAATGTTGCTCTATTAGTTTCCTTTCTAAATATAGACATCCTCTGTGGCTAATTCAGTCTAATTCCTGAGCCAGGCAGGTCCACGTTACTCAATGGCACGGCTGAGGACAAAGCAGCTATTGACAGGATTTGGAGGGACAGACACCATCAATGGGGGGCAAGGATTCTTCAGTGAAAAGCTTCTCAGTGCTCTCAATGGCAAGTTGTGTGGTTTTAGCTGGTTAAACTCCAGCAATACCCCAAACATACCACTCTGGAGTTCCCAAGTCTTGGCTCCTGCCAACGTGTCTCACTGGGATTAGATAAGAAGGGGAAATTTCCATGTGTAGGTGCCATACATATGTGGAATTCTCAGTCTGGTTTGGATAGTCTTAAGCACGGTGATGAATCTATCAGACACCTGGCTGACCAAATAAAATCTACATTGCTGTATTATTTACTGTGGTGCCCACTCAGCAAAGCGAAATCTGTTCTTCCCAGATACCTACAGCAGCAATCAACAACAATTACTTAGTCGTAAGAACGCTTCCTGTTTGTTAATGAGTAACTCTATCTCTCACCTGCTCTGCTGGAGGCCGCGGCCGTAGGAAGCCTTGATCAGGATGTACTCGATGTTACTGAGCACAGACATGAAGTCCGCACGGGTCACGGGAGCATCGGAGACGGAATTGAAATACTTCCAGTCGTGCTGCAAAAGTACAAAGGATTTTTTTTAAACAAAAAAACTTTAAAATTACGATTACACCAAAAAAAGTGTTTACAACAGTTCCAGTTTCTTATCTCATAAGATTTCAAACAAGAAGCCAGTTCTCCTTCCCCGTCCACCCGCCCCCACCCCCAGCCCCACCTCAGAGGCTTCTGGATGGATTGACTCCATTTTAGTGTAAGCTGAGAAACTGCATCAGGATGGATGGAGTCAGACTTGTGAAAGTCGACTTCAAACATATTTTCCTTACAGCTTTCTCCCTCTCCCTTTCCTTTACTTTTCCCCTTCCACTCCTTCTTCTCTGCTTCCCTTCTCCTCCTCCCCTCTCTTTTACTCCTTCTCTTCTCCTCTCCAGAAGATGTCGATCCCCAGTTCTGCAGATGATGGTCACACTTTGGGGCTTCAGTCAAGCGGCCATTCTTCATAAAGGACAACAGATGGCCTGGGAGCCACTGGCTTGGTGAGTAATGGGTGTATTGGACAGGAAGGAAAAGAACTCAGTGTGAGAGACGTTGTGAGCTGTTGGTGAAATCTAACCCTGTAGTCCTGAAAGGTCAGGGGTTCAGTGGTGGAGGAAGATCGAGAGTGGATGACATTTTGGAGATGTAGGAAGGCGATCTTGGTCAGGAAGCGAACAAACGCAGGGTAAGAAACTGAGGTTAGACAACAAATTTCAGTAATGACAAGAGCATACACTTACATAGCTCCTCTCACACTGGAAAATATTTTACAAGATGAACAGACATAGCAGCGGACTCACCTCAGTCAAGTCAATCTCGTGCTGGCTTTGCTGCCCATTGGAAGGAGTGTCCATGTCCCTATAAATGACTATTTTGCTGTTTTGGCCTCCTTTTAGGAGGATTTGAGGCTCCAGGTTTAAGCTCCCTGAACCTTCGAGAGCATAGTAGGCCATGGCATATCTCAGTGTCCCTCCATAAGCCAAAAGCTGTGGAAAAGAGAATCAGAAAGAGCTCAGAGCTCCTAGCCCAGACACAAAGCTATGTTATTTCACAGAGCAACAAAAACAGCAACAACTTGCATTTATATAGCGCCCTTTTATTTTTGGTAAAAGCCGGATGCCTGACACATGTGGAAACCCATCACCATGCATAAAGAGTATCCAAAACAAACTGAGAATTCCATGCATTTCTCCTACACATGGAAATTCCAGAGATAGGTTGTTGGAATGCAATGCACACTTTCTCCCTGGAGGGACACATCCTGCTTATCTAATTATTAGGCGCTGGTTAGCAAGAGCCAAGTCTTGGGGGTGCTTCATGCCAAAAAGCGTGGAGGGAGGGAGCTGGCCTGTGCAGATACAGGGTGAAAATGGCTATTGTACATCATTACAGATAGCACAGGTTGAGAATTTAGAGTACCTAAACATCCTGTTATAATGGGGGAGTGGGGTCCTACTGTATCTTAGATACTCTAGTGATTGATTTCCCCAGAACATCAAGAGACCCAGCTGGCGAAACAAACACAAGTGAAGCCTTGATCGTTTTCATCTTTGGTTTTGCAGACTCTTCCCTCACCTTATCCCTCGTGAAGAGGGCAGGAAGCATCCAGTAATATGGTTCTGTTTTCAGGTGTTTCTGAACCAGAACGGCATCGAGAAGGACCTCCGGGGGTTGGACATAGACGCCCTCGATGGTCCCAATCAGATTACCCTGGCTGACAACACGCAGGCTCAGCTGGTCTGGAGTGAGGGATAGCTGTACAGATAAAATACAGTCAATAAATACACACACAACACAAAGACGCACACACCAAAAAATACACAATCACTATGCTTTACAGTAAATTTGGTCCGTAGATCCATTGGGATCTGTTTAGGTGGTGGAGTTTTCCTGATGACTGCTTTTTAAACACCTTCCCCACTCCCCATCTCATGTGAACAGTATAATTTTTGCAGTGCCCGTTAATACCCATCAGTGCTTGACATCAGTTTTTATCCATGCGTGCGAAAGCTCTTTTAAATGCGCTCTGCTTTCCCGGTGAGGTGCTGGGAACACTGACAAAATCTTTCACGAGTTATGAATGGAGTGAACGTTACTTACGGGAATCCGGACCAGTCCCTGGAGTTCTGAGCAGGAATCTGACACTCCAGAGCAGAAGCAGCGGCTGCAGCCGGCCGGGTTGCTAAGACTGAGAGCGAAGGATCCGGTCTTGCATTCGTCGCAGCGCACGCCTGACACACTCTCCTGAAACAACACCGGACACCAATAGGAGTGCATTAAACTTGCAAGTGCAGAGTAACTGGATCTTAATAAGAATAATAATAAAATTTGCATTTGATATACTGCTTTATCACATCATTGAGACGTCTCAAAGCGCTTCACAAAATATACTGGAAAGTGAATTGACTGTATGTTTTGTGGGCGAAACAGGGGAACAGCAGCATCCCACAAACAGTTGTGGATTGAGTGACCAAATCATTATTACTTTTTTGAATGGATTATTACCTCTGGAGAGCGATCCGCCAATTAACTAACAACCGTTTTCCTACTAACTGCTAGGTACACAGAGGCGTGTGGAGTAAGAAAACTTGCCTAAGCTTTTGGCCCTGCACGGGAATCAAACCCGGGTTTCCTCGCTTGCAAAGTGAGTGCTCTAACCAATACGCTAAAGGGTCTTCATCGGAAGGCATTTGTTTTACATTACATGAGGTGTCAGCCTGGCTCAGTTGGTAGCGCTCTCACCTCAGAAGGTTCAATGTCCACATCGGGGCTTGGAACTTACACAGTCTATGCTGTTACTCCAATTCAGGGCTGAGGGCCGGCATTCAGTTGAGATGTTAAACCCAGATCCCATCTGCCTGTTCAGGTGGACACTGAACATTGTGGTTCTGATTTTATGGTGATTCCCCCCCCCTTGTAATGTCGTTCACTATCTAACCTATCATTTCCTTTCATTATTTGATATCTCGCAATAAAATCACTCTCTCCCCCCTGCTTGGTGCACCCCCGTGGGATGAATTTTCTATTCATTATATAATTGCAAGCAGCTGTAGCTTATATCCACAAGGCCCTGTTTATGACTGAAGTACTTGTGTGAATGTGTGCTGAGGGTACCTTGCAGGGGCAAAGCCCAGTGTGTTGTGCACAGCTGCATTCGCCTCGTGCTGGGTCACAGCTTCCTGGTTGGGTGCCGTTAATGTTGCACATGCAGGCAATGCACTCCGGGTAGTCCCTGTAGCCCACCGCGCACTCCCTGCACGCGCCACCTCCGAACTCTGGTCTGCACGGACACTGGCCGCTCGTTCCATTGCACTGAAGACTGTCAGAACCGACCTCGCTGCAGTTACAGGGCTGAGTAACGGAAACAAAAGGGGAGAAACCTTTAGATGTGAGCAAATTTTACAACTCGGGAGGCCATTCGGCCCATCGTGCCTATCCCTTTCTCTGTAAGTGCAGTCCGTTTAGTTCCACTCTCCTGCCCTTTCCCCAACAACGCTGTGTTTGGTTTAGGCAGACAAACAGAAGAGTTTCTTGGTGTGAGTGGAAGGAGGGTTAAAAGCTACATTTATGACAGAACACTACATAAATTCCCATTGGATTGAAAGAAGACTTATTTCAGAAACTCTCGGTAGCATTCCTGGGCTTTGTGATTTTAGCTGGTTAAACCCCAGCATGGCCCCAATACACACTCTGGGGTCCCCCGAGCCTCTGTGAAAGGAATAGGGGAGTGGGGCGAGTCTGTCCCAGATAGAGTGGTGGTCTAATTCTATTCCTGACATGGGGAAATTCCCCTGCTTACATTGCTCTTTCAGTAGTTTGGTTTGAATACTTTTTTATGTAGTGGGTGATGTGTTTCTGTGGCACAGTTGATCAGAATTGGCTGACCAACCCCCACCCCCACCCACTACCCAACTCGTACCTTACATCCGCTTTCAGGATCATGACCCCAGGAGTTAGCAGCACAAAGTTCACACTTAGCTCCCTGGGTGTGTGGTGGACAGATGCACTGGCCGGATTCGGCTGCACAGTTGTTCTGAGTGTGGACGCAGTCACAGGCTGTTGGCAAAGAAAAAACACATTGGGATTCAATGGGAAAAGAGTTTTGGAACATAGGAAAAGGAGGAAGGCATTCAACAACTAACAACAGCAACTTGCACTTACAAGGCGCCCGTCACACAGTGTGGTGTTTCAAAAGCCCCACCGTCGTTGGATGAGCTTTCAGACATTCTGCCCCCATTCTCTGGTACTCCATCCCGGAGCCCCTCTGACTCCAACCCCCCATATCCCTATTCAGCTCTCTCCCCCATATCCCTTCCTGCTCTCTCCGCGTATCCTTTCCTGCTCTCTCCCCAGTATAACAATGGTAATAATAATCCTTGCATTTGATACAGCGCCTTATCAGGTCTTCGAGACGTCTCAAAGGGCTTCACAGTAATATATCGTAAAGTGGATTGACTGTGTATTTTGCGGGCAAAACGTGGCAGCCAACTTAATATAATGTAATATAATATGCTCTCCACACCACACAAACGTGTACAATAATATACTTACGTTTGCAGCCGCCATTCTGGAATCCATAATAGCCGTGTGCACAGCGGTCACACTTCTCTGCTGTCACCCCAAGCACACAGCGGCACTGCCCGTCTTCGCTACAGTCCTCAGAGATAGAGCCCAATCGGCTGCAGTTGCAAGGGACGCAGCCCAGTCCAGTGCCCAAGCCAAAATACCCATGCTGTTAGGTACAGTAAAAGCCTGGGTTAGGCATCAGAGCAGCGAGGCGAAAGCAAATGTAACGTCTCACTAAAAATAACACACCGTCCAGGTCCAGGAGTCAAGTGTTTTTTTTAATGTAAGACTTGTAAAAGCAAGCAGCAGGCAGGTTAGCCACATGTCACCAAATGTACCGCTCGCTGTAGCCCTGTGTCGTCACCACCATGATACAGGCTCGATTGATTCGGGAATTTTTGAGATTTTTTAATCCGAGGCAGAATTGTGGAAAATTGCTCCGAATTTGGAAGCTGGGGTTCCTGCACACACTTCTTAAAAAAGGAAACCGGCTGAATTTAAGAAGTTTCCACAATTCTGAGCCATCTTAGATTGGAAGACACACAAAAAAGTTTCGCAGCTAAGGCTGAGTGAAATTTCAGTGCCTTGCTGGTGAGCTCAAGATAAATAAATTGGTAATGACAACCATGTCGTAAGTGGTAGTGTATTTCTTACAGGGGATTTTAAACAAGATACAGTAACATTTGTATTGTAGGGGCAGCGGGGGCTGGAGATGGTGTATTGTCCCTGATTATCCAGCGCCTTGGGATATCCTCCTGATGTGAAAGGCGCTTTACAAACGTAATTTTGTCTTGTATTGTAATGCCACAGAAACAGGACAAGGCCATTCAGCTGGTATGTTCCAAATATATATATAGGTGCGTGCATATGTATGTATTTTATGTATGATTGCATGTAGGTGCATGCATGTATATGCATATGTATATATGCACTTATGCTTTCTCTATCTACCTATCCATCCAATTGATTCTGCATCGCTTAACGGTCTGGGAAGCTCCCGCCCAGAAGAGAATGAATGAGCAAAATTATGGAAACATTAAGAGTGATTTGCAGGGAAAGTTCTCACCTTGAGGTTCAGTGGTTTATAAACACAGCTTCACCTTCACACTTTATTTCAACTGAGATTACTCGCCCGGTAATCCCTCCCAGGTATCCATGATTCTCCCTGCATTTAAATTCCTCGCACGGCTACAAAGCTTACAGCCATGTCTAATGAGCCTTTGCCCAGGTTGTCTGAAGTAAAGTCAAAGCATTCCATTACGGAATCAGATCCTTTCCCCAATCAGAGCCTTTATTAAACACATTGCAAACCTAAGGGTAGTGACAATGTAGTTTAGCTGATGCCTCACACACATCAATTGGGATTATTTTGCAGCACATCAAAATAATTTACTTAAACCATTATGGGAACTGAGGTTGAAAAGTAATTCCTGTAGAATGTGCCTCTCGATGTAAACTGCACATTCCACAGTGGAAATACAATGTACGTGCACCCCCTCACATGACCCCAGACTTCAAATCCAGGATCCCCTTCCGTTCACTGGAGAACACACTTTGTGGTGTGTGGGTCTCTCTGCAGTGGTTACAGGTTGTTCCAGTGCTGTTACCGATTGCATTACCTCACATTGCTCAGTGCAGACGTGACTTTAAACATCAAGCTGCGCTCCTGACTCGAACACACCTGCATTCCTGTAATTTAAAGGTCTCCACCAAACAACAGCTTCCAGTTTCCTACTAGTTCAAAAAGGCAGGATGATCCTTGCAGTCAAACCTGTTCAAACAGCCACCTCCATTTAGCAACCACCCCCATTAACAACCAGCCTGGAACAGCCCGGACAGATTTTTCCATAAAAAACACCTCGGAGGGCGGAGTGGTTCTTTTATTAGAGATGGGGGTCCCATGATTCATAGTTACTTAGATGAGGTTTCCCCTCAGAATGTGAAACTAACATTGACCTAACAATGACATAGAAAGGCTTTGCTGGTCCAACCACCTGGATTCAATGGCTCTGCTCAGTTCTCTGTCATTTCATTTCTGTGCAAAATACATGAAAGCAGAACCGTGAGATGGGGGTGGGGTTGTGCGCAACCGTGTACATACCAAGCACCGGTCACACTGCACTCCCACCACGTTTGGTTTACATTCACAGCGGCCGGTCTGACGGTCACATGCCATGTGATACGATCCGTTCACGTTACAGCCACACGCTGGAAGAGAAAGTAAAGCACCATTCAAACTGTGCCTCCAGATGGCACTACACATCAACAAAATGACAGAGCAAGAAAGAGGGGCAGAGAACCAAGAGAGAGAAAGACGGAGAGAGAGACAAAGACAGAGATAGAGAGACAGATTTGGAGAAATCTTACTTGGGTCTAGATTTATATAAAATTTCGGAGCATCCAGGATTTGGCAAATTGTTGAATTAACTTTCAGTGAAGCAGAAAAGTGGCTTCAAATTTAAGGCCATATTTGCCGAATTCTGGACACTAAAGCGCTACACAGAGTAAATCTAGACCTAGGTGCAATTTCTCCACAAGACAGAGGACGGCTGGTAAAGCTACACCAGTGATGTGCAGTGATTTCTCAAAGGGGAAACAGATGTAAGTCATTTCGACTTGTGGGAACTCAGTTCTGAGCTCATCGAGTTTTGGAGCTGAGTTCTCGCAGGTCACAATGACACAATTTAAGAGCTAAAAGTCCTGAATTAGAAACATCCACCTATTGGAACACCCCCCGCCCCACCCACATACACCTCTGCGAGCTCTAGTCTCTTTTAATACAAATTCTAGTAACTCCATATGAAAGCCATTTGACTCGACAAGCTGAACGCAGTAGAGATCTTGTGGGGGAGAGAGTAAGAGTGTCCCCCTCAGCCATGAGAAATAGACTGGAGCTCCACTGTGTCATCAATGTAGAATCGTAGCGATTTCAGCATCTACTCTTCATCCCATTCCCCTCCAGAGCAATAGGAAGCTCAGCACAGAAGGCGACCAATGTAGAAGGAGGAATAATTTTCTTCTATGGAAACCTTTTTCCTCATGTGTGAAGTTTGCTCTTATATACTTTGATGGTATTTGCTTCAACCACAGCTTCTGGCAGTGAGTTCCACATTCTCACTACCCTCCGTGTGAAGAAAGTTCCTCCTAAAATCCCTGCTGGACCTACCTCTGGCTACGTTATATTCATGCCCACTAGTTTTGGGCTCACCAATAAATGGAAACAGCTTCATGAACATCCACCTCATTGAATCCTTCATGAGGTTAAGCACCTACATCGGGTGAGCTAGGTTAGGACTTACCACGGCAATCTTTAGCGACGAGAGCATCGCCGTAATATCCCTCTGCGCACCGCTCACACAGCCTGCCATCAGTGTGTCCGAGGCACTTCAGACAATCTCCTGTTACGGGGTGGCAGTGCCCAGGCTCAGCAGGGTCCACGTTACCGTTGCAGAAGCATGGGCTGCACCAGCCTCCCGGGATGCCTGGGTTTCCATAGTAACCGTCGGCACACCTAGGGAGAACATTTGTGACCAGGTTTGAATGCTTAAAATTCATTCTCACACTGAACCCCTTCCTTTAAGCCCACAGGGTTACAGGGAAAAAAATGAGATATGTGATCCATCATCCCATCCTTCAGATGAGACGTTAAACCCGAGGTTCTGTCTGCCTGTTCCGATGGATGGTAAAGATCAAGAACAACTTGGATTTATATAGCAGCCTTCACGCGGGGCTGGGTCTCGGAGCGCTTACTGGAACTGAGATCTGGTAACAAAGATTCAAGGAACTATTTGAAAAGAGAAGGGAGCTTCTCCCAGTGGGGTCATTAGCAAACTATCTCAGTACAATGTAAACTTCACTCCTGCACTTCAGAAGATCATGTGAAATCTGAAATGTTATTGCCTTTTAACGCTCCAAGGGATTCTGTAATCCTATGTAATGGATGTCATTCAAGGCAATATATCACCACCTACAACAAAATACATTTCTGGACCAATCCATTAGATCAGAACTGGCATTGCTGGCTTTAAACTCCCGTAGGCCTGACCTAATGTGCGTCCCTAATGCTGTATCAGTGGTCTTTTATTATGCAGAACTGTCAAAAAAATCTGATTTATTATGTTTTTCTTGAAACCAAAATATTACAGCAGTATAGCAATGGAACGTCATGTAATTCAAATGCAGGTGTGGGCTTTCAGCTGGCAACACACGCACTGGCATTTAACCCTTTCTGCGCTGCTGAAAATGTCCGTCACACAACTCCTTCTGGCCATCATATATTGCTCAGATGGAAGCTGCTGGTCTTTTATTAATTAATATTAATCCTTGAATTTGATCATGTCGTTGTGACGTATCAAAGGGCAATGTGCCACAAACAGCCATGAAGTGAATGGACGATTGTTGGCCAGGATCCTGGGAGAAACTCCTTGTATTTTCAAAATAGTGCCATGGGATCTCTAACATCCATCTGAACAGGTAGGTAGGCAGACCATCAGCTTAACATCTCATCTGAACGACAGCACCTCCGACAATGTAGTGCCACCACCCCCTCACTGGGCTAGAATGGCAACCTGGGCTCTTTGAGTTCGAAGTCCGAACATGGGGCTTGAACCCATACCTCTGTGCACTCAGCAGTCAGAGTGCTAGCGACTCAGCCAAGCTGACAGGCGAAATGGTTTGAAGAAAGAATCCGGTGAATGTCAGAGCCTCAGAGTTTAATGCTAAGCTGAGTTGCTGACAGCCACATGGTGATGGACCGAGGCAGAAATTTTGCAAACCACAGGATGTAAAAAAAAGCGTGAACAGAGGCAAATATACACTGGAAACCATTCACCTGTCGGTCTTCCAGAGACAGTAACACTTACCTGTCACATCTGGGCCCCGCATACCCCTGTCGGCACTGGTCACAGATGACTTCTCCGCCTTTGTTTAGGTGGCAGGTGGGACTGAAACTGGAGAATTTGCAGACAATGTTAAGAAATGCCTCACAGCAGAGGAATAAAACAAGAAAAAGCTTACATCAGGGCCCACGTGTCAGAGGTATCAAATTCATTAAAATGTGGGTCGTCAACAGTAACTTCTTTTTGCACCCTCCCTCCCTCCGATCCAGGATTCCATGGGCGCACATCACCCTCCGCTACTCTGACCCTGTGCGATGTAAACATGGTTTTCCCACAGAAGCGGCGCTATACATTGTGAGGAGTCCTTTCTTGGAGCGAGGCACCGCTCTGCCTTTGCAACACCCAACCTGACTGATCTCTCCCCATACACTCTGGGATCGCCTGCGACAAGAGAGCAAGGAACACTGCCTTCGCTCTCCATCCAGGCGCGCTGGAGCTGGCTCCTGGCAGCAAGCTTACAAATGGCTGCAGCGGCTTGACGTTGCGGGGCGAACATCTCCATGCGCTTACTTGTTGGAGGAGATGAGCAGAGGGCAGGCGCAGGGCTTGCAGTCCTCGGGGGTCCCTTGGGTGGGATCACCATATAAACCGGGCAGGCAACGATCGCAGTTGGGCCCGGTTGTGTTGTGCTGACAGTCCTACAAAACAGTTGCAAAGTTTTCATCGAGAAATACATAGGGAGGGAGGTGGAGGAGGAAAAAATGACATTGTCATATCCATCAATTCAGTGCAACATCCTGTGATCTAAGATTCCTTATCGAAAAAAAAAGATATTAAGAAGGAAAACGAGACATAGTGTACTCACGATCAGTGGAACTGTTAGCTGGACACCTGGACACACAAAGCAATGCTTTAACGGCAATTGTACTGTAACCTGAGACCCATATTGGATCTGGAGACAACTCAAGATGCTGTGAAGGGACTTGTTGTCCTCAGGAGCTGAGAATGTTGCCCATAAGGAACAAAGACTGAGCTTTATTGTATACATAGACTTGGGCATCAGGTAAAGTCCAGTTTTGTTCAACTAGCATGTGTCTCCCAGTAAAGCTGCTTCCATTACTTCTCTTCAAATCCCTTTTGGATTCTTCCCAATTGCCCCATCATTCATAGTGTGTGGGGGGGGAGGTCAGATGATTTGAAATGGGGGGGAGAAAGGGGATGCTCCTTTCAGCTCGGAGTTTGCAGTCGCCCAGTCCCTCTCCTGCTTCCCCAAACCCCCAGGTATCCCACGACGCACCATGCTCCCCCCTCGTACCCCCTGCTCACACACTCCCGTCATCATTTTAAATGAGCCCTACCCTACCCTACGATCCTTGTCAGCCTGGCTCAGTCGATATCGCTTTGGCCTCCAAATCAGAAGGTTGTGGGTTCAAGCCCCACATCTTTGAGGTCACAGTATAGGCTGACACCTCAATACGATGCTGAGAAAGTGCTGCATTGTCAAGAGGTGTTGTGTCAATGAGACGTTGAACCGAGGCCCCGTCTGTCCATTCAGATGGACATTATTCGTAAAGAGGAGTTTCTCCCAGTGTCCTGGCCAACAATCTCCCATTCAGTTCAAGGCTGTTTGTGGGTCATTGCTGTGCACAATTTGGCATTGTGTTGCAATCACTTACAGTCACTGTACTTTGCAGTAAATCCTGTGAAGCCCTTTGAGACATCACAACGTAAAAAGGCACTACATGAAATGCAGAAATTATTATGCTGAGACTGTAACATCTCAATAATATATCAAATATCAAACGCTTCACATGTAGTTGTTGACAGGCATAATAATAATCATCATAATAATCTTTACATTTGATTTAACACCTTTCACATCAGGAGGACATCTCAAAGCACTTCACAGGACCTACTGTAAAGTGTAGTGACTGTATATTTTGGAGGCGAAAGAAGCAGTAAATGGATAATTGCTCTGGGACGCTGCCCTGCATGAGGGGCACTACAAGTTATTGTTGTTGCAGTGACCAGAACAAAGCCTGCGCAACAAATTTCGTGACAGAGATCTAAGCTTCGTAAACAGGCCAGGTACTTCCCAGACTTGGGATTTCATTGGTTGATGTATTAAAGTGGGACTTACTGAGCAGGCACCGTCCGTGTCGCAGTGTGTGGCGTGGCCGTTGCACTCGCACTGTTGGCAAATGCCTCCAAACAGTATCCCCCCCACACGATAAAATCCCGGGCCACAAGACTGTCAAGAGGGGAAAGGAGAAAAAAAACATTAATGACAAAGTAAGGAGCTCCACCGGATAATAATCCTTGCATCTGATATAGCGCCTTATCACGTCTTCGAGACGTCTCAAATGGCTTCACAGTTTATACTTAAAAGTGACCTAACTATATATTTTGTGGGCGAAACGCAGCAGCCACAAGGTGTCACAGACAGATGGAAGATTGTCACAGAGAGTTACAGCACAGAGATTGTATCCCTCTTTCATAATCATTCAACATCATCTCTGAACGTCAAGCGGTTACTGAAGTTCAAAAAAAAATCAGTGAAGATCTATAGCATTACAAGCTGTCCAGGTGCTGTAAGTATGCAAAGTGACGATTTCTGGATTCGATATTTGTGCTCCAGCTTACTTCACACAACAACCCCCCCCCCCCACACAAAATGTCAGAGGCCTGGAAACCCACATGGACAGATTTAGCACATTTTTCAATTCCGTCTTAATTTGGAAGTTCTTTTCCCGCAGTTCTTCTTAAAAAGGACCACCATCGATGCAATCTTGTTTTCACTTTGAACAGACTCTTAACAATGCAACACGTATCACAGTTTAAAATACATCGAGTCGATTCCAAGCCCTTCACTGGGATTGTTGTATAGATTGGGTTTCCACCAGGATTACTGTTCAGACCTGGTTTACATTGGAATACCGAATAGACTGTTTTTACACTGAAATTACCGTGTAGACCAGGTTTACACTGGAATAGTATATAAATCAGGTTTACACTGGAATTACTGTGTAGATCTGGTTTGCTCTGCTGCTGTCTGTCTTTGAAAGAATTCTTAAAACTATAAAATAAATAATAATAATAATAATCCTTGCATTTGATATAGCGTTTTTCACGTCGGGAGGACGTCCCAAAGCGCTTCACAGAACACACTGTAAAGTGAATTGACTGTATATTTGTGGGCGAACGCGGCAGCCAATTGCGCACAGCAATGTCCCACAAACAATCATATGGATTGAAAATGACCAATTTATTATTGTTTTGTTTTTTTGGAGGGATTATTATTAGGTGTGTGGAGTAAGGATGACCCTTTAAGCAGCGGTTGGACCATTTTTGAATGCTTCAATGCTATTGAAGAGCTGTTTACACTGCAGACTCTTCAGTAATATTAGAAAACACTAACTGATGTCCAGGCTCATTTATCAGTGTGCAGCGCAAGCTCTTATTGGTGCATTCAGAGAACAAACTCTCTTAAAACCTCAGTGAAAGCAATTTTTGAGCAGAAACTATATATCCCTTTACCGGTCTCGAGTGTTTCTACTCCTGAAGACAATCTGGCAGTATGAACAAGGTGTTAGTACCTTGCACTGTTGGCAAAGTATTGCACATTACCTCACAGGAGATCCCAGTGTAACCTGGCGGACACTCGCAGTGTTCAACATCCACAGCGGGAAGAACATCGATGGCATTGGGGTTTGCTACGTCCAAGGTGACCGAGCTCAGCCTGAAAGCACAAATAATTGGCATCATTCCTGCCATCAAAGCCACTGATGGAGGTAAAAGGAGGTGCCAATTGAGGCATTACAGAATTTCCTCTATATGATAATATCATCCCCCAAAATGTGATCCTGACTACACCAATCACAAAGATCACTAGAGCGGTTTGGATGAAGAAGGCCCTTCACCCCATCTGATCCCATCATTCCAGAACATCCACCTGCCCGTCCTCCCATCACAGCATCAAGCTGATTCTTAAATGAGCCCTCGTGTCTGGCCTCAACTACCTTGGTGGTAACCCGTTTCAGTCAATAATTACTGTAAATAAATACTTCCTGGACTCTGTCCTAAAACGACCCTTTAACAGCCCTGAACCTGTGCCCTCTTATTCTGCTGCCTTGGAGCACATGTACACGTATTGTTTACTGTAGTGATTACTTTTTAAACTCTTATATGCCTTGTTCTTTGAGGCTGAGGAGCCCTTGTCATTGCTCACACTTCATTCCTCTAACACCGGGCGGGGATCATCCTTGTTGCTCTCCCCAGCACGTGGGAGGACAAGTCTAGCTCAAGCCTGGGAGAGGAGTGCTGCTCAAACCCATCTCCTGCTTTCTGTCAGACCATCCTGGCTTGGAAACAAATCAAACCAACAGAATGATTAACCACGATAAATGCTCCACGCTTGGATAGGCTTAAGAGCAACACAATTTAATTGAGCTCTTGCCTAGTGGGTAAAGGCACAACCCGGCACAGCTCTAAACCATACAGTAACAGAGAAAGTCACAGGTTGCCTTCCTGGCCTGTGGTGCATCAGCTGATCTCAGCTGAGCCATCAGTTACAGAGATAGCTCATCCAGTTCCCCTCTGCTTCTCCTCCTGCATAGCCAGATCTAACAGGGAAGTTACACAGATTAAGTCTTCTATACACAGAGTATGGCGAAAGTGTCGAACTAACTGCCGGAAGCTGTAGTTGAAGCAAATGACATCAATTTATTTAAAGAAGAAACTTGATGCACGTGGGAGGGAGAGGGAATAGGTGGGGCAGGTTATCGCATAGAGTATAGGCCTCAGTGTGGACTAATTGGGCCGAATGGTCCATTTCCGCACCATGTAACTGTAACTCTGTATCGTTTCCTGTCCTGTGGTTACCTCTCCTACTTCTCTTTACTGATCCCGCTCCTCCCGCTCCTTCTCTTCCTGATCTGACCCTCTCGCTCTAACTCAGCCCGGCTCCTGGCAGTCGCACTCCGACCCGACCCATCTTGTGCCCAGGGTGTGGCGCGGAGCCGTGTAAAGCCCTTTGCCCACCACTCACCGGGTGCCTGCTTCTCGCCTCGTGCATCGTGTGTCGGTGACCCAGACCCTCACCTGTAGATGGCTTTTCTGGCCACATTGTAACTGGCCCGGATTTGCAGACGTGTCACATTCGCCAGGACGGTCATCAGCCTGTCACGGTCTATGGGATTGTCTGTAACCAGGTCCACAAAGTTCTCAGGCAGCAGCCTGACAGCGACGCTCTGTTCCTCATATGGCTGGAGCAGGAGGCCGTCGGAGCCTGTGCTCAGGGTCCGTCCGTTTCCCTGAATAGAAAGGAGGGCATCAGAATCGTTTCCACTGTGTCTCTGGTGCTCGGTGGCAAATAGCAACAGCACCCGCAAACTGTACAGTTTTCTTCAGGGAATCCCCCCCGTGTGACACACAGTCTTGAAACTTTGCCTCAGATCTAAGATAGACATGGAGGTTCTGAGCAGACATAAATGATGTCCCACCTTTCATGCAACCCACCATGAAGTGAATGCTCAATTATTTTTCTGAAAGGACTGTAGGCCATGACACCAGGAGAAACTCCCACCTCTTTTTGAATAGTGTTGCCAGATCATTAAACAAACCTCCTCTCAAACAGGCAAATAGGACCGCGTTTAACATCTCATCTGAAGGACGGCACCTCCGACAATGCAACACTTCCCCAGCTTTGTATTGGTGTCAAACCTTTGACCTAGAGGCGAGAGTGCTACCATATTAGCAATGCTGACACCCAATTCCATCAAGTAACAATCCTGAACCATTGAATTTCAATCTTGAGTCTAGCCAAAGTGTATTAATCACACCATATAGAAGTGTATCCATAATCAATCAATCAATCAATTAATTAATTAATAGGGCTCAAACACATCATTACTAGATACCTAAACACACACAGAAAGTCTCTGGTGAAAGTGATCAGGAGCAGGAACCCAGGCTGATACTTAACATAACATATAGGAACAGGAGTAGGCCATTCGGCCCTTCGAGCCTGCCCCGCCATTCAATCATGGCTGATCTTCTAATCTAACTCCAGCTAATAACCTAACCCTGCCTTATCCCCATATCCCTTAATCCCTTTTGCAATAAGAAATCTATCTATCTCAGTCTTGAATATGTTCAAGGACTGAGCGTCAACAGCCCTTTGGGGTAGTGAGTTCCATACATTCACCACCCATACTTCCCCTCCTGACTCCTGAGGAATCTAAGGCCAGTGCCAGAGGCCAATCTACCTTCTGCCTCTCCCACTGGAGTAACAAACTGACTGAAGTCAGTGAACTGCGCATCAAATTCATGACCTCCCAGGTCTGCAAGTCGCAATCTGCACACATCAACAAACTGAGCCACCGAAAGTCAGGCGTGAGAATATAAACCTGCAACTCACCAACTGTTAATGCTGTGTGTTAAGGCAGCTCTTATGCTTCTGCTGGCTGTCAGCATGCTCCCTCTGCTTGATATGTGATGTCGTTCACAAAAAGGCACTAATGCCTTCTGGCATCAAAAGAAGGGTATTGATGCGACTTACCACAGAGACTCTGACTAGGATTTAGGAAACTCAAACTGTTAACCATTAAGTACATGCATTTTTGCATTTGTTTCCAATTTCTAGTGTGACGCAAGATTATAAATCATGCTGCACTCTGCCCAGCCGGACTGTGTATCCATAATTAATGCTTTTACTTAAAGAGGCAGACTGAAAGCTTAAGAGGTGATCTGTATGTGACCTAAGTGCCCCGTAAGTCAATTGCAAAGTTAAATGCCTGCCATCATAGGGTGGGCTTTGTAAGGGTGTGAACAATGACAAGTACACAGTTTATAAAGGAGTCTAAAACTCCACCTCGTTTTAGACTGTGAGATTGACATAGATTTACATCGACTGTGTAAATATAAATTATTGATGTCTTAAATTTTAAGTCAAAATGGTCCAACAGATTGAGACTAGGATGAATTGTGTGCCTCGAATGCCTCTTTCTCAACGCTCACAACGTAATAACCATGAGCAGTTCTCGTATAAGGTTTCATTTCACTGCCATCTGATTCCATCATATAACAATCCTGAACCAATCTCTTGCAGATTGCTTTTCCATTTATCAGTGATACTGATTTGAATCTGTGACTGTAGGATAAGATGTGGATTTACAATTTTTTTAAAATTGATTTACGTAATTTCATTTCTTCCTCTGCATCTATTTTTACCAAATTAGAAACTGTCAACATATTGTCAGCCTGGCTTTGTTGGTAGGGTTCTTGCCTCTGGGTTAGAAACGCTCTGAAATGCTACCCTGCGTGGAGGGCGCTATATAAGTGCAAGTTGTTGTTGTTGTCGTCGTAAAAGGTTGTGGGTTCAAGCCCCATGTTGGAATTTTCAGCCTATACTTTAGGCTGACACTCTAAGGCACCGTCAAAGGTGTCTTGCTTGGGATGAAAAGTTAAACTGAGATCCCATCTGCCTGTTAAGGTGGATGTTAAAGATCCTGTGGCACTATATTAAAAGGGGAGGGAGTTTCTCCTGGTGTCCTGGCCGACAATCCTCTGGATAGCATTGGTCACTCACCTAATGTTGTTGAACATTGCTGTGTGCAAATGGGATGCCATGTTGGCTTACAAAATACGCAGTCACTCCACTCTATACAAATGCTTTGAAATTCCAAAGGCTCTAAATCAATTGCAAGGGTTATTATTTCAAATACTTAATACAGTGCTTGAGGTGAGCCACTCTGGCTAGTTTGTCCCCTTTACTCCACCATCAGCCGGTGGCTTTTCAGCCATCCTGCCCCGCTCTTTGGAACTCCATCCCACAGTGCCTTTGAATTACTCCTTCACCCCCACGCTCCTCAAGTTCAAGCCACATCTCAAAACATACATCTTTGACAGTGCCTTCAGTCATCTATGCTTTCCCCACTCCCCAGCTTGGGTACTAGTATTGTTAAGTACTTTGAGATGTCCTCCTGACGTGAAAGGCACTATATAAATGTAAATTGCCTTGTATCCTTCAGTTGGTAGGAGACAGGAGGCAGTTTTGTTAAACTGGAGGAACTGCTATTAGTATCTTTACCTCAATGATAACATCAATGTCAGAAGTCATCTCGCTATCTAAGCTTTCCATTGGAAATTCGTATAGTACCGTGAACTTCAGATGCCCTCCGTAGGCAGTCAGCTGTGAAGGAAACACAATGCTCATGAGAGTCAGGAAGCTAAACATAAGGTTTAAATAAAGGTACCGGATCTAATGGCAATTACCACCCCCCTCATCCGAGTTATTGAGGTCTAAAATGCTTCCAATTCAAATAGCATTCTTTAATCAGGAATAAATCCTTATATCTGATATATCGCCATTCACTTCAGGTGGATGTGTCAATACACTTCAAAGCACATGCTGTAAAACTGTGTATTTTGTAAGTGAACGCGGCAGCAACAAAGAGATCGTTGGCCAGGACACCAGGAGAAATGGATGTTTCTTACAGATAGCCAACAAAGGCACGAATGGATGATGCTCTAGATTGGCTATAAGATACGCATTCACTGCACTTTACAGTAAATCCTGTGAAGCTCTTTGAGGCATCTTCCTGAATTGAAAGGCGCTACACGAAATGTGAACAGCCAAGGGTTATTATTATAAATTTTGGATTTTCTGAGTAAATCTAGACACAGGTGGAATTTTGTCCCCCTTTCCCCCCCATGCATGTACATACACTGCGAGAGAAAGCAAGGGAGTAAAACTATACTTCAGAGGTTACAAGTCAACAGTATTTCCTTCTATTTTCTGACTCATTGGTAATGTGAAAAGATCTGGAATTTAATAAACATTAACACAATAAATAATATCCTTTCAGATCTCCGGGGAAGGGAAAGCACATTCGTTAGCGAGATGGCTGATCTTGTGAAGGAACCTATCCTTATTCTCATCACATTAATACTGCAACACTTTTAATTTAGTTGAGCATTAAAGAACCATAAATACAAAAGCACTCTCGAGAACAAACACCCAATGCAATTTTCAAAAAGTATTCAAATGATCAATCCTAATAATAAAAGTTAAACGTTTAATACCGAAACTCTGCCGTCATGGTGCGATAAAGCATCATCTAGCACGGATACAGTCAATAACTGCACCACAGCAGACAGCAGGAAGTCAAATTGTCATCTCATTCAGAACAAGCCAATGGGATTTTGCTCATGGGTGCATTTAAGAACAAGTANTTTTTTACCCGCTGCACTGAATGATGACCTTTCAGCTTGCTATTGGCAATTGCTTCACCGTATAAATATATACAGAAAAAGCGTAATTGGTGGAGGTGAAGGATGATGTCAAGGTAAATGGGACCAAAACATATAATTCTTAAAAATTCCACCTGGGTTAGATTTACTCTATTTTCTCAGCATTTCAGAGCCTGGCGGGTTCTTCAGTGTGGATTTAGTTTTGAAAGAGGGATTTCTCTAAGTTTCTGGTGTCCTGTAGCAATTGGCTGTATGTTTCACCCACAAAGTATGCAGTCGATTCACTTTACAATATATTCTGTGAAGTGCTTTGAGACGTCTCAACGACGTGATAAGGCGCTATATCAAATGCAAGGGTTATTATTATTACGTTTTCTTTTTAAGAACTACAAAAACTAACTTCACAGTTAAAACTCAATGCAATGATTTGCCAAAATTTGAATACTCTGGACGATGTGAAAAGGTGCTACATCAAAAGCGAGGATTATTATTTTCATGGAATCCCATAGCGTAGTGGAGGGTCACATGGCCTTGATGGGCTGTAAAATGTTATGATTCTATGCTTTTGTGATTTTAATGTTTCCTTCCCTCTCCGATAACCTCCCAAGATGTGCATCACAATTCCATAGTCATTCACTTGCGAGTTGGAGGGGCTGGAAGGCTTGTGTGCTATACAAACACCAGCATGGACTAGTCGGGCTGAACGGCCTGTTTCCATGCTGCAATGTCCTGTGCAATTCTGCGGTAACATCTGGGTAACAGCTGCTGTGCCACCCAGGGACCAACGATCTGATACAGGCTTCTCTCTTGATTTTAAAATACAGCAAAGGTTCAAATTAAAACTTTTTCTTTCAAATGAGAAGTGCGAATTTTCCAGTTTACCTTATTTCTCAGGTATGAATCGGGGGCTGTCCAGTAATACAAGGCGGGGAGGCCTTGCCTGGCTTCTGTGTTGTTGATGCTGATTTGGTTGAGGCCATCAAACAAATCCTGTTGAGGCTTCACACTCTTTACACCCTGGATATCAGTCACTCGCCAGTTCTTAATGTCTGTAACCTTCAAAACAAAGCGAGTTATTTGATTTTGTTATTCACACACGCGCGCGCAAAGACACACAAACACACAACACACGTGGGTGCACACATAAAGTTACACATACAAAGATATATATACACACACACAAACACAGACACACACACACACACACACATGCGTACACACACAAAGATACACACACGCACAAAGATACATACGTACACAAAGATACACACACACACAAAGACACGGATTCACAAAGATACGCACACAAACATAAACGCAAAGATACACACATACAAAGATACACGCGAGCACACACACACCTGTGTAATAGGCCAGGGAATACTCTTGCAAAGACTGGAGACTCCAAAGCAGAAGCACTCTGTGCAGCCTTCAGGATTTCTCTCCTGCAGATTGTAGAATCCTTCCTTACACTGGTCACAGTCCTCTCCCTCCACGTTGGTCTGTAATTCACAAATATTCAGATGTTAGTCTGACACTATGAGGTGACACCTCGAAACCCACTCTTTTCTAGTGCAGGCGACAATGTCGGTTGGCAAATTTATGGGCAGCAACTCTTTGGGAAATAATGTGGAGAGCCTGACGTTTACTAACCTTGCATTGACAGGGCTCAGAGCAGGGATCCTCATTGATGCTGCCTATCAGGCTGCAGTTACAGCGCACACAGTGGGGAAAACCCCGGAAACCAAATGCACAACGATCACATCTCCTCCCAGCGTAGCCTTCCTGACAGTGACACTGACCGGGGGCCAGAGAGGCTGCAAGAGGAGAATGAGAAGTTAAGGAGTGAAGGTTCCTCACTCCAACCCCTGCCCAATATATGCATGTTGATCTGCTGTTCTTCTGGTTGATGTTACAGATCTCCTGACCCTATTGGAGAAGCCTAGGGAGATTCTCATGGTATCCTGCCAGAATAAAGGCTGTTTGTATGTGTTACCAAAAAAGTAACACTTTACGTTTATTCCCTCATTTGTTCTTTCTTTCTCTCTCTATGTCTTTCTCTTTTTCTCTCTCTTTCTCTCTGTTTTTCTTTCTTTTTCTGAGAAAACTGTACAACCCTCAAAAGGCGGATCTGAGTTAAGCTTTGACAGGGTGAATAGGGCCAAACCCACAAAAATGTGCAGTCTATTCATTTTACAGTATATTCTGTGAAGCACGTCTCAAAGACATGATAGGCGCTATATCAATGCAAGGATTATTGTTATTATTATTATAAGGCGAAGCTACTTCCCTATGGTAGGGAGTCAGCAACCAGAGGACAATAGATATAATAAGATAATTACAAGAAGAGTGAAAGGAGAGCTAACTCCTTCTCAATCATATAGGCACAATTGTCTGACAGACTAAGAGAAGGTGGAATTCTGGGCCTGACGGTTTGATAGTAAACTCACGGTGCTCAGAGGCTGCTTGAATGTCATCTTTCACGCAAATCCTATTTCTTGACCCTGACAGATCACAGCTGCATGGCAAGCACGGAGCTCGTTCGTGCGGGGACACCTGCAAAAGGATGGACACTGAGAGATAGACAACGCTAATCCCAATTCTATTGATCTCCTTGCTATTACACAAATACAACTAGACGATGTGTACCACACAGGAAGCTGCTCAGCTCATGAGAAGCTCTCCACTGGAGTTAATCCACTGATTACCTTGCTTACTCCACGCACTTTTCAATAGTCACAAGCACTATTTGTGACCCGTGGGCCACATCCAGCCAGAGACCACTTCCAATATTCCAACCCATTCCCTCCCTCCCTCCCCCCCCCCCCGTTTGACGTCCTCCCAAGCCAGCGGGAGGTAGCCGGCGGTTGGGAGGACGCAGCACAGTCGCAGAGCCTTTACTGCAGTCTTGACAGGAAAGCAAGTGCGTCTCTCACCAACCGGATCGTTAGCAACCAACCGCCGGCTCCTGTCGCTGCAGATAGTGAGCCGTGTTTGGGAGAGAGAATGGGAGAGGAGGGGAGCGAAAGAGGGGGGGGAGAGAGAGGTGGGGGAGGGGAGAGAGAAAGTGGAGGAGAGAGAGGGGTGGGGGAAGTGAGAGAGGGGTGGCAGTTATTATTATTAATAGGGGGGTTATTATTATTACTATTATTATTATCTTCATCAATACCATTTCCCTGCCCTTTCACCATATCCCTCCATACCCTGGCCTAACGCATATTCATCTATCTTCCTCTTACATATTTGCATTAACCTGGTGTCCATAAACTTTTTGAGGGTTGCGAATTCCTCATCTCCATAACCCTCCATGTCACATTTCACTCTTAACCGGCTGAGCTGTACATTTTTAAGATTACGCAACATTATGTGAGCGCGTTCTCCTCAGCTTCACACTGGAGTGTTCGCCCACGTGGGGCTTGAACCCATAATCTTCTGACCCAGAGTGCGAGAGTGCTGTCGACTTAGCCAAACTGGCAGGTGCGCTGGCGTCCAGCAGTTCACCACCTCATCACACAAAGGGCGAAAGTAGTTGAATGCCGGTGCCTAATGGGGGCAGTTTACCTCCTGGGGACGGTAGTAGCCGTCGATGCAGGTCTCACAGTTGATTCCTGCTGTGTTGTTGGTGCAATTGATGCACACTCCACCACCAATGTACTGGCCCAGAGTGTTCATGCTCATGTTGCGATCAGCCACATTCTGGTCATAGTAACAGTCCTCTGCTTTACCATGGCAGTTGCACTCTGATGAGAGGAATCAGACAAACATATTGCCTTCAGCACCCCGTACCTTTATACCCCGAGCGCAGACTAACGGATCCGTAACACATTACAAAAATACCACAAAACAAATATATCCAATCTGTAATGAAGCCTACTAGACTCACAATCATTACACTTCACAGTTTTTCCTGTGAAGTGCTACAAGACGTCCTTCTGATGTGAGAGGCACGTTATCAGATGCAAGGATTATTATTATTATTCTTACTTTGATATGGCGCCTTATCACGCCTTCAAGCTGTCTCAAAGCGCGTCACAGACTATACTGTAAAGTGAATTGACTATATTTTGTGGGTGAAACGCGGCAGCCAATTGCGCACAGCAGTGTCCCACAAACAGTTGTGGATTGAAGTGACCAATTTATTATTATTACTTTTTTTAAAGGAATTATTACCACGGGGAAAGCGATCCAACAATCGACTAACAACTGGGTTCCTAATTACTGCTAGGTAAACAGAGGCGTGTGGAGTAAGGAAACTGGCCCAACATTTTGCCCTGCAGAGAATTGAACCCAGGTCTCCCGCTTGTGAGGTGAGTGCTCTAACCACTGCAGCTTTATTATTATTAATAATTATTAAGTACTTTGGGACATTTTCCTCTGTGAAAGTTGCTGTAAGAGTGTAAATGGCTATTATTATCCATTTTTTTCCATGCATTTCATGATCTTTGTCTGGGGGCTGCGAACACTATCAGGAGATCACCCACAGAACACACAATCACTGTACTTCAAAGTGACTTTAAAGCGCAGTGACTATATGTTTTGTGGGTGATCGCCTGATATTGTCCTTGGGTCTCCAGTCAAAGATCTTTGGGAAGTTCTCCCATGTGAAAGGCGCTATACCAAACATAAGGCTTATCGTGAATTCTTCGATACTCACTCTCGCAGACATTTTCGGAGGTAAAGTTGCCAGATTTCCAGGGGTGCTGATGGTAGCCAGGGCAACACTCATTGCAGCTCTCTCCACAGGTGTTGTGCTCACACTGGCACTTTAGTTGCTGTTGAACATTAAAAAAAAACAAAAGTGACACGTCCTTCCACTCATGTTTCACATTTCAGGTGGCCCAGAGCAGTGCAGGCGAGGCAGTGACAATATGGCACGGAAAGAAAGAGTTTAAATGAAAGATTTGGGGTACACTGCAACAGTCGAAGGAGTGGAGACTAAAATGGCATCACTGAGGCTGAACCCCATCAAAACTGGATTTGTAAAATTACGTTCAGATTGAAAACATTTCGCCCGAATTAAACCAGCTCCGAGTCCCCCAGACCATCCTTCTGAGTATTTGGACCTTTCCCTCTCTTTTTCTCACTCTCTCTCCCCCTCCATTGTTCCAAGAGGTTTCTTCATTGCTCGGAATATATCTTCTTGTTACTGCCAAGGGCATTTGGCCAATTCCTAATGTAACCCAGATTGAGGAATGCGATCACCGGGGCCCGAAAATACTATCAGCTCCTTATTTTCCCCAGTGCCGTAGTGTGAACCTCAGTGAATGTGGATTTCCTTACACAGTCGCATGTCAGCGACACTGTTATTGATTGCGTTTTTACACACTCTCCCTCCCCACACTCACTTCTCCCACCTGCTGGGCCCGCAAAATGTCACGAGTTTCAGAGTGGATACGATTCAGCTGTTGTCCTCTGAGGGACTTAGGAACACAGGAACTACAGGCTCTCCAGCCCAATCCAATCCAGACTGTCTCACCAATTTATTATGTACCAGTAGATCTTTTATTCTCACCATTTCTCCATCTACCTTAAAGTATTAAAAATCATACGGTACAGAGATAAGGCACAAACCGCTGTTCATAATTTAGCCACAAATGTATAAAGGTATGGGTGGGGTTGGAGGGGGGAGGAGGATGGGAAGAAGATGCATTTTTCATAAATAATCATGATGATTAATTATTTTCCATTAAAGTGCAGTGTAAAAGGCTCAGCCTGTGTATATTATATACCCACTGGTGTATCTAGGAATGTAAAGCTACTACGAACCATTCGTGTCTCATCCCATGGACAGCTGCGTGCGTGACCATAGCAGATACACATGCCTCCGACCGAAATATCCTTCAGGGAGTAGTAATACTGCGGAAAAGGAAAAGAAACCGTGAACTGAGACGCTAAGAGATGCAACGGTGTTTGGAGCAACAGATAAATTACGCATAATCACGATCAGAGATGCTGTGTGCTGACAGATGCCTGCCCCCACCCCCCCCGCCACACACACACACACACACACACAGAGCTTGAGCATCTCAAAGACAGTCATCTTTAAAAACCTGGAGAATTAATGCACACAGCACATGATAACACCACTCAGCCATATTCCTTCCTTCCCCACACAGAAGTACAGTATATGTGAAAAGCTAAACTTGAAGGGTAAATAAACTCAGCAAGCTGGTGAACTGAGATTTGCTGTCTTGTGGTAGGTTTACATCAACAACTACCTGCATTTATATATAGCGCCCTTCATACGGGTTAGTGTCTTGGAGCGCATACTGGGCGTTTAAAACCAAATGCAAGCGGGGCAGGTTTGAAAAGTCAGTGTTGCTTCATCCGATGATCTCTGTGAATGTATCCAGCGAGTAGCTGAGCTCAACCAGACCAGATCAGTTCCTGGTCCAGGACAGCAGTAAGAACACTACAATCGCCCTAATTGCGGTACAAGAAGCAGGGAAGAATGGCCACTGGCGTTTTTGGGGTCCTTACCCTGCGAGTAACAATGGGATCGACTTCCTTCGGGTCCCGGTAGCTCAGGGTCATGAGGTCAGCGTTGAGTGTTCTGATGCGCTGAAGCTGGAGACGAATGTAACGAGCAGAGGTGAAATCCAACAAAGTCTGAGATGGATCGTCAGCGCTGGGTCTGCCATTGATCAGCGAGGTATGAATCTATAAGTGGATGAAAGGGGCAGTGAGGTTAGAGGAATCTGCACAAAACACATAGATTCACACCACTTTACATGATGTATCATGTAAAACTGTATTAAGTTACCCCCCTGGGCTTTCTTCTTCTATATCATCTCGATGACGTGATGGACAGATGGTAAAGCTGGGTCTTCTGGAAGAATGAGATGAAATGGACCGATGTGCTTTCTTCATCCAAAACAATTTTGTGATCTCTTTGGAAATTATCAAGTCTAATTACTGCTAATAATAATCTTTGCGCCTGATTTAATGAGAATAATATTGAAACGTCCCAAAGTTTCTCAGACTATGAGATTCCAAGACTCAATGTGAGGCCTAAACCCACAACCTTCCGACTCAAGAGGCGAGAGTGCTACAATTGTGCACCAGACTGCCACATGCACCTTTCACATCGCTCTCAAAGTGCTTCACACAACTGACAGGGAACCCAAACTGGGGGAAGTGGGAGAGCTGGGGGGGGGGGGGAAATGAGGCCGCAAGTATAATCAAAGAGATGGGTCTTATCGCAGATTTTGAAGGCTGGGCGGGAGGGTGAAAAGCAGAGGGATTGCAGGTTTTAGTTTCAGAGAGTAGGGGCAGAGTGGCTGAAGGCTTGCCCACCAAATGGTACATGGACAGATGTTTGCTGAGCAGAGGGAATGGCGGGGGCAGTAGGGGATGGTGAGCTGTGAAGCTGTGTTTATGCTGCTGCCAGTGAGGCTTTTGCTAGACATACATCGTAGAGATTATATGAGCTTTTTTGATTCTATCATTGTCTGGACCTGGTCCCCTCTATAATTAAATTCCTTTCCTTGGAATATTTATGTCTGTATTTTTGCACCTACAGTACAGGTAATATTTCATTTCTTACATGTCTTCCTGATAGCATGATCAGTGTCAACACTCTTGTTTGCAAATCTTTAGCTGCAATCCACGTCTCTGCTGCTCCCTTTAGTTTTACATTGACAGTAAATCTGATTGCAGAACAATTGGTTTTGGTGTCAGGTAATATATGTGAATCAGAAACAATTGACCCGAAAGTTATCTAGTCTCAGGTCGAGAGATCATTTGTTTTGAAATTTACAAAGAATTGTTGGAACATTCTTAAATTCAATCTTAAGTAGGAAGCTGTTTTCTCACAGTTCTTTAAAAGGAACCAGCTTTCAAAATAGGACTGAATTTTAAAAAATCTCAATTCTGAGTTATCTTAAAATTTAACACATTTTTCTCCAAGGTTAAGATTGGGTGGAATTTTAAGGCCGCCTGGGATCCAGTTTCATATTTATAACATTGAATGTGCCAGATCCACACATTCCACCCGCTGTTCTCAATGGTGAGGTCCTGAGAAGAATTGAATGCCTAGCTCATGGTCTGTTGGGTTTATTGAGTGTTTTGTTTACTGAAACGCTGAGATCCCAATAGCCAGTGGTAAAAAAAATTCTCAAATCTAACATCCCCAGCCTTGATCAATCTCACCACTGAGAATATTCATCTGAAAATATCAAGTTTTCCTTTTAAGGAGAGAGAGAGTATGTGGGAGAGAGAGAAAAATACTACTGATAAAAATCCTTGCATTTGATATTAGTGCCTTATCACGTCTTTGTGATGTCTCAAAGAGCTTCAACGAATATATTGTAAAGTGAATTGACTGTATGTTTTGTGGGCGAAACGAAAGAGAGAAAGAAAAAAAGAAAAAAAGAGAGAAAGAACAAGAGAACTAGAAGAAGAGAGAAAAAAAAAGTAAAACAAAGTAAAAGAAAACTAAAGAGAGAAGCTTGCAGTTTGGTCTGTAATATAAAACTTCTCAAAGAGCAATTCATATTTTGTGTAGTTACTGTCTTTTGTAGGCATCAGTTTTATTTTGCTGTGTTAAATTCATCACTGGCCAGATTCCTGCTGATTTCTTGTCAATGTTAAGGTAGGAAGAGAAAATGCTCAGCGCAGAGGAACCAGCTCCATAAATCTTGAGAATGTAACAAAAAAAATCGACCTTGTTTAATAGATCTCTTGGGGAGGCAGAAACGAGTAACTGATGGAACTCTACGCTCAGCGATTCTCAGATACAAACAGTGAAAGCAATCGTTACTCAATTGTTGAGCATTTTTCTCCTGGAGTGCAGAGAGCAATTACAATTTCACAAGTTTATGAAAACTTTTACTCAATTCTCAATTTAAAAATTTGTATTGCAACAAATACATCAATCCCTCAAATAAAATTGGTCATTCATTTCAGTTTGAGGGACGTTGCTGTGCGCAAACTAACTGTAGCCTTTGTCTACAAAATTCTGTCACTATACTCTACAGTGAATCCTGCGCAACGCTTTGACACGTCCCAACATGAAAGGTGCTGCATCAAATGTAAGGATAGCTATTATTATTATCAATAAAATTGGATGGACATTTTGAAACCAATATAAAGAGTACAAAGAAAGAGCAGAAAATTGTGTGGTGGGGGGGGGGTGGGTGGAGTGGTTATCTCCAATGGAGAAGATGACACCAGCTTTGGTTCCTTCAATGGTGCAATTCCCATGAATTTAATGTTCTATACAAATGTGCTGTCCATCATTTGCAAAGCAAGTAATCATACCATGTACAAACAGATACAGGGCTGGAGTCCAGGTTCATCTTTCTGGTAGAACCAGAATCATCGAAAAATCATCAAGGAACTTGAAATTCCTCACTGGCCATCCAGTCCATTTCAGTATAATAATCCTTGCAATTGATACAGCACCTTATCACTTTGTTGAGACGTCTCCGGGACTCTACCCTGTGTGAAGGATGCTATATAAATGCAAGTCGTCGTTGTTGTTGTCTCAAAGTGCTTCACAGAATATACTGTAAAGTGAATTGACTGTGTATTTTGTAAGCGTATGTGGCAGCCAACCAGCAGTGTCCCACAAACAGTGATGGATTAAGTGACCAAATTAATTTTTTTTAAGGGATATTACTCTTGGAAAGCAATCCTCCAATCGACTACAACAGGCTTCCTACTTACTTTCAGGTAAACAGAGGCGTGTGGAATAAGGAAACTTGCCCAAGGTTTCGGCCTGCCCAGGATTGAACCCAGGTCCTCTCGCTTGAGAGGCGAGTGCTCTAACCAATACACTATGGAACTGCACTGTCGTGTAACATATTGGTTAGAGCATTTTGGTTCATTCCTGGTGATCCATGTCGATCAGCAGTACATTATTTCTAGGCAAACTGGGCGCCTGAAGTTCCTTACATTCACATTCTTAGGCTTGAGATGGTTGATATTAAACTTTAGGATCATGTATTGGAAAACAAAGTCATAAATTAAATTTGAATCTGGCAGCTGATTTTCCTCATCGTTTTTCTGGTGCTGTGGAAATTGGCTTTCAAATTCAGACTGAATACATTTTAAAGGCTTTCAAAATTCTGAAGTCAATAGTCTTTAGGCTAAGACTATGGGAAATAATGGTGCTGAGGAAGTTAGCACTATGGGGAGGAGTTGGGAGAGAGGGGGGAGTGTGCGAAGGGTGGAGATGAAATTCCAGTCTGTGATCTTTGTAGTAGCTTGGACCATGAGACCCATTCCATTAGAAGCTAACATTGTCAAAGCTGCTACAGGGAACACAGGCCAGAATGATAGCCCTCTGCTGGTATAATCACTAAGGTGAGGACATTAAAAATCCTCGTACTTTATGTAGCACCTTATCATGTTTTCCAAATGCTGCAACGTGCTTGCACTGTCTCCAGAATTCTACTGTAACTTTCTGGAATTCTACTGTAACTTCTTGGTATTTACTGTAACCATGATTATGTATTTAAATAATAATCCTTGCATTTGATACAGCGCCTTATCACGTCTTCGAGATGTCTCAAAACGCTTCACAGAATACACTGTAAAGTGAATTGACTGTGTATTTTGTAGGCAAAATGTGGCAGCCAATTGAGCACAGCAGTGTCCCACAAAGGAGCTTATGTAGCAATGGAAAGCAGGACTTCCTGATGACTTCACCCCACATCTACCCTCCCAGGAGGCACAGAGGCTTTGGGTCATTAGCTAAGGTATGTAGGGGAGAATGAATGAAGAATGGTCACAGAGCAAATGTCCGCACTTCCTCAAACGCTGACTGGAGAATAGAAACTTTCATTACATACAGTAACTTGTTCAGTTTGACCGATCCACTGGACATTAAAGTCACTGTAGCGTGCAAACTGGGAGATTAAATCATACTCAACATATCTAACAAATGGAGACTGAAATGATGGGTAAAAGGAAGCACTGTATAAACCAGGTGAAGGTCTCACATGGGCGATTTTAAGATGCAGCAGAAATTGCTGATGCCAGTGAACAGCCCACTCAAAATTTACTGAGTGTTGAGTGTTTTATGCCTCTCATTATGCAGTGGATTGGGCCCTTAAGTAAAGGGATAGCACTTTTTCACCTCGTCTGTCACAGGTTAGGTATTGCAACACATGATTGAATGTCACACCTGGGAGGTGGACTGCTTCAGCCATGCAGGAACAACTCAGTTGGAATTGTCATGGGTTTCTTTCTACCCTTCTGATCTACTATCTCTGCCTCTACCTAGCTCTTGTGCACTCTGTACCAGATAAACGGAAACCATACATATGGGGAACTCTCAGTTTGGGTTGGAGACTCTTAACCATGGTGATGGATTTTCACGTTTGTCACACACACAATGAATCAACCAATCGATCGATTAACCAATCAATTGATTGATCAATCGATCCATCCATCTATCAATCAATCAATGGGACGACATAAAAGAGGAAATTCATCCAGGAATGGACTCATTAGGCTCTCGACCTTTTTGACTCATTTCTTTCTATGTGTAATAATAATTATCCTTCCATTTGATATCACGCCTTATCACGCTTTTGTGATGCCGCAAAGCGTTTCACAGGATATACTGTAAAGTGAACAGACTGTATATTTTGTGGACGAAACGTTGTGGCAAAGTCCCTAAAGCATAGTCCATTTAATTGGATGCCGGAGGGGTAACAGAGCAGCTATTGTTCACCTTCTCAACCTACAGAGACTATCTAAAGGCAACTTAGGTGCCATACTAACAGAGACCTAAAACAAAGACACAGGGCATCCACGTCCTGGAAACTGTTTAAGCTCACTCAACTCCAGTTGCTAACTTAGTGAATGGATGTACAGTTAAGAGAGTGAGGTGCCTACATGCTTGGCTGGGGAAATTGAGTGTCCGTGTTCATTGCAGATTCGCTGACGTTTGCTGCTGAGCCACTGTGGATTTTAATGTAGCTTTGCATCACGTGCCTCACAATGAGTGAGTGACTGAGAAGCGACATGAATGCGCCCTAGTTAGACAAAGAACAATGAGTCGGGAAGCCCGACAATGGAGTGTTTTAATTACTGCGCTGAGATTCCTCGCCTCAGGATTCCAGCTGTGCCCAGTCCTTTCGCAAACATTCCTGGCTTTCTGTCACCCGGCTAAGCATTTCTCCACCACCCTGGATAGAAACCAGCGAGGCTGATCCTAGGGGGGGCTTCATGCAAATGGTTAAAAGTTCATGGCTGTTTGTGGGACATTTGGCACAACTGCCTGCAAGATAAACAGTCACTCTACTTTACAGTGAAGCTTTTTGAGACCTTTCACACCGACGACACAAAAAGCGCTGTATCAAACGCAACGATTGTAATTAAAATGTCTGGTAATGTTCAGCGAGACAAGGGCACAAATTCTAGCAAAGCACAAAAAAGGAATTAATGGCGAGGTTAGAAAGACAATGTCTTTGCAAGAAGGTGGGGGGTTGGAATGTGGAATTCCCCGTCACATAACGTTGCTGAGGTAAGTTACACAAATTCTTTCAAAAAGGAATTAGATGATTGCTTGAAAAGGAGGAATATTAAAGGGAATGTGTGTGGGCTGTGAGCAGGGTTCCATAAATTCCACATTCTCTTATGCCTAAGACCTTCTCTTTATAACAATTGTGTGGAGTTTGGGAAAACAACCTTAAATTTTGTCTCGATTCAGAAGCCTATTCCCTGCAGCACTCAAAAATACTGCCAGATTTCCAGCAGGGTTAAAAAGTGACTTGTTCTATCAAGATTATTCATTCCAACAGACCATGTATGGGTGTCTAAAATCCATAGCAATGGCTAAGGCCCTGCATGAAGGGCGCTATATAAATGCAAGTGTTATTGTTGAGAGACCAAAAGAGGGGGCTCCTTCTTCATCGAAACATTCATTGTTCATTCACTTCATGGGTGTTTGTGTGACATAGTTCTCCCGACGTGCTCCTGGGAGCTAAATGTAAATTTGTATTGTATTGCTGTGTAAAAATCTGGATTGCCGTGTTTGCCCACAAAATACATGGTGTCACTACACTTTACAGCATATCCCGTGAAGCGGTTTGGGACATCCTCCCGACGTGATAGGCGCAATACCAAATGTAAAGGCTTATTATTATTATCCTTATTATTTGCATGCTTCTGCGTAATCCTATTTGATGGTCTTGGGACTAGAGATTTGGCTGGACCTCCTTGTACCTCTCCATGTTCCAGGGGCATCAGCCTGGAGTAGTAGGATGTGCAGATGACTTCATCATCCCTCTTGTAGGTGGGCGGCCCAATCCTGGGCACAATGTTGTAGCGAGTCAGGCACTCAGCATCGCTCGTAGCATAGTACTGCCAGGGTTTGAACTCAACACCGTCCGAGGAGTGTTCCAGGATCCAGTTCCCAGGGCGAGGAGAATTGGCCGCTTTAATGATGATGTAGGCCACTTGGAAAACCTGGGGAAAAAGAGAAAAAGAAATTCAAAATCAAATGAAAGGCAAAATACTGCAGATGCTGGAAACCTGACATAAAAACAGAATTCACTGGGAACACTTGGGAGGACGTCCCAAGGCACTGGACAGTCACTGTTACTGACCCGAGCTGGGGGTCAGGCTTGGGGAGGATGGAGGGCAGGGTAATCGAAAGCACAGTCGATGAGGAGGGCCTTGAGCTGAGTCTTGAAGGAGGCAAGTGAGGGGGTGAGGCAGAGGGACTGTGGGATGGAGTTCCAGAGGGTGGGGGCGGAGTGCCAGAAGGCCCGCCCGCCAACGATGGGGTGGGTGAGGCAGGAGATGTGAAGCGGAGGAAGCAAGCAGGATGGTAGGGTTTAGGAGGTCGCCGAGGTAGGGGGGAGCAAGGCCATGGAGGGCTTTGAAGGTGAGGATCAAGATCTTGAACTGTATCCTCTGTGTGATGGGAAGCCAGTGGAGTCAGACAAGGATGGGGGTGATAGGGTCACAGAGCCTGGTGCAGGAGAGGGCACCAGCTGCAGAGTTCTGGATGATCTGCAGCCTATGGAGAGAGGAGTTGCGGATGCCAACAACAACAACAAGATTCCATTTATAGAGCGCCTTTCACGTTGGGAGGACGTCCCAAAGCGCTGGACAGTTGGGTCAGGACCCGAGCAGAGGGGAAATGGTCAGGGTGAAGGGAGGGAAGGGAGGGAGTCCCAACAAGCAAGGAGTTTGCATAGTCAAGCCTCGATATTATGAATGTGTGTATGAGGGTTTCGGCCCTGCGGTGAGAAACAGTGGTGGAGCCGGGCGATGTTGCGGAGGTGGGGGAACGCAGAGCAGGTTATGGCACGGATGTGGGGTAGAAAGGATAGTTGAGGGTCAAACAAGATGCCAAGATTCCGGACTGGCTTAGTAAGGTGGAGTGTGCAACCGTGAATGGTGATGCTGTCAGCGCCTGAGGTGAGGAGGCGCTGACGGAAGCCAATCAGGAGGATCTCGGTCTTGTTGACGTTCAACTGAAGAAAATTAGCTCTCATCCAGTACTTGATGTCTGACAGACATTCTGTCAGGACAGCAGTGGTCCTGGAGTCAAGGGTGGAGGCAGAGAGGGACAGCTGGGTGTCATCCGCATACATGTGGAAGTTAACCCCATGTCTGCGGATGATGTCACCAAGGGAGAGCATATAGATGTTGAAGAGGAGGGGATTAAGGACAGAGCCCTGAGGAATGGTGCGGGGGCTAGAGGAGAAACTGTTTGTGAAGATGAAGTGGAGGCGGTGTGAGAGGTACAATCTGAACCATTCAAGGACAGAAACATGAAGGTTGAGGTGATAAGAGAGGCGGTGGATGAGGATAGGGTGGTCAACAGTGTTTAAGGAAGAGGTCAAGGAAGACAAGGAGGCAGAGGGAGCCCTGGTCGCAGATGGGCTCTGGCACAGAAACCCGATTGGAGGGGTTCGTGAAGGGAGTGATGGGAGAGGAATGAGCAAAGCTGGGAAGCAGGACTTTGGAGAAGAAAGGGAGGTTGGGAGATGGGCCAGTAGTTTGAGAGCAGGAATGGGTCCAGGGAGGGTGTTTTAAGGATAGGAGTGATGACAGACGTTTTTAAAGGGATGGGAACTGTAACAGTGAACAGGGAGAGGTTTATGATGTCTGTGAGTAGACGGGCAAGGGGATGGAAGCTGGGAGGTAAGGAGAGGAGTAGGGTTGGGGTCGAGGGAGCAAGTGGTCGGTTTCATACGGGTTATAGTGGTGGTGAAAGAGGAGTGGGAAACAGGTTCGAAAGATGGGATGAGTAGGGGCTGGGATGAGAGGGGGAGATGGGGAGGGGTTAGTAGATAGAAGGGCAGAGGCAGCTGAGCAGATCTCCTCGACTTTGGATTCAAGGAAGTTCAGCATCACCTCACAGTTGGCATTGGATGTGAGGATAGGTGAGGCATGAGAGGGTGGGCGGAGGAGCCGGTTGGTGATGGAGAAGAGGAGCCTAGGGTTGTCCCTGGCCTCCAAGATTGTCTTGGAGTAGAACAATGTTTTAGCGGAGCGAGGGCGGAGAGGTAAGATTTGATAAGGTCCAGCCAGATCTGCAGATGGACTGTTAGAGCAGACAAGGAGGTCATTCGGCCCTTTGGATGTGCACTCGGTCTCAGAGCAAGGTGTTCATTCTATCTCACTGCCATGCCTTATCCCCAGAGTTAAGGCTGAACACAAGAATTTTCCAAATTCTACACGACCTTAAAAACTTTAAGCCGTGGTCTTGAGGTTGAAAAATCCTCTGGAATTTCGGGTTCTGACACGGAACTGGTTGAGACAAAAAAAAACTCAACAAAGAGTTTTTAAATGAAGCGCTCCCCCTGAAATTGGCCAACTCATCCAAACTATTGTTTGAAACCCAAATTTGTCCAGGGAATCATTTTCCTTCGTGTTTTTACAGTGGAGTTTGAGATCCTGAAGACGAGTTTTGTTTGCAAACGGTGATGACCTCTGCTCTGCTAGAGGAGCTACTTCCAAAACCCAGGAAATGCTTCAGCAAGAGAACAGATGTCAGACCGTGCATGAGTGCAAACAGCAGTGCTCGTTCAGTGTTTCCATGCTTACATACCACAGCCACCCCCTCGCCCCCTCCTTTCCTTCCAATTTGGTTTTAAAGAGTTCCACCATTTGTAGGCAATATTCCTGCCAGGTGTAAGCCAGGTGTGAGAATAGCACTCTTGACACTAAGTCAGGAGGTTTGGGGTTTGAGCTCCACATCAGGACTTTGAGCTCACAGTCTGGTGAAGACTCCAATGAACTACTGAGGAGATGCTGCACTGACTGAGGTGCCGTCATTTGGATGAGATATTAAACCAAGGTCCCATCAGGTGGACATTAAACATCACCTTTCCGAAAGGAGAAGGGAGTTTCTCTGGGTGTCCTGGCCAAAATTGGCTGCCAGGTGTGCCCACAAAATACACAGTTGCTACATTTCACGGTATATTCTGTGAAGCACTTTGAGACTTGCTATTGACGTGAAAGGTGCCACATCAAATGCAAGGATTAATATTATTAATATCTTTCCTTCCCCAGCAAAGCATGACCCAACCTCTGCAAGTGCTACTACATAACTAGCCACTAGGAGGTGTGAGAGACCAGCTAGACATGTCCGAGGGGTGGCGGCATGGGGTGGGGTTACCAAGGGGTGGGGGGTGCAGGTACGTGCAGTGAGAGGGGAGAGTTGCCGAGGAGTGAGGGAGGATACCAGGGGGATGGGGCTGAAAGGGCACAGCCAAAACCCCCAAGCTGGACTCTGCAAGGACTAACGGACAAGAAAAGAAGTACAGGCTACCATCTCATGGAAAATATGTCGTGCCTTGCTTTAGATTAAATGCAACATTTTCTAAGTACAGGCACGGAAAGTCTTTCCTGTGAAACCAGCAGACAGCGAGAGCCCTTTAGTGACTGTGTAGAAGTGTTCACCCTTCCTTTACCACAGTCTGTTGAGCTGTCTTCTTGTTCATTACACAGTTGGCTGAGCTACAAATAAGCCACCTTCTGACTGCACAGATTCCTCTTTCCCTCCAATGACTAAATGCCATGATCGCACCATTGAAAACACCAGCTGACGCAGCTCATTTTTAAATCCCATTTTCAACAATCAGTCAAAACAAATTATTCCTTTCAGCGTCTACTCACTTCAATCAGCACAATGCAGCAGTTACAAGAGATCAAGTCAGGCTGCCAGTCATTCCAAGTTAACAGTGCCATGGCCGGGCACATTCAGAGCAACATTGAGATGGCTTATCCCACTGTGACTGTTCTCTTTTCCCACTGAAGGGTAGTTAACAAGGGCAACCTGCTCCCAAGTTCCCTCCCGCTCAGAAGCGCTCTCTTTTCTATTGGAAGGAGACTGACCCAAGCTCTGCGGGTGGTGCCAGCTTTAAGCGGGCCAAACCTCAGCATCTGACCTATGCCAATTGGCACAACCAGCGCAGACTCGCTGCCAAACCAACCCTCGAACAGCAGGACATACATGACCCACTTTCTAACACATACATTTCTGGATGTGTTGTATTTTAAAGAAAGGTCATTTGAACACTGGTGTCACTGTGAGGGAAGTTGCGGTCCCGATCACTACTGCAGCTTGTTACGATTACCAGCAGGAAGGACATGCAAGGCTTCCAATGGTTATATAACAAAACAGACGCTCACATACGATACATAATATTATTATAATAATTAATAATCTTTGTATTTGATGTAGAGCCTTGCAGGTGAGGAAGTGTCATAGTGCTTCACAGAATTTACTGTGTAGTGACCGTGTGTTTTGTAGGCAAATGCAGCAGCCAATTTGCGCTCAACAATGTCCTGGAAACAGCCATCTAGTGAATGACCAACTTTTTATCTGCGGGTTGCCGGGAGAAACTCTCTTCTCTCTTCAATTAGCCATGGGATCTTAACATGCACCTAAACAGGCAGATGGACCTTGGTTTAACATCTCATCCGGCATCTCTGACAATTCAGCAACCCCCAAACTCTGTAATGGAGCGTTAGCCTGAACTATGAGCTCAACGTGGGGTTTAAAATACATAATGCACAGGCTCATAGCCGGCTCAATTATATCATAGTGACAGAAGAAACAGGTCATAGTGACAGAAGAAACAGTCATAGTGACAAAAGACACAAAGGAAGCCACCAACACGGGATCCTGTAGGGTGGGGGCGGGTGGTAGCAGCTGAGGGCTGAGAGGAAACAGTAAGTCTGCCGACGGGAAAGAGATCCTGAGAGGTACAAATATCTTCCCAGACTCATTTGTCTAATTACCGTGGGAGCAAGAGGAACAAGAGACACATTCCCTTCTCCTCCCCCTGCCTTCTCCCTGCTGCCAATCTTTTCCTGTTTGTTCACTCGCTGTCCAAACACGATTTAAAAAGTGCAAACACTGGGTCGCTCTTGTCAGAATAGCTTGTGAATATCAAAACACCCTCTGCAGCAAACCTATTACCTTTGCATGTTCATGTCAAACACAATGTAGTGTGTGATAGGGGGCACTTTGACATGTGCGTGTGTAATGGGAATCTCCCCACTGTAAACATCAGAATCGCTAGCTTCATGGTGAGAAGAACAGCTCTGCTTAGCTCCTGGTCCGAAAACTCTCATGGCCTCAGTCCTCAGTCTATTGTCTTAAAACTTAAGACCATACAGAACTTTGGAAAATTATTCAGTTCAATTTACAGTACAATTTATATTTTGTACCCCGCCTCTCACATTGGGAGGACATCTTGAAGTGCTTGACTCAATTCAAGTCTTAATTGGAAACTTTTTTTCTCTCAGAAAGTGTTTCTGTTAGTAAAGCTGGGAAAAGGAAAATGGCTTCGGACACGATTCACTGAGGCGTTGCCTGAACGTATCCGGTTAATGGGTGCCAGTGTCAACCAGGCAAATCTGATCTGTGTCATACACCTGGAGTGAATTTGACCAGAATTCAAAATATGTCAGTGTGTAGATACAATTTACATTTATACAGTGCCTTCCTTGGCGGAAGAACGGCTCAAGGTGCTTGACAATGCTGGCTGGGCACCCGAGCTGGGGGTGGGAACTGAGGAGGGTGGGGTGGGGGGAGAAGCAAGATGACCAAAAGATGGTCAAAACGGTTTGCTTTGAGATGTGCCTTAGCAGAGGTAGTCGGACTCTGGGCTGTAGTTCCAGAGAATAGGGGCAGAATGGGTGAAAGACCCCTCCCCCAACACACTGATGCCAAGGCAATTAAGGCGATGGATGAAGCAGGCCAGTATTCACTGAGCAGATCCCTGGCAAGATCACTATTGGAATATAAATGTGCAGCTTTGGTCGCTCTACTTCCAAAGGAGCACCCAAAGCACTGGAAAGAGTTCAACGAAGGGAGACGAGGATGATTGTAGCCTTCGTGCCTATATGATTTAAAAAAAAAATGAAATCTTGACTTTTTCATTAGAGAGCTTTGAAGGAGGGGGACCTGATGTACAACTTTTAAATGGTAACAGGTATTAAGTAGAAGTAAAGAGGCTTTGAGATTGACTGCAGATAACTCATAATGATTTTCGCTCTTCCTTTCCTTCGTTTTGGAAGGCGCTTTCATCTTTTCTTTCTCTATTCTACATCAGGACAAACTCACATCCAGTGCAGCACTAGGGGTGGAGGTAGGGAGTGGTGTTTGTAGGAGGTGCCATCCTTCAGGTGAGGCATTAAACTGGGTTTCTGTCTGCCTATTATGGTGGCCATAAAAGATTGTGTGGTACCATATGATAAGAAGAAGGGAGTTTCTCCTGGTATCCTGGCTAACAATCCCCCAGAGAAACTGGGTCATTCACATGGCTCTTTATGGGACCTTGCTGCGTACACGTTGAATTAAGTCACTACACTTGTCAGCATTTCCCTGCAAGGTGCTTTGAGACGTTTCGACATTGTAGACTCTACTACATCTAAATGTAAGGATTGTAGCTAGAAATGCCTCCAAATAGCAAAACAACACTTCTTTGCACCACTGTCCAGACATGGCAATGCCAATAGGCCAGAGAGACAATTTTACTTTGGTGCTGAACGCCTCTGTACCCCGTGTTCAGTGTAAATGCCGTGTATATAATATATAATAGATAAATCTATTATGCAAAACAAAAATCAAGTTGAGACGCTAAGGAGTATAAAGGTCAGATTCTGAGGACGAATATTTGTCACTACTCATTAAGTCAATGCTGCTTTGATCAAGGGGCTGGTAGGGGTCACTATCCAATGTCTCTTTCATTTTAATAACTAAACCATCATGATTGGTGTACATCAAAGCCCACATGTAATTGGACACATAACCCATTATTTAGAAGCCCTTCAGGCATTCATTCTCATCGGCTCTGTTATGTTCACAGATATTCAAGGGGTTTCTGCCAGATCTCAAGCACTGTCTGAAGGGCTATCTCAATCTTAATACTAAGCACTTGTGGTCAGATAAAGCACAGCAGACATTTGAGGCAACAGTTGTGCACAACAGTGTTACTCATTACCACTTGTACGGTCTCGTCTGTGGTCTGGTTGAAGGCTTTGGACAATGGGGTGATATGATATTTGTGGTGTTCCTCAGACTCAATCCCCCTGATGCTACCATGAGGGCCAAGTTAATAAAACGCTGTAATTCCTGATTCCACGTGCATGAGAAATTCCACCTTTGTGCTGGCCGCACATATCTTACACTTGAGGATTGGCCTTCACATTAAAATGACGCCTCAAAGTGCGTTCCCTGACTCTCAATCCCTCAGGTAAAACTGATCATTCGCTTCTCGGTTGTTTGTAAAATATCACTGTGCATAAATTGGCTGCTGTGGTCATCCACAAAATACACTATCATTGCTCTTCACTGTTAAAATTCTGAGACGCCTCGCCAACACGATAAGGAGCTTTATTAATTATAGTATTATATTATAATATAATAATGACAATGGGCATTGAGCAAGAAGCGAAATAAATTTAGTAGGTGATGTGACTGAAGGCACGGTTGAAGAGATAGGAGATAGATGATGTGACCTCAGGGGATTCCTGAAAGCACTGGGAAAGGCAGCAAAGGATTTGAAAGATGCAGAGTTCAAGGGGGTGGGGATAGCTGTAAATCAATAGGTCTCCCATATAAAATGTTAGCCTGGTTCATTTGGCAGCACTCCAGGTCAGAAGGCTGTGGGTTCAAGCCGCATGTTAAAGACTTTGATGTTATAATCTAGGCTGAGATTCCAAAGCAATGCTGGAGAAGCTCAGCAATGTTAGAGGAGCCATCCTTCGGGTAAGACTGCTGTGGTACCAGGGTGATGATGGGATGAGTGCAGCATTGTCAGAGACATCATCTTTTGGAATGGCAGGTTAAACCATGGTCCTTCCTTGAATATTAAAATAAGATGCTTAATAATAATAATAATCATTGCATTTGATCTAGCGTCTTATCACGTCTTCGAAACGCCTCAAAGCGCTTCACAGGATACACTGTAAAGTGAATCTACAGTGTATTTTGTGAGCAAAACTAGAAGGATTGTGGAGCTCTTCTGCTTCCCTGTGGCTCACCTGTCGCAGATCCAGAGTGATAGTCACCAAGTGATACTGCCGGCCATTCTGGATACTTGGGCTCTGCCACCAGTTGTTGGTTCCATCGATGGCATACATTATTGAATGTCGTTCTATAAAGACACAAAGATAGATAAAGTACAACACCACCACCACCAACAGAAACCTTCATAGCGAGTTGCACCTGCAGGGTGATCCTGTTATGACATGGTGTTTTCGTATCTATAATACTAGACTCTGAGTTATAATGGATGTTTGGGACAGATTGTGTTTTCAGCTGTGCTGTACAGTCCTTGCCCGGCATTACCCCGCTTTCCTGACACAGCTGTTCTCATGAGCGTTTCCAAACGAGAAACCGCTTCCAACCTAACATTGAGTTTAAGAACCTTCCACACTTCTGCACAATCTCAAATCAAATCTCAATCTCAAAATGGTCTCAGGAGCTAAGACTGGGCAAACTTTCTGTGCTACCCTGAACAAGTGAAATGAAGAGGGTTGTAACGCTGCCAGTGGATGTTGAACACCATCGGTTACCTCTTGGGTTTGTGCTGTTCAGGTCACAGATGCGACACTGTGGGTTGCGTATGGGTCTCCCGGGGACGTGCTCCACGAGCTTGCAGAACATCTCGGGGCCATTCTCACCACAGGTCGCGTTGGTGGAGATCATGGCATTGCTGGCGAGGTTCAGGATAGCTGGGAAAAGACCTGCACACAGAGGAGGGAAGAATTCACTTTTACAAAATTGAAGAAGGTCCGAAGGGTTTTGCAAGCCTGTTGGCCTCAACATCAAACCACGTCTGCAGTCTCTAACATTTTTCTACAACATTAACACTTGCATTTAGATACCATCCTTCACAAGGGTTGGTTTGGATGAAGCCCATCCAATCTCATCCCTCCAGAACCACTCACCCTATTGTCCCCTCATCACACATCAGGCTGCTTTTTGAGTGAGTCCCAGTGTCCTGGCCTCCACCACCTTCCTGGCAACCTGTTCCAAGCGTTAATTACATAATAAAATAATAACCTTGCATTTGATATAGCACCTTATCATGTCTACTAGACGTCTCAAAGAGCTTCACAGAATATACTGTAAAGTGAATTGACTGTATGTTTTGTGGGTGAAACGTGGCAGCCAATTAATTGCACAGATCAGTGTCCCACACACAGTCGTGGACTGAAGTGACCCATTTATAATTATTAATTTTTATGAAAGAATTATTACCCCCGGTAAAGCGATCCGCCACTCAACTAACAACCGTGTTCCTACTTACCCCTAAGTAAACACAGGCAATGTTTCGTACTGCCGGGAATTGAACACAGGTCCTCTCGCTTGTGAGGTGACTGCTCTAACCACTAAACTACAGATCACCCTCTGCATAAAGAAAAACTTCTTGGTGTCTGGCCTGAAATTGCCCTTTACAATTCTAAACCTATGTTCTCTTGTTCTTCTGCTTGCTGCATCCTAAAGTAACGATTTGGATTCACTATTGATCTTATCCCTCCAGAATGGCCACCATCACAGCTTCAAGCTGCTCTTTAAATGAGTCCATTGTACTGAAGCCTGAACACAAACAATGGCTATTCCACAGCTACAATGACCTGGAAACTCTCAGCAACACTCACTTTGCAGCAGTCCCTGTTTTAGGAAATTGTCAGTGCTCCACACAGGAAAAGATCTCAATAAATCTGTGGAGCACGAGCCTCAAAGCAAGGGAACATTTAACAAAAAAAACTGCAGAGAAGCTCTTCCCCTGTCCTCCCCTCAGGTGTGATGTGTGTGTCCCACTCCCAAGCAAGGAGGAAAGTCTCTTCCCTGGAATATGGCTCTATGTCACGGGACAAATAAAGCACGCAGCGCTTGTAACTACCAGCGCGAACAGTGCTTCGTCACTCGATAAATCATAATAATAATCTTTACATTTAATACTATGCCTTATTACGTTGCTGAGATGCCTCAAAGCTCTTCACAGGATTTTACTGTAGGTGAGCACGGCAGGCCATTTACGCACAGTAACATCCCACAAAAACAGCCGTGAAGCGAATGATCAATTTTAGCTGAAGGATTGCTGGCCAGGGCACTGGGAGACACTCTTTTCTCTTTTCAAATAGTCATAGGATCTTTAAAGTCCACCTGAACAGGCAGACTTGGTTTAACCTTAGACGGACAGCAATCCCCAGCACTGACTGGAGTGTCAGCTTAGACTATGTGAGTTTAAAGTCCCAATGTGGGGGCTTGAACCCATAACCTTCTGACTCAAGAGGCTGGAGCGCTACCAACTGAGCCAGACTGATACAACGATCCTTCCATTGTCGTTCAATGAAAAGGACAGCCACCAGAGCCATTCATCATAGCCATGGAATTCACAAGAAAAAAACTCACAAGAAACGGAGAGTGCCAATAGCTGGCAAGAGCACGTTTCATTTTGGTATTTTAAGTGATAGATCCTGCTGTCAGATACCCTCTTGGGGATGGAGTCAGCGAAGATAATCTAATTTGTAAATGTGCAAGTTCTGGATTGACAGCAGTTTAAAATATGTAACCACAGTGTTTTCTGTTCGGGAGTTAATAGATTTCTCTTCAATGCATTTCATTTTAGCTTTACATTACAGTCGAGTGAATGGCAATTTCAAGCACTTAAGCAGCAGAGAATGCTCAATCGTCCCGGCTACTTTAAAACGCTTCGATCTAATCTCGCCACTTTTGATACTGTGCGGAATTTTTTGAAGCGGGCAGAAAAAAATACAGCATTCGAATGGGTTTGGGGAAATGCACCAAATCTGGAAGTCTCAGCTGGTAGCACTCTTGACTCTGAGTCAGAAGGTTGTGGGTTCAAGCTGTAAATCAGAACTTTGAACTCACATAGTCCAAGCTGACCATCCAGTAAGGGCTGGGGGTGGGGGGGGGGAACCTACTTAAGAGTTTTCACTCAGAATTTGTTCCAGGGCCAGACGCTACACAATGGGGTGAAATGTATGGAATTCACAAGGAAGTATCTTGAGGCATGCATTCTGAAATGCTGCAAATTCCACCCTGTAAACATGCTCAACCCCTATGACTTTGCTTTATTGCTGGCTCCAGGTTAGAGACAATCATAGTAATTCTGTGGAGAGGGACATACCACTCATTGGCTTCTAAGAAGAAATGCACAGTTCTGCCATAGAACCATAGAAAGAAGCAGGTCGTGCAGCTGATGTGTCTATGCAGGCTTTTTGAAAGAGCCATCAATTCAGTCTGATTTGCCTACAAATCACACTGTCCACTATTCATAAAATCATAGAATCTTACAGCACAGAATGAGGCTATTCGGCACATCGTGCTTGTGCTGGCTCTTGAAAGAGTTATCCAACTAATCCTATTCCCCTGCTCTTAACCCTGCACATTTAAGTGATTATTATTTTCATGCTAGCAAAATTAATCCTTTTTAGGATACCTAACCACAACAATAACAACTTATATGTATACACAATCTTTCATGTAGGGAAGACATCCCAAAGGCTTCACACACCTGCCTGGGGAACAACAACAAGCTGGGGAGGGGGAAGAAAGTGAGTGTGTGTGTGTATGTGGGGGGGGGGGGGGGGGAGAAAGAGGACAGGTGACCAAAAGCACGGTAGAAATGATAGTTTCTCTTGAAAGCTAATATGGATTCAGTCTTGACCAGCACACCCAGCAGGGCATTCCACGTCCTAAAAAATTCCTCCTGACCTCCTGCATTGCTAATTATCTTAAATGATGCCCTCTAAGTCACCAGCGATGTTCTGGACTCTGTTTTACCTCTTCGGGAATATCAATGAGGAAACACAGGCATTCCTGAAGCAATGCAACCATGTGTTTCTGGTCAGCCGGGTGTCTTACACACACACACACACATACTGAAGCCCATCGTCATGCCTAAGAGTATCCAATCTAAACTACTGGGAGTTTGATCCACTAATGTATGGAAATTTCCATACTGGAAGAATGGAATGCAGACTTTCCCTGGAGGGACACACCCAATTTATCTAATCCCAGAGAACATTAGGCACAGGTTGTTGAGAGCCATGGCTTGGGAGACCTCAAAGTGTGCATTGGTGTAACCCAATGCAGGTTTGCCCTGATCACTTTCAGGATAAGAACTCCCGATAACTAACTGTGGCAAAATCACATCCCGCTGCTTGTTGCTTCTACGGAGGGGAAGGAGTTAAAAAAAATTGTGTGCTGGAGATGGTGGGGGTCGAGGAGCAACCAAAACGGCAACAGAGGAATTTTTTCAATATGCTTAGATTGAAACACGTGTATGTGGTCATGTGCACACAAACACACACCCAAAATTGTTTTGTCTCTATTCCAGATTCCCAGACAGATCTGTGGCAGCCTACAATGGTTTTGGGCACACAGTAGACTAGCAATTGATGTGTGCCCACTAGATTCTTACAGCACTAAGCCAGGAGGAGGGTTTGAACTGAATCTTCCCACCGCTGAGTGCAAATGAAGCGCAAAACTGCTGAATAATGTGAGGGGCTGGTGAGAGCGAGCTGCTCACGGCAGGTCCTTAAGGCTTCGCACGGCTGACTCACAACAAGGGGCTGCATCGAACGCAAAACCCAACTCAAAATAAAGTGCATCGAAGGCGGCTTGGAGCAGCAGAGGAGATCGGCCAGGGTTTTAAGGAACAGGGAAAAAAAAGCAAGTTTTGCCGGCAATTCACAGCAAGTCAATCAGCATGTGACAGGCATGTTAATGTTTCGAGTGAAACGTTGCGGCTGTCTTGTCTAGCCTATTCTTTACTGTTCTGGCTAGCAAACATCATCTGCCGCCTTTTCCGTCTGATTAGACAGGCTTTTCGCACTTCTTTGTACTCCCTACTCCACCAAACACTTGCTCACAAACACACACACACACAAACATGTAAAGACACTCAAGAATCCTCGGAAGACGATATTCTTTCTGGGTCTACTTTGAAATACATAAAACCGGCAACAAAAGTAAGGCTGAATTTAAGAATTATCCAAAATTTGCAAAACGTGATAAAATAAAATTGGAAACTGCTGACAATTGATCTCTTTGCAGCAAACCTCTGTCTGAAGAGGACTGGGCTTCTTCTCGTGCTGATGCCTTTCTGGTGCAAAAGGCGGCTGCGTTTGCCAACAAAAAACAGCCACTACACTTGACAGTAATTAGTCTAGAACAACAATTTGCTTTTATATAGCATCCTTCATACTGGGTAGCATCTCGGAGTGCTTAACAACAACAAGATTATTAATTATGATTATTAAAAATGGGCATTTCGCTATAAATATAGGTCAATTCACTTTACAGCATATTCTGTGCTTTGAGACGTCGAGAAGACGTGAAAAGCGCTATATCAAATGCAAGGACTATTATTATTATTACCTTTGTATAGCACCTTTCACATCGGGAGGACATCACAAGGCGCTGGACAGCATTTCAGACCAGAGCTGGGGTCAGGGAGGGAGAAGGGAGCGGAGGGGAAGGGGGGTGGCCGATGGCATGGTCAAAGAGGAGGATTTTGAGGCGGGACTTGAAGGAGGCTACGGAGGGGGTGAGGCGGAGTGATTGGGGGATGGAATTCCAGAGGTCAGGGGCAGAGGGCTGAAGGCTCTCCCGCCAATGGTGGAGCAAGTGGGTCGGGGGACTTGGAGCAGGCCAGAGCCGGCTAAGCGGAGGGAGTGGGCAGGTTGGTAGGGAGTTAGGAGGTCGCAGA